TTTTAAATGAACAATTTTATCAGGTCACACCTGTGGCGTTCTGGCTGTTGCTGGGCTCCAGCTTCCAGCAGCCCCAGTCAGCACTGCCAGCAGTCAGGAATGTCTGGTGTTGTAGTGTGGCAATATCTAGAGGTTTCCATCCCTGCCTTGGGTGAAGAACCCACTGTGACCCAAGTCTAAACTTAATTCTCTCCTCTTGGGCAAAGATCATAAGATGACCTGGCTGGTAGCCAGATTCTATGCCCAGATTTGTAGGCACATATCATCCTCTAGAACAGCGGTTCTCAACCTGTGGGTCCCCAGATGTTCTTGGTCTACAACTCCCACCATCCCTGAGCTCTGGCCTTACTAGCTAGGGGTGATGGGAGTTGTAGTTCAACAACATCTGGAGACCCACAGGTTGAGAAAGGCTGCTCTAGAATAAAATAGCTTACTAGGGAAATGCTGAAGTTGCCCTTGGGGCGCCTCAGGGTCAATTTTTTTTGGTAGCCCCAATCTCAGTTGTATGGGTGTATGTATATTTCTCAATTTCAACTCATGAGCTATTGCTGTAAACTGCTCCGATTGTATATTTTACCTTTATGAACACTATTTTTGTTGTGTTATGTGAGCTGGTGTAGTGGTTTAGAGCAGTAGACTCATAACCTGGGGAACCGGGTTCACGTCTCCGCTCCTCCACATGTAGCTGCTGGGTGACCTTGGGCTAGTCACACTTCTCTGAAGTCTCTCAGCCCCACTCACCTCACAGAGTGTTTGTTGTGGGAGAGGAAGGGAAAGGAGAATGTTAGCCGCTTTGAGACTCCTTCGGGTAGTGATAAAGCGGGATATCAAATCGAAACTCTTTTTCTTCTCTTCTAATAAATTATATAAGACTCTAAACCCACTGTGACCATTCTTTGACAACTAAATCTGGCCTTAACGTTTATACATTTATTCTCATCCTCTCTCTTTCTCTCTCTCCCTCACCAGACTACGTTTACTGCAAATGAAACAGCAGCCTTTTGCCAGGCAACCTGGTTGTGTGGAGACGTTAACTTGTTTTGCTTTCATAACCATTCTGGGAAGCATTTGGGGGCGTGAGAACTGCAGGTGGGGGGGGGGGTCGGGAAGGCAAAAACAAATGCTGTATAAGGAGATTAACAAACAGCTTCTGGCACACCACCACATGGCACGGAAAACACCGGGTGGATTCTTTGTGACGCTCGGATTTCTGAGTCTTTAGGATATATAACCCTCAAGGCAAATGAATGAATGGCACAAATGGAACAGCCGTTCGATGCGAACAAGTTGTTATCATGAGTGCTGCTGATCTGTACCTCAGGAACAATATGTACATGCTTCAAACTCTGTTCCAAGACACTGGCTAGCTGTAGATGGTCGAGATGGAGATATGGTGGACTTTCCCTACGTATTTTAAATTGCTTCTGCGATGTATGTTCTGCATAATGTGTTCATCTATTAATGCAGAGTACCACCAAGTTTAATACTGCCCTTAATGTGTACAACTGTAATCTTACAGATTTGTTGTTGTTTAGTCGTTTAGCCGTGTCCGACTCTTCATGACCCCATGGACCAGAGTAGGCCAGGCACTTCTGTCTTCCACTGCCTCCCGCAGTTTGGTCAAACTCATGCTGGTAGCTTCGAGAACACTGTCCAACCATCTCATCCTCTGACGTCCCCTTCTCCTTGTGCCCTCAGTCTTTCCCAACATCAGGGTCTTTTCCAGGGAGTCTTCTCTTCTCATGAGGTGGCCAAAGTATTGGAGCCTCGGCTTCAGGATCTGTCCTTCCAGTGAGCACTCAGGGCTGATTTCCTTAAGAATGGATAGGTTTGATCTTCTTGCAGTCCATGGGACTCTGAAGAGTTTTCTCCAGCACCATAATTCAAAAGCATCAATTCTTCGGCGATCAGATATAGATATATCAATCTTACAGATAGATGTATCTATGTCTATCTTTCACATTATTCAATTCCGTCCAGGTTTTTAAAGGTTTTTCTTTTTTACACTAAGGGACAGTGCGTTAGAATCTAGCTTACCAGAGGAAACCCCTTCCACTCACATGCTCTTCTGGGGGATGCGGGGGGCAGAGACGCCGTCTTTGAAACAAGATGTAAAAACACAATCTGTGCTTGAACTTAACAGTGAGTAAATTATTCTGCTGTTGCAAGGTACAAATTGCACACTGAGCAAATTTCACATTCAGCCTTGAGTCATGATGTTGGCCGAGAGACATGGAACATTAACAGAATATGGATTTCTAATGCGCACCAATGTAAATTGCTGAAAAAAGAACTGCTACTGTTACTGTGATAGTGGACAAATATTTATCATGATTTAAAGTACAGTGGCCCCTCGGGTTAAGAACTTAATTCGTTCTGGAGGTCCGTTCTTAACCTGAAACTGTTCTTAACCCGAGGTACCACTTTAGCTAATGGGGCCTCCCGCTGCCACCGCTGTGCGAATTCTGTTCTCATCCTGAAGCAAAGTTCTTAACCTGAGGTACTATTTCTGGGTTAGTGGAGTCTGTAACCTGAAGCGTCGGTAACCTGAGGTACCACTGTACTGATGTGGTATATTATGGTTTGCTTCCTTAAGGATTTCCCACCGGGGCTGATGTGTGACTACGTTTGCGATGCAAGGAATTTTTCATAAAACTGAACATACTTGTAATACATGTTCTGACACATCATAGGCTTAGAGCCTCATTTCCATGCCAGCACAAAAGCAAATACTGGCAGGATCCTTAAGAGATTAAGTTTCCAGTGGTAATCATTATTTCTTACTTGCATTCCAGTTCTGCTCAAACGGCCCAGGTCAGGTGCTTAGCCTTGAATGCGCTAAATGTTATACAAACATAATGCAACTGCATGACAAAAAGCACCCATTAGCAGACTGTTAAAGAAAGCAATCCGTACTCTAAAATGATGGCGCACTTATGACAGAAGTAGTACCATCCTCTCAACATGTCAAGGGATTCAGATAAATTATGTAGCAGCATAATGCAGTTTCTGGCCGCCATTAAACCGTAGAATTGTAGAGTTGGAAGGAGCCCTGTGGGTTATCTAGTTCAACCTTCTACAACGCAGGAATCTTTTGACGAACGTGGGGCTCAAACTCACAATCCTGAGATCCTTGAGTGGTTGCTTTGGGGTCTAGGTAGTTACTTTGTACATCCCAGAGCAGGGCCTGCCGAAGACATTTTGGCGCCAGAGGCAAACCACAAAATGGCGCTTCCCCGCCAGGGACAAAGGATTGAGTGGAGATAGACTGGTGACTGGGAGCGGCCACCGAGACCATATAACACCGGTCTTGAAAGACCTACACTGGCTCCCAGTACGTTTCTGAGCACAATTCAAAGTGTTGGTGCTGACCTTTAAATCCCTAAATGGCCTCGGTCCAGTATACCTGAAGGAGCGTCTCCACCTCCATCGTTCTGCCTGGAAACTGAGGTCCAGCATCGAGGGCCTTCTGGCGGTTCCCTTACTGCGAGAAGCAAAGCTAAAGGGAACCAGGCAGAGGGCCTTCTTGGTAGTGGCACCCGCCCTGTGGAACGCCCTCCCACCAGAGGTCAAAGAGAAAAATAACTACCAAACTTTTAGAAGACATCTGAAGGCAGCCCCGTTTAGGGAAGTTTTTAATGTTTGAAGTTTTATTGTGTTTTTAATATTCTGTTGGGAGCCGCCCAGAGTGACTGGGGAGGTCCGGCCCGATGGGCGGGGTATATGTAATTGTTATTATATACACAGGGAAGGTGTGCATGTGGGGAATCAAATCGACCTTACCTGATGTATTAAATGAGAATCAAAGGCTGTCGCAGGAGGGCGGTACTCTGAATCGCACTGGGCAGGGCCAGGAGACCCCAGCAGCGCCTGATTTAGGGTGGTCTGAACACCGTCTCCCCTGCACAGGGCACCGAGCTGAGGGGGGCACAAAATTGAAGAAGAAGAAGAGTTTGGATTTGATATCCCGCCTTTCACTCCCTTTAAGGAGTCTCAAAGCGGCTAACATTCTCCTTTCCCTTCCTCCCCCACAACAAACACTCTGTGAGGTGAGTGGGGCTGAGAGACTTCAAAGAAGTGTGACTGGCCCAAGGTCACCCAGCAGCTGCATGTGGAGGAGCGGAGACGCGAACCCGGTTCCCCAGATTACAAGACTACCGCTCTTAACCACTACACCACGCTGGTTAATTGAGAAGCTCCACAGTTGAGAAGCTCCATTTGGGTGTGCCAAATGTTGACCACGCTCGGGGTGCCAGATTACCAAAGTCCGCCCCTGAGGGCAGCCCCCACCATTTCCTCTCTAGGGGTGGGAGACCAGCAGTGCTTCCTATTTGTTGCGAGGCCACTGTAGAGGTGGCATTGGGGGGTGGCATGGCGGATCTGGCCTCGAAGGAGTGCACCACAGTCATTGTTACTGCAGCAGCAGTGGGTGAGGACTTTCTCAGAGGCCAGATCTGCTGCCCCTGGGGATTCTGCCGCCTGAGGCAGTTGCCTCACCTTGCCTCATGGGTGAGCTGCCCCTGGCCCTTAGTTTCTACTATAAGGAATCTGCCTTAGACTGAGTCAGACCACTGGTTCATTAGCCCAGTATTGTCTATACTGGCAGGCAGTGACTCTCCAGGATTTCAGGTGCTTACTAAAGGGCAAGCCCCATTAAACCCATGGTGCTTAGGCTTTCTCTTGAAAGTAGCTTATTTTTGCCAACCAAGGTCATCATCTAAATACATGATTTGAGAAGGTGTACACTTACCACTCATCATCCTGACTCCTGCAAAATGAGTTCAGGGCAAACTCCTGGAATGACTACAGGCAAAAGGCACTCCAGCATCAAGTTCCTTTTTGACCTGCCCAGAAACATCATTTTCTTTTGAACACCAGTTGGCCAGAGATGCCAAATTTGGCTCTTGTTTTCTAATAAAAGGTTCCAACTCTCACTGGACCACCACGATCCCTTGCTAGGACCACCAGTTATGATTATACATTAATAAATGAAGGGACATGCAACTTTGTTAGACTTTTATTGTATGTCACTCACATAACTGCAGAAAATAATCATCCATGTAACAAAAATAACTGTACCAGACAAGACACACAGGACTCACGTGTGCAACAATTGCACTTCTCATCATATGACATGCAGCATTAACTATGATTCCCTTTTAAATTGTTTTTCAGGTTTGGTAAGTACCTTCTGAAATGAAAATTACATCGCTATTTCAGTTAAGCAGCAGCAGCAACATGTACAGATGAGATACCCAGATGGCTTTTGCTCTATTGTTTGAAAGAGAATGAAACACTGATTGCTAGGAGGCATGGCAGAAGATAAGACTGTGGAAGATATGCAGTTACCTTTTCGGTCTACCTACAGAGAGTATTGTGAATCGTATGTTGTTGGCATCAACGTGTTGGCTTTGCAATGTATGCTAGAACAAGCTGTAAACTTCAGTGGCATTTTAAACTCGCATTGTGTACAGGTAACTCACAGGCTTATTTTACTTACATGATTGTAGCTTTGCATTTGTGGGTGGGAAATGGAGAGCAGAAGAAATCCATTCTCCATTTGCTTATTTCCTACCTTCCCATCAAAGCTACAACTGCAGGCTTACCCAGCTTTTGGGAAGGTGGAATGAGGGCTCTGGCAAGGTCCTAGAGCCCTTCCAGCCTTTTCCCCAAAACCAAGCAGACCCTCCAACTTTGGGGGGGGCAGTCCCAGGGGTTCCTGGCTTTACGTCTTTTTGCACTTATGTGTGGAACCCCACGGCCAAATCCTTGCATAGGTTACGAGTTACCTGCATACTGCTTTAAGATGCACAGTAGTATAAGATACTAGTATCTCCTAATTGTTAAGTCTCTCTATCTTTATTAAATATTGTTCTCCAAGCACATACTAACTATGAGTTCCACAGATTTTTCTATTCTCCATCTTGACAGAAACAAAGATCATGAATGCCTGAGTTCACTGGCTAAATAGCAGAATGGAGATTTTCATACAAAAGTGTCCTTTCTTCCCAACCAAGTTTGGACAGTGAAATTTAGGTCAACAGCACTGTTGGTAAAATAATGCTTAGTTCCCACCCCCGCAATTAAGGCATTTCAATTGACATTAAAAACATTAATTTTTTTGGTAACAGTATAATTCAAAAATCTTAAGGTATGCTATTTATTTGTACAGGTGAAGAACTGAAATGTATTTAAGCATTTTTAACATCACTGCAAAATAAGAAATATATTAACATGAAAATATCTGTTGTTTTCAGACAGGGCAGTGCAACTTAAGAAAAACTTCAACGGAACAGAAAACACTGACAACTCACTCTTCCTGTTCAATGTTGTGAAATGCCCAAACCATGTGCAAATCTATTTAGTAACAAATTCAATTTGGCAAACTGAATTTTAAGCCGTGAACAAACCTTTTGCTATTAAAAATCAGACACCCACCTTCCCATGCAGTCAGGACAGCACAGGGCTCAGTACAGGTCACTTCCAGATAACCTGTTTTTGAGCATTCACCCAGATCTGTTTGCACACAATCTGCATGGAGGTTATACAATGTCTAATGATTTGTTTGTGAGGTTCTATGATGTAGTGTCAAGCAGCTGTTATCCTATATCTTTCAGTGCATTTCCCCATCCCTTTCCTTACTGCAATAAGCCATATTTTTGGGGTGGGGGAAAGGTTTGCTGTGCAAAAGCGCCAAAACCACTTGTGCAATGTGAATTTGCCTGCATGTGACTGAATTGCACCTGAAAGATAGTGGTGTTTTGGAAGCAAAAATGCAAGAGAGCTGCCACTTTCATATAAACTTTTACTCCAAGCACCAAGGGATTTCAATACAAAATAGCACAACTTGGAAATATGTCGCTATGACGGTAATTTGCTTTTCTGACAATATTAATTGCCTGGGAGTCTCTAACAACTGTCAGTATTATTGATTCATTGCCTGCTGAAAGGTAATCTAGGTAGAGCTATTACAAGGGCAGATGTAATATCCATAAATTTCTTCAAGGTGGCAATTCCAGTAACGCTTATCACAACCTGGTCATATTAATTGGCTCTAATTTCCATTTTGGGTTCAGTAGCTTGTTTTCTAACAATGAAACAGTGCAGTCTACTCAGAATTCGGCCTCGCTGAGTTTAAAGGGATTGATTCCCAGGCAAATGAATATAGGATTGCAGCTTTAATTGTTTTAATGAAATTTATTTTAAATGCCAAGAGATATGTTAAGGCTAGGAAATTTCCCCAACAGATTGAGGAAATATATACCAGGCTAAGAAAAAGTCCTTTTGATAAGAGTCTTAAAAATAATAATAATCAGATACATAATATTTTAATTAACCACCCATTACTATAACTGTAAATGATTAGAAATGTCAAAACAATATAAACTTTTGATGTTTATTGATGAAAAAAATCCTACCAAAAAATATTAGGTGAAATTCAGTGACAAAATTATGATCAAATGGAAGCCGTAGTCCACATGTCAACCATTCAGATTCCTTAAATTATTCTTAGTATCAAAGTACCTATATAGACAAATTCTATACTGTGCTTTTAAAAAGTGATATGTATCACAATATAGCTGCGGCATAGTATACTCTCCAACCTGTTTGTCTGCACTGAGTGTGATTTTAAGAACAGAGAATGCAAGTAAGCTGCCTCTATGATCAGCATGTTCTCCGATAAACCTCTAACTACTATGTTTTTGCTTTGGGGATAAGTGTTAAAAAAAGTACTGAAATCAATAAAGTATTACTATTACAGGCACAAATTAAAGAAACAGGCAGTGAAATTTAATTGTCATCACAGTATATTTTAAGCCAGTTCCTTTTTTTGCAACAGAAGGGGACATCCTTGCCTAATCTGTCTCTGGCTGATTAATTAATTGCACTGATATAATGGCACAGCTGAATACAGGCTACTGAGATCCAGATCAAGTGCATTTGGGGTGAAAGAAGGTATTTTTTCCCCATGGTTGTAGCAAGCTGCTTCAGACAAGTAGCCTGTCACATGGAGGAAGCCTCTGCAACATGAGATTTTAAAACTGCTATGCAACTACTTGACATGATGGCTCCTTGGTGCAAAGCAGGAATCAGTGTTGCGACTTTTACTTAATTACCTGAACGAGGAAAACCAACCCTTATCATAGGACAGGCATAGGCAAACTCGGCCCTCCAGATGTTTTGGGACTACAACTCCCATGATCCCTAGCTAACAGGACCAGTGGTCGGGGATGATGGGAATTGTAGTCCCAAAACATCTGGAGGGCCGAGTTTGAATGTTATAGGTATGCACATAACACATCAACATTTGATTAGCTTGTCACCTTGAGGAAAAGAGAGATACCGAGTTTGAAACCTGTTACTGTAGAATGTGTAATACTTTTAATCTAAACATATCTGACTATATTCTCAAGTGATGGTTCTTTTAAGTTTTTCTGATCCTAGTCCTCGCAATCAAAACAAATATCATGGTGTGATTCTCAAAGGATGGGCATCAAATGCTCCTAACAAGTGTCTTGCCAGTGCAGGCACAGTCCACTACTAAAGCAGGATATGCATGGTTACGGCATTCGTGACAAAGCTAGCAGTTTCATCAAGGCAGGCAAACACGTTTACAAGTCGTAGAGAACCTCAAGGATCACAGCAATGGACCAGGCCTGTGTTTCACAGCTGAAAGGGCAGTACTGACCATTTTCGTTAGTCAGTTCTGGAAGACCTTTCCAAGGTGATCTGCCAAAACAAACAAGCAAAAAGTTAATGCATCACTACTGGAACTACCGAGCATTTTAATATATTAAAGCAACCCATCTCACATAAAGGACAGCACACATGGGTGTGCGTGAAAGAATATAGACCAGGAATTATAACTATTTGGCAAACTGCTCTGATTTCAAATCCCCCCCCCTTTTTTAAAAAGTCTAATGTACATTAGAAAAAGTGGGAAGCTCCCAGCTGTGGAAAAGATGAAGGGGAATTGCAGATTTAGACGACAAAACTTTACTAAGCCCAATGCCTTTCAGCATTGCTTTTTTTTCTTAAAAAATGTTTAGAGGTACTCTCATTTTGACTCAAGAAAATCACCATTTTATAGTTCAAATCGGGGAAAATAAATACAGTAAAGGGACAAAAGTACAAAGGTTCACAAAATGTTTAGGGGTATGCGTACCCCTGTGCCTCCCCGAAAAAAAGCACTACCTTTTGAAATGAGTTCTTCCTCAGGGGCACTCTTAAAACTAGCAATTTCACTCCTAGCCTTTTACATACAAATATAATTTTATTTGTATGCCGCCTTTCCATAGTTCAAACCATGCTCAAGGCAGCATACAACATGAAAAAACTCATATAATTACAAATATAACAAATAGTCATAAACAATAAATAAAGCATCCCAAGTACACAATCAAATGGAACGATTTCCACATAAATCAAAATAAGATTCTTTAAAATAGAGAATCAGGCTGCTGCAAAATAATAGTCGAGGACTGAAATTGCTCTACTCTATATTAATGACAAAACAATGCTATCAATTATACTCAATCACTGGACACAGAGAGAAAATTATTAAGATGACTTTGTGTATACATTCCATTGTTGCCCAATTTCCCTTTTACTGGGGCTTGCATTTACATTCATTGTCTTGGTACTTCAGTGAAATAGCCTGTGTTATTCAGTACACAAGGACCAAGCAAAACAAACCAGCAGGATCCAGGTAGAGGCAGAACTGCTGGTTTCCAAAAAGCATAAACCTTGGCCCAGAGAACAGTGTGTGCATGTTACTGCAGTGACAATCTACACAACAAAGACTGGGGAAGGAAAACATTAGTGTCTCACGGTGCCCATCTGCTAAGACGGGGGTTGGCCACTACTAAGAACACTGAGATCATGATGGATTCCTGCATGCGACCAAAAACTTTTTGGAAGACAGAGCACCCAGACCAAGTTCTGCCCCCTTCCTTGCATTTTCTCTCTCTTTTGTTATGGTTCTGGACAGTTAAGAGTTAACACTCCAGGAAGCGTTCTTATTCACTGGGTGCATTGCCCACATGACCTGGGCATTTTCCTTTGATCTATGCTCTCTGGGGACGCGGGTGTCGCTGTGGGTTAAACCACGGAGCCTAGGACTTGCCGATCAGAAGGTTGGCGGTTCGAATCCCCATGACGGGGTGAGCTCCCATTGCTCGGTCCCTGCTCCTGCCAACCTACCACTTCGAAAGCACGTCAAAGTGCAAGTAGATAAATAGGTACCGCTCCAGCCGGAAGGTAAACGGCGTTTCCGTGTGCTGCTCTGGTTCACCAGAAGCGGCTTAGTCATGCTGGCCACATGACCCGGAAGCTGTATGCCGGCTCCCTCGGCCAGTAAAGCGAGATGAACGCCACAACCCCAGAGTCGGCCACGACTGGACCTAATGGTCAGGGGTCCCTTTACCTTTACCTTTATGCTCTCTGGGGGCTGCAGAGAGCAGTCTGTCTGAGAATGTGAGCAAGGTAGTTTTGTTTTTGTTAGAGACAGAAAGTTGCGAACATGCAGCTAGATTCTGTAAGTTTTCTTTTCTGTTTGTTATGCTTCTAAATAAAGAGTGTTAAAGTAGAAGAACTGGTGTCAAGCTGAGTTATTGAAGACACCACGCAGACACAGACAAAGCCATTTTACGCTGCGTGTGAACTCTGCTATTATCCGGCAACTGAGAAGAGTGGCAGCGTGAGTGGCAGCGTGTGGGCGCCATTGAAGTTTGTCGGAGTGGCAATAAATGAAATTTATTGCAGGGCCATTGCAGCAGACTCAGTGGGTCAAAGGATTTACAACCCACGAACTTTAACATCTTTCCCCAACCAAGAACTGGCTTTCCAACCTATTGCAAGGATAATCTGTTATTGCAGTTTCCCAGGCAACCATGATAAGCAAGCAAAGTACCGTATTTTTCGCTCTATAAGACGCACCAGACCACAAGACGCACCTAGTTTTTGGAGGAGGAAAACAAGAAAAAAAATATTCTAAATCTCAGAAGCCAGAACAGCAAGAGGGATCACTGCGCAGTGAAAGCAGTAATCCCTCTTGCTGTTCTGGCTTCTGGGATAGCTGCGCAGCCTGCATCCGCTCCATAAGACGCACACACACATTCCTCCTTACTTTTTAGGAGGGAAAAAGTGAGTCTTATACAGCAAAAAATACGGTACTTGCCTGATGTGGGCATTCTACTCTCCATCCCCATCCCTACACACAGAATGGTATGTCTCGTATGCAATGATTCACAAGTGATTTCCTACTTCTGCATACAGGTTACGGTTGATGGGACTAGGCCAGTAGATCTCTCCAATTTAAAAGGCTTTAGGGTCGAAGCATGAAAGTATCACAACAAATTAATAATGGCTCGTGATACACTTGCGGTTTCACTCTTGTCTAAAACGTACAGCTCAGTGTTTCCCAAACTTGGGTCTCTCCAGCTGTTTCTGGACTACAATTCCCATCATTCCTGACCACTGGTCCTGCTAGCTAGGGATGATGGGAATTGTAGTCCAAAAACAGCTGGAGAGACCCAAGTTTGGGAAACACTGGTACTAGCGAAAAGCCCTGGTTCCATTTTATAGGTCTCATAAAAACAGCTTTCACATTCCCCGTAATTCTTCTGCAAAGAATTTCCTTCATTATGCCTCCCCCCCCTTTTTTGGCTGCAGTGTGTATATAATTATTCAAGATGAGAGACCCATATTATTCTGGAAGAAATATCAAAACAAATGGGTGTCCAACAGCGATACTTCAAGCTGCTTAAATGAAAAGCTACCTCTCAAGGTGGACGTAATGGCGAGAAAGAGCATTCTTAATCAAATAGACAGTCTTCGCATAGATCTCTGGACCAATTAACTTGGAGAAGTACAACTTGGCACGAAGAAAATATCCAATTGGCCACAGCCATTCCTTAAAATAAAATAAAAAAGGCAAGAGAAGCAGAATTAAGGACACACATTTTTGGCAATGGAAAACCAAAATCTGTTGGGGGGGAAAAGTGCTGAAGCACAAAACTTACAGGTCCTTGGTGATAATTAAATCCTCTTGCCACATTGTAGTTATCATTATCTAAGGCATTGTCGTAGACACCACAGTAAACCATATCACTGTAGACAAAAAAAATCACAAAGGGCAAATAAGTACAATTATAGAAAGCTGCATGAAAAGATACAGAGTTGTTTAGGGAGAATAGATCTCAATTCAAAAGAATTCTAATCAAAACATTTCCAACATCATCTCCCCCATCCAACCCAGCCCCCCGTTATTTGTAAGCAACATTACACAGATCAATTCTGCACGTATATTTCCAGAGGTGGCAACAAGTTGCGTAATTCCCTCTTCAGGGAAGCTTGGTCTCCCAAAAAGCTTTTAAAATGGCATGGTTGTTTGTTTATTTTTTTCTTCCAAAAGATTTCTTTTCACACTGATGGGGACACAAACTTATTTAAGCCATGGAGCATGGCACCATTTTAGTTTCATGCTCAAAGTTAACTCCCCCCCCCCCCCCCCGGCAAATGTATTCAAAATGTGGTTGCATTAAAGCACAGGGGAAATCATATTAGCTGGATTGAGATGGGAATATCGGAAAGATAGATGCTACCCACTGGGAGGTTTTGAACAAAGTTTCTCTGTCAAGGAATCTTATATTTGATGCAACAGAACTCCAGGTTTCTATTAATGAAGAAGCCCTGGAGACGGAGACTTCGGTGTTTGCCTTGCACAGAATTTAGCTCCTAATTCTGAGCAAGATCTAATCAGCCTTCTATTGCACTTACTCTGGGTCCAAAGTTTTCATGCCAAGTGGACCTAGTAGCTTTTCCTCTACCATTTCAAGTGCTTTCCACGCTCGCTCAGGAGAGAACAATTCAGGTGCCTTGATAAAAAAACCAAGGGGGGAAAAACCACTTAAAAACCAATAGCAAAACCCTGGAAAATTAAATGAACAAGCTTCATCCTGGTTTTCACACATATTTTACCCCCTCCCCCGTATTATCCACAATGCAACCTAAAATCTCAGTGTAAAAGCAGTGTTTAAATAGCCTAATTTTTAACAGAGCACAATTCGCAAATATTCCGAGTTGCCAGGGTTGTCCTTTCCTCTTGACTCCCCAGAGCCAGGGAAGGAAGCTGAGCCCAGGGAAACTTGAGCCCAGAGACTTTGGATCCCAGTTGATGTGAGAACCACCAGCATTGCAGAGACTGGTAGGAATATTTCAAAGCACCTCACTGATAGGGAACTGAACATCACAGGCTAGCAGCTGTTCTCTGCAGGGTTTGTGAGCACTTCTGATTGTTCTATGGCAGATGAACTCTGCTGAGTCTAGACCTCACTGAAGGATGGACGAATCTGAGAACTTTGCCTTCTCTTCATTTCTCATTTTCCCAATCTTAAATTCACAGCTGATCACAGTTCAGGCAATTTTCACACCAGTTTGCAAATAGATTATGTGCCCACCCAGAGCATGTTTTGCTGTGTTATTATGTTGGAAGCCACCCAGAGTGGCTGGGGCAACCCAGTCAGATGGGAGGGGTAAAGGTAAAGGGAACCCTGACCATTAGTTCCAGTCGTGGCCAACTCTGGGGTTGTGGGCTCATCTCGCTTTATTGGCCGAGGGAGCCATCGTACAGCTTCCGGGTCATGTGGCCAGCATGACTAAGCTGCTTCTGGCGAACCAGAGCAGCACATGGAAACGCCATTTACCTTCCCGCTGGAGCGGTACCTATTTATCTACTTGCACTGTGACATGCTTTTGAACTGCTAGGTTGGCAGGAGCAGGGACCGAGCAACGGGAGCTCACCCCGTCGCGGGGATTCGAACCGCCGACCTTCTGATCGGCAAGTCCTAGGCTCTGTGGTTTAACCCACAGCGACACCCGCGTCCCAGCCATGGGAGGGGTACAAGTTATTATTATTATAATCATTATCGTCAATGTCATCCTTTTAAAAAGTCAGCATGGAGACCCATATGCATTGCACCTAATATAATGCATCTTGGTTTTCAGCAGTATATGCATTTGTTTCTGTGCACTAATCTACAGTTGCACTAATATATGCATTTTTGGGTTGGGGGTTGGACTCGATGACCCTTGGGATCCCTTCCAACTCCATACAGTGATTCATAGGAATTTGTTGGCTAAAGGGGATGGGATCAACATAGCACAGTATCCGACACTACTGCATGACACAGCAGAATTGTGGATCAGGGTCCTAAGACTTTCTCATTTCTTCCTCCAGTAGCAGAGGAATCAAGAGCCCTTCCTGCAAGGGCCTGGGGGAGGGTACAAAAGGATCCCACCCAAAATGCGCATGCTAATGCTAACGAGTTAACGGACCCATCAGATTTTGGAGAGGTTATTTCAGAAGTAATGTTCAGTGGGATTCCTCCCCCAAATCATATTTTGCTCATCATAGCTTGTAAAGCGCCAGTGAAGAAAAGCTAAACTAAAAGCACAGTCCTAAACATGTCTACTCAGAAGCATGTCTTATTGAATTTAATAGAACTTTCTTTTAGGTAAGTAGAGTTAGGACTGCAGCCTAAACTATGTAATAGAAGTTGAGTTTAAAAAAAAGAAGCGAAAAAAGTTATATGGTTTGAAAAGTATGTTTACACAATACATACCACAACCATTGCTATAGGGAAATTTGGCCTTAGTTGATAATCACACCAAGGACTTGAAGCTCCATAGCTGTCCTTATATATGCCTCGCTTGTGAACCAGAGTTGGGTGTTTCTCATTGGGATCTGCTGGATTCTCAGAGACAAAGAACAGCTTTTCAAAGTGTGCCAGGATTTTTCTGTTCCACTGATCATACGTTATGGTCTCTTCTTTCCCTGGAAAACAATGTAACGCAAAAGACTGGTTTTGATAATGCTTCAGTGCCAACAGAAAATATATATATAAAGACCTGTGTTGGTTTAATTTCAAAGACAAACGTGAACCTGCAATATACTCTATATAAGTACTATGGCTTGGTGTTCAGTGGTAGTCAACAAGATTCCTCAGGCTTGAAAGTTCGAAAACCACTGTCAAAAATATTGCTTCGCACTCAGAACATTATCCTTGGGTGCAGCACAGTTAATAATAATTATGATTTTGAAGTAAAAATACTGATCTTGCAGAGTTGTTGTAAATACTACAACTAAATAATGCATGTGAAATGGTTTGAATTTTCTCCATTCCCATCGTACATTGCAGATGAGACTACTTACCATGTCTTTTGATAGTAACTCCAGAATAAGGAAATATATTATTCTTGGACAACTCTAGTAACCAGCGAACTGTTGATTTGCATAAACCAACTATCTCCACAGCGGAACCATCTCTAAAAGTACGAGAGATATAGGTTTCAAGATTTACAAAGCAAGATTATAAATGACACTGCTCTAGGATTCCTTCTATCAGTATGTATTCAGAGTCTAAACCAAGAATGCAACTCAGATCACTCCAAGAACCACTTTTGTAGGTTTTAATTGGGGCTGCATCCAGTGTTTTTGTTACCATTTTAACTTGGCATCTCTTTTCCTTCATTCTCTACTAACCCCTTGTTTTCCCCCAAGGTATGCACTCTTCCCCACAGAGCTTGCTACTCTTTTTTGTGCCTCTAAACATCTGTACTCATGACCTCCCAGTGACCCCCCTTTTTTCTGCCTCCCATTTTTGCTTTCTGTCTCCCCCCGCCTCATTTTCAACTCATTGAACTGCCCAACAGCAACACACAAGGCCTTCGCCCTCCCAGCAATTTGTACCAGCAGATGAGCGGCACATCATGGCTGGCTGCAAAGGGCTAGGACAGGGCTTCCCAAACTCGGGTCTCCGGCTGCTTTTGGACTACAACTCCCATCATCCCTAGCTAGCAAGAGCAGTGGTCAGGGATGGTGGGAACTGTAGTCCAAAAACAAACTTGGAGACTCAAGTTTGGGAAACACTGGGAACCGATTTCAACCCGGCCTCATGAAGTGTCCGCATATTAAAATGGAAAAGCTGGGCAAAACATGCAGCCTTTGAAATGCAGGAGACAGCTTGCACATATAACTAAATATAATTTTTTAACCCACAAGGCTAAATGAATAGCACAGGGCAAAATGTGTTAAGTTGAAGAAACAACTATGCTCCTAACTGATGTTTTGGAAAAGCAGCTTGGTTCCTCAAACATGCTGGGTTGGAATCCAGAAGTAGGACAAATCCTGCACTCAAAGTTCTGCACGCATAAGCCCTTACAGAAGCTGTGGATGAACGACTAGCTAAATTGTACATAGTGACTGCCCAAAACGGGCACTTTACACATTTTGATTTCAGCTAATAGGGTCTGAAAATACAGTTTTGAAAATCTATACACCATTTCTTCATAACTTTGCAGGTCCAAAGAAATATTGTTTGACACACTTTTATTGAGGAATTAAAAACAGCCACTATGTACTTATGCCATACCCATTAAGATGTCAATAACGCTGTAAAATCTTTATACTGTACCTCGGAGTGGCTGGAATTCCTTTGTTGCGAGCTCTGTCACTCTCTCCCATCTTATCCATCCATGTGCCACAATTAAAACGGTTCCCTCCATAGACAAAGCCAGTTTCCATGTCCACACCCGCAGTCACATTAAAACCTACCAACGGTGAAAATCAGATGTTTTGCAAAGACTTACAGAGAGAAAGAGACAGAAATCTTACACAGGACCCGAGAAGCACCCCAGCCAAAACTAAGTAAGATTTCTAGTGCAGTACAATTAACATTTAACGAAATATCTCTTTCCAGAACAAGAGAGACCTTAAAGATACATTTAAACATTTATGCGCCTGTAAAGTGTGTGGACAGATCGTCTAAGCAAATACAATACACTTCGAAAGTAACGTTTAGGGTGGTTTAAAAAGGAAGAATTTTATTTTTACTGGTGCAGAAAATAAATTGATGGATCAGAGTCTACCTTCATCTCTCATATTCCGATCTATCTGCGGACCAGCATTCCTTTCGCGGAACTGTATGCCTTGCATATGTCTCTGCATGGCTTCTTGTATCACTTCATACAGTGGCTGGTCCTGAATTTGGGTTGGTTCAAATATACAAGAAGAAAAGAAATGGGAACAGCAAAAAAAGTTAAGCCAGATACTTAGGACTCAGCTACATTAGTGAAAAAACAGTATTCTGAATGCGTTATAAACATGCAACACCGGATAGTGCTGGAGAGCAAAAATAAAATAAAAAATATTTGCGATTTTCCACTGCGTTTTTTCTTTGGTTATAACAATTTAATTTCTCTGTGTGTACATCCACCCTTAAAAACAGAATGAAGCCACAGTACTTTATGGTACTTAAGAGATTTATTTGGCATTTTGTTCTCTGAAACAACACAACAGAAGTACCAAAGTTGTGTTACACAATCACAAAATTATATTTAAAAAAAGGTTTTATGTTTTAACTGTGGAGACAGTCACAGCTCGGTTAAAATTAGTTTATGTAAAAGCCACTCTGCTGGATCAGATCAAAGGCTCATTTAGACCAGCATCTTGTTCTCACCGTGGCCAATCAGTTGACTATGGAGAACCAGATGATTATGTGGAGGCTACAAGAAACAGCTCCCTCCCGCACTTGTGATTTCCAGTAACTGGTATCCAGAGACATCCTGCCTCCAACAGTAGACGCAGAACAGTCCTTGGCAGATCAGTCTAAGGCCATAGTGTGCCACGAGTGAGGAAGAGGTACATGACGGGAAGATTTGTCCCCAGAGCTAGCACGCCGGTGACGCATGCACGCAAGCAAGCAAGAGTCAAGCCACAACTTGAAGAGAAGGGCAAATTATAGATTACCTTTTGACCCGGTGGCAGAGGAGGAGAGTCATCTGTAGGATACATTCTGGATACAGGACACTTGAGAATGTCAGTGCCATTTGGAACGACCTTACAGTAGTCTTGTATGCACTGTAGCCACCACCAGACAGCATCACGGCAATTGAATCTGGCATGAGTGCCCTGGCCAAGCAAGTTGGGAATGAGTCCATGTCTCAGCGTACCAGCAAACGCTAAAATTATGTTCCTGAAATTGAGGGAGGGAGGGAAAAGAAAAGGACATGTTTCCAAATTCACATTTACATACAACCTAGAGGTTCCAAAAAACTAAATAGTGCAAACAGTGACTAGAATAATGAAGATAATTGGAACACATGGGACACAAAATTACTTTTGAGAGCTGTAAGTTCTTTAGAACAATATAGATCCCATTATTTAACAGCCCTTGAATACTGATACATACACAATGTTCCCCTGTTCTTTAAACTTAAATTATGTGTGTTTATATTTTCTTCAGTTAGGAAAATGTTAAGAGCCACAGCACCAGAACATAACTGATTCCTGAGAGTGAATAAAAATAAAATAAAATAAGAGTTCTTGGCTATGCTGGAGTAACCTTATACCAACAGCTACGTCAGCTAGTCACTATGGACATGTGAACCTGATCTCACCTCGCTTCCAAGTAACGTCCAGTAACTAACAGCAGACCTCGCAATGCAATGAATGTATCTCTTCCCCAGCAGCGGAAAATGCCAGATGAAAAATGAGGTAAGCCTAAAACAGTAAATATATATATATATATATTTAAGAACTTAATGGTACTCCAAAATGTTCTCATTTCTGTTTGTAGTTGATCCCTCCTCAGCTCCCCACCTGTATTATAACACACACACCTTGACTAAATCACTGTTGTTCCACCATTAATCAATCAACAAAAATAAAAGCATGCAATATGCTGTTGCTCCTAGGTTGGCAGTGTTTCTCAAACTTATGTCCCCGGCTGTTGTTGCACTACAACTCCCATCATCCCTAGCTAGCAGGACCAGTGGTCAGGGATGATGGGAGTTGTAGTCCAACAACAGCCAGGGACCCAAGCTTCAGAAACACTGTGTTAGTGTATCAACTGAAATGGACCTTTATGACTAGTTAACACTTGTCTTGGCTAGTTAACAGTGCTTGTCTACCTGTTCAGGGCCTCCAGGTGCTACCCACTTCTTCTATGTGGGAGACAGGCAAAGTACAGGCACACAGTGGGGAATGAACCCAGCATTTGTTACTAGGTTCACACAACCTTTCCCATCGATACAGTTTTTAGCAAGGCTGCTCATATTTGCTCCGCAAAGTCTCCCGGCCTTCCTAAACTTCTGCAGAGCACCAGCGCACCCAATTCGGTGACCTGTAACAGATTTAAAACATTCAAATTCAAAATGTTCTTTCTTTCTTTACTTACCAGCTGCTAAAGTAACACAGCTCTGTTCTCTCTCTTTTGTAATGTCGTTCAGCCTATAAGGAACATCCTGGATGGCGGGAGACAGAGGGGGCAAGGATGGATACTTCCCTATTCCACACATCTGGACCGAACCCAAGGAGAGATGTTTAACAAATGTCGATCCATTCTGAACAAAGCTGCAATTAAAGCAAAACTATTTATTTCTCAAGCCTACAAACATTCCCCTCTTTTCAGTCTTCCAAGATCAATGCAACCAGCAGCGCTGATTTCAAACGCATGCGTTGTTGAGATCTATGGAACGTTCCGGATCCTCCGTGGCTTCAAGGTATTTGAAAAATTCAGAGTATGAGGTAAGGTATATGGACAATACCACAACTCATACAGATGGTTCTGTTGTACTGCCCTTCATTTTTATTTTGACAAAACTGACATGATACAAAAATAGCTAACCCCATTTCAGTTGCATTTCATGAAATGAGCATAAATGTTCTTATTCAAGACAAAACTGCTTGGATCTGCACCAGAATTGTAGACTGGGGTTTTCTTTTTTGATCTAGCAAATATCTGCCAACCACCCAAATCTGCCAGTGATTCTATGATCTTCTACCGGGCATGATCCCAGGGACGCAGGAGGCTTCACCATGCCCAGTCCTCGTGTGCTGATGTGCACAATTAAATACCATATGTGACATGCTACACTATCCAAGCAGGGATGTGAAAACTGTGGCTTTCTAGACGTTGATGGACTACAACTCCCAGTGTCCCTGATCACTGGCTATCCTGGCTGGTGTTGCTATGAATCGGATTCCAAGAATGACTGGGGGCACACATTTCAAGCCCTTGGCTGAGTCACTGAGCGATAAGCAATGAGACATTATGTGAGGGACAGAAGCATGTGAAACAGACTATTAGCTGTTTTCCTTTCACCGATATGGAAAGACTGGCAGAGGAAACTTTTTCTGACTTTGGTCAGGACTGCTATGGCTTGGTCATAGTACACTTCCTTCACTTCTTTAGGAGAACGGATAAAACGTTCAGAAATGTATACAATTGTGTTTGCGTGAAACCACATTTTTTTTGGTATGGACAAACATACCTAGACATCTGTTTCCAAACCAAGTCAAGCAGCGACGTGTATGCGCCAACTAATATGGCATCGAAGTAGCATGGAATGAGATAACGAGGAACCCTCTTCAGGTAGACAAACATTGCTTTCAGCCACTTGCCAACCTATTGTTATTTCAAGGGAAACAAATTGTTGCACTGAATTAAAACCAATTATCGAAAATGACCATGTAACGTATAAATGCCTATCTGAAAGGGAAATGTTCTCTCTTTGCATCGCTTGACTTACTTCCGAGCAGGCGCCAGAACGGGCAATTAGCCGATCGCTCACGTAATCAATCATCCAGTCCCCAGCTCTCAAGTTACCACAGAAAGGATGGCCCAAATCATTCTTTGGTCGTATGTCTCCCATGACGGACATTATTCCTGAAAGACCATAGAAACATGGTTCTGTATTACAGGTCAAGAAACTATCACGAAAAGTAGGTTGAGTGTCTAAAAAGAAGGCAACGGCTGCAAAATAATATTCTGAAAATACCAGACACCCAAATCAAGGTGAGTTTAATTCTGCAGACAAACTAGAGTGCAGACTGATTACTTTTTAAAAACCTACTGTCTGTCCTTGGCGCTCATGCTAATTCCAGTCTTGTGCCATGTGAGATGCTGCCCAACTGCTCACCCTAGGCGAGTGAGTTTAACAGAACCATAAAGTGGGTCACTAACTTGCATATTCTTTAGTTAGGTCCTATCTTGAGGCTCAGCTTTGAAAGCGTTCTATGATATGAGTCTGCTTTCATGCATAATAAGCAGAAGCCAAACCATGGTTTGGCATTATGTACAAAGACGCAAGGTTACAAACCCCAGCTTGTAAGGAGCTACTAAACAAGGATAATAAATTACCGTATTTTTTCGCCCTATAGGACGCACTTTTTCCCTTCCAAAAATGAAGCGGAAATGTGTGCGCGTCCTATGGGGCGAATGCAGGCTTTCGCTGAAGCCTGGAGAGCGAGAGGGGTCGGTGCGCACCGACCCGTCTCACTCTCCAGGCTTCAGGAAGCTCTGCGCAACCCTTGGGAGACTGGCGCGACTTCGCGCCAGTCTCCCAAGGGCTGCGCAGAGCTGCCTCGAGTCCCGGGCTTCGTGCAGCTCTGTGCAGCCCCAAGGAGCCCGGAGCGAAGTTGCGCTGGTCTCCTGGGGGCTGCGCAGAGCTGCCTGCAGTCCCGGGCTTCGCGCAGCTCTGCGCAAGCCTGGGGAGACCGGTGCGACTTCCCGCCGGGCTCCCTAGGCTTGCGGATAGCAGGCTGTTCTCGGGGCTGGGGTCGGGGGAAGCTCGGGCTTCCCCTGCGCCAGCCCCGCGCCTGGGGGGGGGAATAATTTTTTTTCTTTATTTCCCCCCCAAAAAACCTAGGTGCGCCCATGGGAGGTGTGCGCCCTAAGGGGCGAAAAATACGGTATCATTTGAAATTGAGTTTGCAAACCACGGTTTGTGCTACTTGTGGCCTGCTTTATGTTCAGATTCATGAAGTGCAGTTAGGGCCATTGCTTCACCTCAAATGGCTGCAGCATCGTAGAGAAGCAAGCGACTGTACGAAGTCAAGTACTGAACAGAAAGAAAATAAAAGTGGACAAGTTGCTCAGAAGTACGGTCTGCTTGCTATATGCCTAGAAGCTCAAGTGATGGTGTGTGGGGTGCTTAACCAAGGTTAGCATAAACTAGGGTTTGGAGGGAAGTCGAAATTGAGCCTATTGAACTTACTGTCAACATTTCCCTGATCTTCTCTTTGTACTGCTTGCTAAAAGATATTTGTATTTCCCTGTCTTTTGAAACTTAGAATCTAGTGCTAATCCCCGGAATGCGGAATATGAAGACAACCAATGTCTGGCATGGCAAGCTAAACACGGTTGACGAGCTACTAGCTACCAGGTCTTGAGGAACATCCTATTTTGCTGTCTGCTTGGAATTGCTAAAAACAAACCAACTGAGATGAGGATGTTTTTCAAGTGCCCTCAGTCCAAACTACAGTGGTACCTCGGGTTACATACGCTTTAGGTTACATATGCTTCAGGTTACAGACTCCGCTAACCCAGAAATAGTACCTCAGGTTAAGAACTTTGCTTCAGGATGAGAACAGAAATCATGCTCCGGCGGCACAGAAGGCCCCATTAGCTAAAGTGGTGCTTCAGGTTAAGAACAGCTTCAGGTTAAGAACGGACCTCCAGAACGAATTACTGTATTTTTCGCTCTATAGGACGCACTGGACCATAGGACACACCTTGGTTTAGAGGGGGAGAACAAGAAAAAAAATTCTCCCCCTCTCTGCTCAGCGCCCCTTCAGCGAAGCGGCAGGAGAAACGGAGCCCCTTCCATTTCTCCTCCCGCTTGGCTGAAGGGGCGCTGCGCAGCTCTCCCTCTCTGCTGAAGCCAGGAGAGTCTTGCTCTCCTGGCTTCAGCAAAAGGAACCCGAAGCCTGCGGAGCGCAGTGAGAACTCGCGCTGCGCTCCGCAGGCTTCAGGCGGCTATCCCTGACGCCTGGAGAGCGAGAGGGGTCGGTGCGCACCAACCCCTCTCGCTCTCCCGGCTTCAGCGAAAGCAACGCGAAGGCTCTGGAGCGCGGAGGGAGCGCTCCCTCTGCGCTTCGGAGGCTTCCCGTTGCTATCACTGAAGCCAAGGAGCCTGCATTCGCTCCATAGGACGCACATACATTTCCCCTTAATTTTTGGAGGGGTAAAGTGCGTCCTATAGAGCGAAAAATATGGTAAGTACTTAACCTGAGGTACCACTGTACATGGCTGGCCTGCATTTGACTTTCAGAGAGAAAGCATACAGGTGGTTTGACTAATGTACATAATAATATATTTGTCTCAAACCAATTTTTACCTTGAAGACCTGCATATTTAAGGGGTGTCCAGTCTGGTATGTTGTAACACCCTCCACCGTCCTCTTGCTCCTCAGCATCACACCGATATAATACATGATTTAGGTCTGCCAAGGTTAATTTCGATGCAATACTGTGAGAGAGACAGAGATACACTGACCGGGTTAAAAAACAAAACAAAACAAACTTTTGTTAAAATTTATTTCTGGTTTAGAATAATTTAAAACAAAAAAATATATATGAAAGGGTACACGGCCGTAAGTGCAAGGTTGCAAAATCTCAGTGGGACCTACTTTTGAGCAGACATGCCTAGGATTGCATCTTAAGTCGCTTCTCTGTTTCGAAAGTAGCAAACCACTCACAACAAAAACAGACAACTTGCACACTACTGAAGATGCTATTGAGGTATTAAATCTTCAGGACTAATTTGGCTACAGGTTGCTTTTGGAAAGGAGGCTGCAGAAGTGAATCTCGTACATCGCCTCTGCATTGTTCCCCATAGGTTTCAACCGAATGGCGAACTTACGTTGAGAATGGCGTCTTGAGTATCGGCTCTGAACAATCATCGGGAAGACTTCCAGATTTAAAGTGAGGGCTGAACTGAATCAGGTGGTTACGCAGGACTCCAACAGCCTCTTGTGCTTTTGGGTCAAGGCTTACCCTGCAAAGATTGGCCAAAACAAAATGTCAATTGTGGGGAAAAAGAAGAGGCAAATGGTGAAATCCTAACCTGGTTGCCTGCTGGGGCTTAATGAAGTTTCAAGGTCACCATCCCACCTGCAGCCTTGCAGAGCAAGCCGGCCAAGGGAGGTGGATGGGGAGGAAGGCTAATGTAGAGATAGCAGAATGACTGGGGCTGAATTGGACACAATTACCGCATTTTTCCGTGTATAAGATGCTCCCATGTATAAGACAACCCCTATTTTTTAAACCCCAAATTAAGAAATTAAGTTGTTTAGCTTTTTGGGGTGGGGGTGGGGAGGTTACTTCTGCCAATTGCTCACCTGCCTGCCTGACACTGCCTATCACTTGCCACAGCCACTGCTGATCGCACACCTTGATGCAGCAGCCAAATGTATGCCTACTCGCTGCCACCAACAGCCCACCCACGCACTTGCCACAGCCGCCAATCGCCTGCCTGCCTCGCCACAGCAGCCAATCGCCTGCCCAGTTGCCACAGCCAATCGCCAGCAGGCTTTGCCACAGCCACCAATCACCCACCCAATCGCCGCTGCCAATCCACTTCTTGCTGCTGCCATTAATCGCACGTCCCCCCTCTGCAATCACTATCCATGTATAAGACAACACCCAATTTTTGCCTAATTTTTTTTAGCAAAAAGTACAGCGGTACCTCGGGTTAAATACTTAATTCGTTCCAGAGGTCCATTCTTAACCTGAAATTGTTCTTAACCTGAAGCACCACTGTAACTAATGGGGCCTCCTGCTGCTGCCGCGCCTCAGGAGCCCAATTTCTGTTCTTATCCTGAAGCAAAGTTCTTAACCTGAAGCACTATTTCTGGGTTAGCGGAGTGTGTAACCTGAAGCGTATGTAACCTGAAGCATATGTAACCCGAGGTACCACTGTATTGTCTTATACACAGAAAAATATAGTACAGTCATACCTTGGGTTAAAGATGCTTCGGGTTAAATCTTTTCAGGTTGCGTCCCGTGGCGACCTGGAAGTACCGGAACGGTTTACTTCTGGGTTTCGCCGCTCACGCATGCGCTCAAAATGATGTCACGCGCATGCGCAGAAGCGGCGAATCATAACCCACGCATGCGTGGGTTGCGTTCTGCTCAGATTGCGAACGGGGCTCCAGAACGAATCCTGTTTGCAACCGGAGGTACCACTGTACTTAAAATGATGCCCAGTGGAACCAGTTTAGCCCCCTCCCCTCTGCCAGAATATGCAGTTTGGAGGCTTGCTGCTGGCTGCTCCACTTTGGAAGGCAGAGAGGGGAGCTCTGTGCTGGTAGGGCTATGTGGACAGACATCTCTGTTCAACCCAAACCACCCGCAGCCCAGGATCAAGTGGCTTTAGATTGCTCTGCTAATCATCACTCTGTCTGCCATTTTCTACACCAACCAAAGTAATGACGTTTTACCTAAATATGATCACGCTTCCCGGTGTCAGCTTTTCGAATTCTATCTCTTGGACGAATTCATTAGGGCCTTTCGTAGCGATTGACGCTTGCTTTATTATTTTACTTTCCTTGAGCTGCCAAGAGAAGGAAATCAGATGAATTCAGTAAGTCACTTTAATCTCAGGAGTCAAATTTTTAGGCTAACCAAACAAGAGGAAGAGACACAGCTTTTACCTGGATGTGTTCCCGGAGTTCAACTGTATAATCAGGCAATCCATTGATTGAGTGCTCGTCTTTTTTATAAGGGGCAGCGCTTCTTTCGATAGTCCTCGCCTCGAGAACCACCTCTTCAATTTTGCCTGTGGAAGAGGGGGGAAAACCCCCAGACAACTCTCAATACCACGGCTAGCATTTTTTTTTATAAGTAGGAACATAGGAAGCAACCTTATACAGAATCAGACCACTGGGGCCATTTAGCTCAGGGTTTCCCCAACTTGGGTCTCCAGCTGTTTTTGGACTACAACTTCCATCATCCATAGCTAAGCAGGACCAGTTGTCAGGGATGTTGATAACTGAGATCACATCGCCCAGCTATCAGCCCTGAGGGTGCTCATGCTTTAGTCCTGTCCCTAAGTCAGCACTTTTGGGCTTCTGTTGAAATCCTACACCGACTTACCTGGGAATAAGGACCATTCAGTTCAATAGTGCATAGCTCTGAGAGGGCATACCTGGAATTGTGTAGTCATGGAGTGGGATGGTACCCAACATACAAGACAATAATAATAGATGTATTAATTCATTACTTATGCCCTGCCCCTCTGAGTTGCTCCAGACAAAGCGAAAGGGTGCACAGAAGGGTGAAACACCCCCCCCCCCACCACACCAATCTTTGTCTCTCTCGTTGTTTAATTCAGCTGGAGAGGTTGCATGATGTTGTGTTTAGATGTTCAGACTGGGAAAACCCAGACTCTACTCCTTGCTCAACCACAAAACTCTTGGGACAGTTGCTATCTCTCAGGTTGTTGCGAAGATGAAATGCGTAATGGGACACTTTGCATTCAAATCCTGATGCAGATGGGTAGGTAAAAGGTAAAAGGTAAAGGACCCCTGGATGGTTAAGCCCAGTCACAGGTGACTATGGGGTTGTGGCACTCATCTCGCTTTCAGGCCGAGGGAGCCGGTGTTTGTCCACAGACAGCTTTCCGTGTCATGTGGCCAGCAATGGAACACTGTGATGGAAACCAGAGTGCATGGAAACACTGTTTACCTTCCTGCCGCAGTGGTACCTATTTATCTACTTGCACTGGCATGCTTTCGAATTGCTAGGTTGGCAGGAGCCGGGACAGAGCAATGGGAGCTCACCCCGTTGCGGGGATTTGAACCACCAACCTTCTGAACCACCAACCTTCTGATCGGCAAGCCCAAGACGCTCAGTGGTTAGACGACAGTGCCACCCACGCAGAGGGGTAACCTTACCTGGAATACACATCTGGGGAACTTCTTGGCTGTAGAAGGATGTTTTGGGATCTCTGAAAGCTGTTCGGGAAACAGCGACAACAGACTGGTGCGTGTTAGGACAATGCCTCGTCACAGCCACAATATCCTCATCAACTTGATCCACATATACCTGAAGAGGACATTTTTTAGGGGTTGGGTGGGAAAAGTGGATAGAGATTCTTATTATTCAGATTATACTATAATTAAGATTTAATAATCACCATGTCAAAATTCTTGGCCAGGGCATGTTAAGGCAGGCTTCAGGGTTTTTGGAGGCCCTGGATAAGGGTTGGTAGAGGGGGGAGTAATCTAAAGTACAAAGTGGAGTACAAACAGGGGGAGTAAAAGGTAAAGGAAAAGGACCCCGGATGGTTAAGTCCAGTCAAAGGCCATTGTGGGGCTGCAGCGCTTATCTCGCTTTTCAGGCCAAGGGAGCTGGTGTTTGTCCACAGACAACTTTCCAGGTCATGTGGCCAGCATGACTAAACCATGATGGAAACCAGAGCACACGGAAAGGCTGTTTACCTTCCCGTTGCAGCGGTACCTATTTATCTACTTGCACTGGTGTGCTTTCGAATGGCTAGGTTGGCAGGAGCTGTGACAGAGCAATGGGAGCTCACCCCGTTGTGGGGATTTGAACTGCCGACTTTCTGATTGGCAAGCCCAAGAGGTTCAGGGTTTTAGACCACAACACCACCCACATTGAAAGATAAGATAAAGAGGGAGTACTCCAAAGTCGCTTGCTCAGATGTCTCATGCAAGCAGGTCAAGAACCAGAAGTGGGCTGAAGATTTGTGTGTGTGCGCATGCATACATGTTATATATAAATACAGCGGGACCTTGGTTTACGAACTTAATCCGTTCCGGAAGTCCGTTCCTAAACTGAAACCCTTCTTACACTGATGCATGCTTTTCCTAATGAAGCCTCCCGCCGCTGGTGCCCTTCCAGCATTCGGATTCTGTTCTTAGACTGAGGTAAAGTTCACAAACTGGGACACTATTTCCGGTTTTGCGGAGTTCATAAACCAAATAGTTCATAAACAGGGTTGTTCTTAAACCAAGGTAATAATAATAATAATAATAATAATAATAATAATATTCTCCTAAGCCCTGCCTCATTCTCTTGTTCCCTTCAGCACCCCAGACAAATGCCTCACTTTGATGCCCTGTGAATCTGGCCCAGCATTTACCTGGTTAAAATCTCTGGCTCCTAGCTCTTGGTGTAATCTGTTGATAGCCAGCCTTCCTGCTATAATTCCGGTTTTGAGATTTACTTCACCAGGTGTGGAAAGTGTCGCTGCTGGATTCCACTTCGGATAAAACCGCTCTTCAGTGACTACAGAAATCTGTGAATAAATGTGTTACAAAAATAGCATTTGCAGTGTTTCTCTCTCCCTATGCTCACAAAAGTTACACACATGGTGCATTTAGTAGGAACTGAAACTTTTGACTTCTTCTTAGAGGGTCTAAAGCACAGTGTTCTAAATATCGTAGCCACACTTTATTGAAAACATCTATTATACCTCCTTCCATTAAATATTTCAAGGTGGTTTACAAAAACTAACAAATACACACAGAAGAACCAGAACACATGAGTAGCAATTATAATGTGGAGAATTTAAAATATCAAAGCTAGTAAAATTTTTTAAAACAGGCAGTCGGTGAAATTTTAAGGAGTGGCAAGATACGATCTGAGTAAGCAAGGCCAGTCAAAACTCTGAATAATTAATAAATAATAAAAACAATAATTTCTTACTTATACCCCACCCATCTGGCCGGGTCTCCTCAGCCACTCTGGGCAGCTTCCAACAGGATATTAAAAACACAATAAAAGATTGAACATTAAAAACCTCCCTAAACAAGGGCTGCCTTCAGATGTCTTCTAAAAGTCAGATAGTTGTTTAGTTCCTTGACATCTGATGGGAGGGCGTTCCACAGGGCAGGCGCCACTACCAAGAAGGCCCTCTGCCTCGTTCCCTGTAACCTCACTTCTTGCAGTGAAGGAACTGCCAGAAGGCCCTCGGAGCTGGACCTCAGTGTCTGGGTTGAACGATGGGGGTGGAGACGCTCCTTCAGGTATAGTGGATGGAAAAACATGCCAGAATCACTCCAATGACACAAAAGAGGAACCTACTGCTAACATGCATACCTGATGTGGTACTAGTTCATCATATCCTCTAGTGCTGCCTGAGGCACAGCAGGCCATGGAGACGATAGTCGAGCTGGGAAGGGCATCATATGCCGACCGATGCTAACAACGAGAAGGGTGTGTATGAATTAAGTAAAGCCCAGAAGACTAGGTGTTTTTTAAAAAAACAGAAAAATCTGACCTGCACTCCAAAGGCGCCTTGCACGCAAGTGGGAAGGCACCATTCTCTCAGTGTCTCCGAATTAAAGCAATTCTCCCTCTCCCCCGGCAGCTCATATGCTGTGTCCCAGACCTTTCCTGAGGACTCCCCACTCTCCCTCACCCTTAAAAGAGACATTTGGGGGCAGCATGAGGCTACAGTGAGGGGGGAGGTGGAGAGAGAGTCATACCTACATGGCTCAACTTTTATTTCCATAAAACTGAATGCAACCCATGGCACCAGAAGAGGCACATTGTGGCTCTGCAGAATTTGTAGAGATTGTGTGCAGAGGATTCAATACAACTTACTTTGAATACGTAGGATAGCACTGCTAAGTTCAACATTAGGTATCAAATAACTTCTCCTACTGCATTTAACATTTTAACTGTCTGCAATTGTAATTTTTATGTCTTTGAGGTTTCGACTGCATAATGCACACGCACACAAAATGGTACCTCGGTTTTCGACCGTAATCTGTTCTGGAAGACCATTCGAGTTCCGAAACATTCGGAAACTGGAAAGTCAGTACGGAAGCCTTGATACGGAAGCCACGTGGCATGTTCAACTTCTGAGGCATGTTTGAAAACTGAAGCATTTACTTCCGGGTTTACGGTGTTAGAAAACCGAAATGTTCATCAATGAAGACGTTAGAAAACCAAGGCACCACTGTGTGTGTGTAAATACACACACACACACACACACACACACACACACACCTGTGCCTAAAACATTAAGAACGCTTAAATCCCATACACCTTAAAGTAGTATTAATTACCTCTCATGATTTAATAAATGTAATAAAGTCATTTATAGTGTCTATATAGCTTTAATAAGCCATTAAAACAGTACTTGAGCAATCAAGGCAGCTATGTTTCTTACCTGAATTGGACATTCATTATCATGTGTTATGTCCATGAACAACGCATGAGCAATAGCAGGCATTAAGGGCCTCAGGCGTGGCTGAACGAAAGACCCAACTGGCTCTCCTCCAAAGCGATAAACTAATCTCCCCTCTTCATGACTGTTGTAAGCACTCATTGCCTCTAGAGAACGAGAAAAAGCCCTTACGTGAGCATCGATACGAAGAATCATCCATTGAACACCTGGTAAGACTGTGGGACTTTATAGAGAATGCTTTAATAATCACTCCAGCTACTTACAGCTAGGACTGTCAATATTCCAAAAACACTTTTAAGAGAGGCTAGATTCAATATAGTATGATGAGTGGGAGACAGCTGCCCTCCTTTTCCAATCCCTTTACAACATGTAGAACCTAATACTCGAGCCAGTTAATAGACGTTTTGTCTATTCAGTGACCCCACAATCCTATCCCTGGATTGGAAGGCAAAATGGGTTGTGCCAGGACAGGAAAATTCCACATATGAACAGTCTGGGCATTTCTTTCTTGCATGGAATGGATGGTGGAATTGCATGGGGTGTGCATTAACCTAAGGCTTCCTTGTCCTTGCATCTGGATGAGAAAAGCACAATCTGAACAGGTCTAGAGTCTCACAGTGTGCTAAGAAGGAACAAATAAAAATAAAGTTTTATGCTGAACCCTAAAACATATACTAACACAACGTAAGACAGTCCCTTAACCATGGTGATACATCACAGAATCGCACACTCCCTTCTCACAATCTCCTGGTTCACCCACTTTTATATCTATATTTATTTTATTTCAGAAAACTGATATACCACTAGATTGTAAGGAAAACCTCAGATCTTTTAACGATGGGTTATGTAAACTTTGCCAGGCTTCTTCTTAACCAGGGCTTGCTGTTGTCAAGCCCTGGCTAGTAAGCCCTAGTTAAAAAGGAAAATGGTCAGCATTAGTTGCGATTAAAGTAAGTGGCATTGCAACCATAAACCATGGTTAGGGCTGATAGGGAAAGGGCAGAGCACATTCATACTCCTGATAGGAGAAAGTAAATAATAATAATAATAATAATAATAATAATTTTTTATTTCTACCCTGCCCATCTGGCTGGGTCTCCCCAGCCACTCTGGGCGGCTTTCAACAGAACATTAAAAACAGAATAAAAGTTCAAACATTAAAAACTTCCCTAAACAGGGCTGCCTTCAGATGTCTTCTAAAAGTCTGATAGTTGTTTGTTTCCTTGACATCTGATGGGAGGGCGTTCCACATGACTCATCCCTGATCCCTTAACCATGGTTAAGAGACAAGCGATGTGATGTCTACACAGGTTGAAGATGAGAAATGGGTTCTCCAGGCACCAGTTCATACGGCGATGTTTGAAGAGGTGGCCATCACAACTATTTCCATACACAAGATACCCTTTCCTAACAATCACAATGCTACAATTATCGTGCAAAGAAGCCATATAGTTGAATGCAATGTCATGTGTTTATAATAAACGGATGCAGAGTCAGTGTTTTGCACGTTCTTCACTCGCAGCGTATCATGCCTGAATTCAGGGTTAAGAAAAGGAAGAGCAATTCGAAGCCAGCCTACCTCTGATCAGAGAGCTAATGCCCAGCTTATTCACAAAGATATTGTCCAGCTCCTCGCTTCCCGTGAACAGTTCAGCCACTACATACAAGTTGGGCCGCAATTTTCTAGCCGTGTCCATCATGTACTGCGAAAAGCACAGCCAAGGAAGCGACAGACAGGGGGGAAAGGCAGAACAGGAGAAAAGAAAGGATGCAAGGCTAGGCATGGATTTGGGCAACAGGGAAAATGCCGCACAGCAAAGAGACAAAAACGAAAAGCCCAAGATTAAAGAACCAAAGACATTGAGTTATGAGAGATGCATGAAAAGTTTGCACAAACCAAGGATTCGGGAAAGAGGGCAAAACCCACGCAACAGGCAAAGAAGGAAGAGGGAAAGGCATTGAATTGGCAAAAGGACACAAGAATAAATGCAAATAAGAACACAAAGTTAGTTCCACGTAAAGAGATTTTTGACTTTCATATATGTCTACAAAACACAGCAATCCTGCAACAAACCTTTCAAGCATGGTTTTGGTACCTCTAATCAGACTGGTAATCCCAAGGCGGTTGACAAAGACATTGTCAATGACCTCACTTCCCGTGAAGAGTTCTGCTATCACGTAAAGATTAGGTCTGACTGACCTGGCTGCTGCCAGCATCTCCTACAGATCATAATGCATTTTTTTATATTAAAAAAATCAGCTTCCTTACAACATGTGCTTTCCAATAGCATATGGCACAAATGCTACCCAGTTACAGCACAGTTCTTAAAACAAGCTGAAGAGATGGGGTGGGGGAGCGCAAGGAGTCGGCATGATTCTGCCAATTTTTATCTCTCCAACTGAAATAGTTTTGTGACTTTAAAATGTCCTCCAGCTTGGCTGGATCCGTTCCATAATAACTGTGCAGAAATGCAACTGTGGATCCCGTAACAGGATAAACTTTTGCAAAGATTATACACAAAATTACCACTCTGAAATCTTCGGGGGGGGGGGGTTATTCATTCCTAGAAGGAAGAATAAAGCTCAAATATGTCAAATTAGAAACTTTAATATGTGCTCAGCCTACATATCGAAATTTGTTTCTCTGTAATTAATCTCACATATTTCTTTGTGAGTAGGTCCATTTTTGGCAAGAGCCAAATTAATCACAACAGACATCAAATCTAACTGCTTTCAGCGGCTCTTATAAGGCTAGCTTTGCAACTGGACCTCAAAAAGTTGTGTATAAATTCTGAGCAATGTTTTCGTCTTAACGAGTGAACAGAAAATGAAACAGAACACGGATGAGAAAAACCTACAATATATATTGCAACATGGTGTAGATAAGAAGGCCCTATTCTCACTCCTATTTTTCTGTGTTTTCCAAGTTGATTTATTGAAGAAATTGGTTTACAAGGTTAACTACTTCTAACCTTTGCTTATTTTCTATTTTATCCCATCACTCTCAAGGCAATGTGTGTGTGTGTGTGTGTGTGTGTGTGTGTGTGTAGTTATTCAAGTTATGTCACCTCACAGAAATCCTGGGAAATAGCTTCATCCTTCCAATGTGACCTAACTGAAAATAATCCAGCAAGCTTCATAGCTGAGCAGGTTGTTCCTGCGCAAGTCTAACACTCCAGCTGCTGCAACACAAAACCCACGACTCTGGCTGCAGTCCTACAGACATTTACCCAGTAGTAAGGCCCATTGAACACAACTGGACTTGACTTCCGAGTAGACATGCACAGGGTTGCACTGTTACGCTGCTATCTTTTGCACTCTTGCCTAGTTGCAAACCTCACGGAGCACGATGGGGGTTTACATCTGAGTAAGATGCCCAGGAAGGGACGCGGGTGGCGCTGTGGGTTAAACCACAGAGCCTAGGACTTGCCGATCAGAAGGTCGGCGGTTCGAATCCCCGCAATGGGGTGAGCTCCCGTTGCTCGGTCCCTGCTCCTGCCAACCTAGCAGTTCGAAAGCACATCAAAGTGCAAGTAGATCAATAGATACCGCTCCAGCAGGAAGGTAAACGATGTTTCCGTGCGCTGCTCTGGTTCACCAGAAGCGGCTTAGTTATGCTGGTCACATGACCCGGAAGCTGTACACCGGCTCCCTTGGCCAATAAAGCGAGATGAGCGCTGCAACCCCAGAGTCGGTCAAGACTGGACCTAATGGTCAGGGGTCCCTTTACCTTTTAAGATGCCCATGATTGTGGTGCACCTGCATGTGACGGAGGAAAAAACAGCAGCTTTTCTACTGCTAACCTGACCAAAAGAACCCAGGATCTAGAAAGCATGTTCAAAGAGCCCTGCACATGCAGCCGAGGAGTGAGAAAAATGAAACAGGATGAAACATTTGTGATGAGCATCGGCTGGAACAGACCTAAGTTTTAAAACGGTTTCAAAGTTTTTCCTCTCTCTTGTGTGTTTGTGTACACAGTTGCAAAGGAGACGCTTAAATTTTTCTATACCTCAGCTACGTTAAGAGGCGTCGAGTGACAATTGTCAAGCCGAACTCCATGGAAATATTTGGCAGTCAACTCGGTGTATTTTTTCATGTGAGCCCAGAGATAAGGGCAGTCTTCTGGTTTATTTCCGTAACGTAGCTTGACACTGTCACCCCAGCAAATGAGTTCTCTTCTCAAGTAAACATGGGAACCTGTAAAAAGGGGAAGAGATACTAATTTACGCCATGATGTTATAGTGTGGTTCTCAGCATTCTTACCAGTGATGGAAACAAAGGCCATTTCAACTTACGCCAAACTAGAAAAACATGCGGAACTAATCTGTGTAACATCAAAACTCAGAATGGAAAGTTTTATTTATTTGTTTATTATTTCATTTATGAACCTCTTTCCATGAGACACCCTGAAGCAATTTTCAATAAATATATTTACAACTGTTAAAATTATTTGTATATATGCAATATGTACACACATGGGCGTAGCCAAGGAGGGGGCAGGTGCTCCCCTAAATAAATACAAATCAATACAAATCAGATTCCACCCCCCAAGCCTTCCCCGCAGCTAAAAATCCTGGCTATGCCCATGCACATAAAATCAGTTTTAGAACAACAGTACAAAAATAATATCAGTTCAAATCTAAGTCCGTCATACTTTGCAACAACTCTATTTAAGTGATCAGAAATTCCAAAGCTAATGTGTTAGTTTATTTATTACAATTTAGGGGACTTACTTTTCCTATGCACTTATTGACATGATCTTAAAGCATACTTGCACTGGTTCCCAACTGTACTTCATCACCCCAAAGTCCCTGCAATGGCAGCCTCACCTACAGCTTGCGATGCTATATGGGGAAAGGGATGAATTGATCCTTGGGCAATAAATTCCCGAAATGCAGACAGTTCTTAGGAAGCCAATGTCTTATTGAAAGGCGTCTAGGAAGTCTCAAGGTACTGCAATAAGAAGTTGCAGTGTAACTGAGAATGGGCACAACATCCCAGTTCACCTACGCTAGCAAAAGGCATTTTTAAAAAGTTATATATAACTTTCAGAATCACCCACCTGGTTCAGCAAAATTTCTTAAAGGGTCATCTCCCATCACCCAACCGTTGTGGGCCATGAAATAACTTGCTTTGTCAGGTTGATGCAACATGCGTTCTTCTTCTTCCAGGGTTAGCTCTTTAAATGGGTATGTAAAGTAGCTGTAAAGTACGGAAAGTACTTTTTAGAGCTGAGGTAGCGAACCCATGGGCCTCCAGATGTTTGAGGGCTACATCATCCCTGCCTATTGCCTATGCTGGCTAGGCCTGATGGAAGCTGCAGCCCAGACACATCTGGAGGGCCACAGGTCCCCCATCCATTTTAGAACATCAGATTGTATAAAATGACAATTGAAATGCCTCGTACCAGAAAGAAAAAAAGTGTTTTTAATAATGGATGTCCCTACAATATTGTAAACTCTTTCTGCCACAATCAGCTTAATACTGGGTGCTTTTGTCTGGAGTTGCGCTTTTTGTCTCTTCTAGCAAACTGTTATCCCGTGAAACCCAAATCCCACACATAGTAACCCACTACTTTATGAATATCAGCGATCTCACTGAAGATTATATTACATCTACAGTTTCACATATACCAAGCAAGTAGATGGATGAATCCTAGCTTTCAAAACTTGTAAACACTCTTTTAAAAACAAATCTTTCCAAACAGTGAAACACAAGTTTTTAATTCATATTTTAAGTTAAAGTATTTGTGTGTTAAAATTTCTAACCGTACCTTCAAAGGCCTTCAAGCCTTTAATACGTTTAAGAGGCTTTGGGTCAAATGATTGCCGATTGCCCCCCCCCCCCCAAATCTGACATCCACCAACCCTTGCAAAAAGACCCGAATCTCACTGCTCTAATTGATGAATACTGTGTGCAATATATATATCCACACACATGAACGCTCACCATTTCAGTGAAACTTCATGAACATCCAAAAACAGATGCACAAGTGAAGTCACACAATCAAATTTAGATGACTGCCAACATTCAGCGGCACATCTTAGATGTCCACAGAATTTGACTGAAATTTTCACTATACCTAGGTGAATTAAATTTTCAGAATACCTAGGTGAGTCCTTTCTTCCCTCCGTTTGTCACATGGTGCATTTCAACGAGGAAGTCTCCAATGAACCATAGTTCCCCCTCTTACCCAAACCAAGAAACAGTGGCTAACATGTTCAGAACGAGCCAGGATTTTAAACAGACTTCAAAAGCTGTGTCTTATGATCCTACTTTGTTTTTAACCTGGCTACCAGAGTTGGATGCAACAGGAAGCTATGTTTACAACATAGGTACTGGATCAGACCAAAGGCTCTTCTAGTTCCGCATTCTATCCTCGTCATGGCTGGCAAGATACCTACAGGCAGCCTGCAAGGACATGAGCACGCTAGTACTCTCCCATTCACATTCCCCAGCAGCTGGTATTCAGAGAAGAAGAAGAGAATAAGAGTTTGGATTTGATATCCCGCTTTATCACTACCTGAAGGAGTCTCAAAGCGGCTAACAATCTCCTTTCCCTTCCTCCCCCACAACAAACACTCTGTGAGGTGAGTGGGGCTGAGAGACTTCAGAGAAGTGTGACTAGCCCAAGGTCACCCAGCAGCTGCATGTGGAGAAGCGGGGAAGCGAACCCGGTTCGCCAGATTACAAGACTACTGCTCTTAGCCACTACACCACACTGGCATACTGATTAATTGGAGACATCTAGGTTTAACACATGCATGCTGCAAAAGGAGAGAAGGGGCTGTGCGCATGTTTGAGTGAGGGTGTGTGTATATCTTGGCTTATTAAACAAAAATACACATGCCACGCACTCCAAGTCAGAGCCTTGTTCTACAATCTATACTTTCTGACATATTACATATTACCAAACACCAACCATTTTTATCCATCACCAAAGACATTTTATTTTGAGTGTAGAAGATATAATACCTCGTAACTAAAGGAAACTTTCGGGTTACGGGACCTAACTTAGGACCATGCCCAGCCAGTCGTTCATAGTTCACCGTCGCCACAATGCAATTGGCTGCCTGGAAGCCAGTAAAAGCAGTCATTTCAGCACAGCTTTAACAGTTCAGTGGATGCTACAAATAATGAACAAATGAATGCAAGCATGAACTTCAAAGATGCCTTATTGTTACAACCTGCTCTTGATGGTAGTTTGTCTGCCTGTACATTTCACCGTTTAGTTCTTCAACTCTCTTGCGGAACCAGTTACAGCATTCCTCTATTGCTGCAGGCCCATTGCTGAAAACAACAATGCATGGAAACAATGAAATGCCACTCAAATAAACGTGTCGGGAGTTTTGAGTTTAATTCATGCACAGCCATGAGGAAGTTGGTGTCTCTTTACACTCCAATGTCAACATCGAGTCGATGCAAAATGAATCATCTGTGTCTAAGGCAGTCAAGGCCTATTTGTAAGCTTTTCTCATTCAAGCTACCTTTGATATCAAACATTCACCTTTGGTGAATCTGGAATAGTTTGTTCCGCACATCTTTTGCACTGAACTTTGCATTAAATATATGTATGGGAACAGCACTCTAGAAGAACCATACAACATGTGACATACCAGCCAATGAGCCTTCCAAGTGAGAACTGAAAATTCAGGTGCTAAGCAACCTGTTTCATACCAAATTGAGTGGGTGTGTTTTATGCAAATGCTACAGCCAGCTGGATTGAACGAGGTGCCACTAGGTGTGCAGTTTTCACAGCACATTTTTTAGGGTCCTCGTTTTTCTGTGAATGGAGCAGACCCAATTTTCTGACCCATAAATGACTCTCCCCTCTTGGAAAAGCATGTGCCACCAAGATGTTTAGTGTTTAAAAACACTTTGAGAAAGGACATACCTATGAGGTATGAAGGTGTTCAATGCAATGTTCATATCTACAGTACAGCCGAGTCTCTTGAATTCAGGATCCTGAACAATTGCGAGATGTTGATTGGGGTCAGTTTTAACTTTAGAACCACCTGTTGTAGATTTAAGAAACAGAATATTTTTTTAATGAGTTTAAAAGCATTTTATTGCCTACATGACTGGGCAGTTCTTTATTATTCTGAAAGCCAAGGAACTCATAGATCCAAATGCTACCCAGCAGTCTAACCTGTTGCAGAGCGGACAGACTCCTTCCATTCTAAAATAATCAAAATTACCCCCCACACAAAGTTGGCTTTCAGTGCCCTTAAAGCATAATAATAGTATAATAATAATTTATTATTTATACCCTGCCCATCTGGCTGGGTTTCCCCAGCCACTCTGGGCAGCTCCCAGCAGAATATTAAAAAGACAACAAAAGATCAAACATTAAAAATTCCCTAAACAGGGCTGCTTTCAGATGTCTTCTAAAAGTCAGACAGTTGTTTATTTCCTTAACATCTGATGGGAGGGCATTCCACAGGGCAGGCACCACTACCAAGAAGGCCCTCTGCCTGATTCCCTGTAACCTCACTTCTTGCAGTGAGGGAACTGCCAGACGGCCTTCAGAGCTGGACCTCAGTGTCTGGGCTGAACGATGGGGGTGGAGACGCTCCTTAAGGACCGAGGCCGTTTAGAGCTTTAAAGGTCTGCACCAACACTTTGAATTGTGCTCGGAAACGTCCTGGGAGCCAATGTAGGCCTTTCAGGACCAGTATTATATGGTCTCAGCGGCCACTCCCAGTCACATAGTCTTGCTGCCGCATTCTGGGTTAATTGTAGTTTCTGGGTCACCCTCAAAGGTAGGCCCACGTAGAGCACATTGCAGTAGTCCAAGCGGAAGATAACCAGAGCATGCACCACTCTGGTGAGACAGTCCGCGGGCAGGTAGGGTCTCAGCCGGCATACCAGATGGAGCTGGTAGACAGCTGCCCTGGACACAGAACTGGCCTGCGCCTCCATGGACAGCTGTGAGTCCAGAATGACTCCCAGGCTGCGCACCTGGTCCTTCAGGGGCACAGTTACCACATTCAGGACCAGGGAGTCCCCCGCACCCACCTGCCCCCTGTCTCCCATGTAGCTTATGGTCATTTCTCAGCGCACATAACCATATGTACACAGACACATCCCATTTAGCTTGAGCTACTTTCTACACTTGAACTCTGGCCACACTGCAAAAGAAGAATAGGTAATCAGATACCAGGGCATAGACCCTCTCAAAGTGGCCTGCCAGGGATGGGGAAGCTCTGAATCTGCCCCACCAGCTGAATCCTGTTCCCCATGATGTCCTCTTGCCCCGTGACAAGCTACTTTGGGGAACGGAAGGGAATTTTGAAAGTAGCTTTATTTGCAACATGCCACAAGAAAGGTAGTTAAAAGTTCCACTGGCCTAGCCAAAGCCAACCGCGGCTACCTGGATCCCAGGTGGCGTTTGTTCGTGCTGAGAGTTATAAGGTTTTTTTTACCTTGAGTCAACAGAGTTTTAAATTGCTGGACTGCTTTGTTAACATCTACTTGGAAAAATTCCCATAATCTTAGTTTCGGGAAAATATCCTCCCAAATGACTTTACGGACATTCTGCAAAAATAAAAGCAGCACATCAGGCAGGTAAACAAAATTCGGTGCCATATGCAAAAATTAATTGTAAATGCTCCTGTGCCAAAACTGTTCTGAGCCATCATTCATTTATTACATACACAACACTCTGTGAGGCATTTATACTGTTTCACAGGAAAGAAAGCACAGAATCCAGCAGCAAATACTTTATTTATGTACAAAACAAACAAACAGGGAAAGTTTTGAGCTGAACCCTAGTACCTATATGACTTACTTTTATATGAACTTATGAGTCACTATTCTACAAAATATTCATGGCAAGACTACTTGCAATACAGAGCCAGAAAGAAAAACTTTTTAAAAAAACCATATACCCTGGAACTACAGTGGGAAAAGCCTGTCCTGTTGCACAACAACACTTCTCTTCCTTGTGCAACAAGACATCTCTTGAGGAGGCAAGAGCGGGAAGAGAGGAATGGAAAGTCCTGCTGTGCAAACAGGAGTCTAATTTAAGGTTACCCAGATGTCCCCGTTTCCTGGGGACAGTCCCGGATTTACAAATCAGTCCCCATACAAAATCCATTGAAGTTGAAAAGTATCCCTGGATTCACTGGAAAAAATCTGGTAACCTTAGAATTGCCACACATTGGATCTAACTCAATATAACTCTACTTAAGACAAATATTATGAAGTACAATAGAAAGGGTCAGCATACGATACCGTCTTTTTTGTTATATAAAAAGACTAATACCATACTGAAGGAAATGAAGTTTTAGTCCTCCTACAGAAAGGCAAGCCGAAAAGTGAAACGGTTAGAAGTTCCACAGATTATAAATCAGACTTCCCTTTCATTCAGTGACAGCATGTGTTAAGATAAAGGTAAAGGGACCCCTGACCATTAGGTCCAGCCGTGACCGACTCTGGGGTTGCGGCGCTCATCTCGCTTTATTGGCCGAGGGAGCCGGCATTCAGCTTCCGGGTCATGTGGCCAGCATGATGAAGCCGCTTCTGGCGAACCAGAGCAGCGCACGGAAACGCCATTTACCTTCCCGCCAGAGCGGTACCTATTTATCTACTTGCACTTTGAGGTGCTTTCGAACTGCTAGGTTGGCAGGAGCAGGGACCGAGCAACGGGGGCTCATCCCGTCACAGGGATTCGAACTGCCGACCTTCTGATTGGCAATTCCTAGACTCTGTGGTTTAACCCACAGCACCACCCGCATCCCACCAAGCGAGATATTATGTGTTTATTTCTTACATTCAAGTGGTGTTCGTTCTCAAGCAGCGGAGGAACGCCTTTGTCGCTGCATTTCCCACCAGCCACTTTACAGGTTAAATGCCACAGGGCTCGGTCCAAAATCCAGGCTGGTTTCAAGTGAGGAGAATTAACAAGGTTGTATGCACATTCTGGATGCTGAGTTATCCACTCACTATTTGAAGCTGGGGAAAACAAAGAGATACACAATGAGAAAGGGGGAAAAAATTAAATATCAAGCACATAGCACCTCAGGATGGCACTTCCATTATCCTGCCAATTACCTCTATGGAGTGTATGTATGAAAGTTAAGATTCTGAATGGACAGGAAACTAGGAAGTCTTACATTGGATATGTCAAATTAAGTATTTTTTTAAAGGTGCTTCTTAATTTCTTAATGCAGAAAACGACCATGTACAGAATTCTAAGGCATCTCTCATATTTGTTTACTGCTTTCTGTCTACAGCAGGCTTCCTCCAACTTGGCCCTCCAGATGTTTTTGGCCTACAACTCCCATGATCCTTAGCTAGCAGGACCAGTGGTCAGGGATGATGGGAATTGCAGTCTCAAAAACATCTGGAGGGCCGAGTTGGAGGAAGCCTGGTCTACAGAGAAGTCTAGGAATACTGCTGAAAGTAAAAAACTCAGAAGAAGCTGAGCACATATAGTCTCCTCCGTTCAAGAGTCACTAGTAGGATATTATAAATCTTTCTGTTCCACAGCGGTGAGATTTGTTGCTCATTCTTTTCTATATGAATCAGCAACCAAGTGCTAAAGCAATAAAGCCTTGCCAAGTTTCAAAGTCCATATCTGTAGCTTGGCCTTTTGCCGGATGCAGTTGGCAAGTGAGTTTTTCAATGGCGGCAATCAGCCAAAGTTATACCTCTTTTCTAATGTTAACTGATCAGGTGTTTTTCCAATAACCTGCCATTACTAATCAGCCTGACGCGAACACTCACAAGTATTGGGTAGGCTTCAACGTAGTGCTAACAAGATCATTCTCTTGGGCAAGCAGAAATGATTGTGCTCACAGAACGATCTATCTTTGCCTCCCATCATGGGGTGATCTGGGGTTTTTCCTGACCCTCCAGAGCAGAACTGGGGGAGATGCAGAGTTACACATGGGGATAACCATTGCACTAGTAGCAGTCCTTGCACTGGCTTCCACTAATGGAACCTTATAGCTGAATCCAGCCCTAGATCTTTAGAAGTTTAAATGTTGTCCTTCATATATACTTTGCAATGTCAAGGAAGGCATCAACACTAATTTTTAGTCACTTCCCTGCCATTGCCATAAAATCATTTCCCAAAATTCTGAAGAACACACATGAAGTTATGTTCCTTTTTGGGGAGAACTTTGCCAACTACTGAAATTGCATTGCTTATTAAATTTTGTAATCAAAGGAGACAATGTTGAAGGACCCGCACCTAGGAACTAAGGAACTCTGCAAGTTCTCAAAAAATGGTTATTCCACTGAGTGAGACTTGTGCGATACAGTTCTCCGGGGATAAGTGCAAGCTCAAATATGCATTCATCACTTGATAGCTGTAATATATCCAGTGATGATGTTCTAACTATCAAACCATCATCCAGACCCAAAGTTTCTCCTGATGCAAGCAGTTCAAGGTTCACCAGCCCATCATTAAGGTACATGTGTGTCTCAGTATGCCTGCTGGAGGGGGGCATTCAATAAGTGCTCTCTCTCTCTCTCTGTCTCATAGGAGTGACAGAAAATAAAACCTAGCCCTTGCATGGATATCAAGGAAACAGAGAAAACTGTCTTGGGAAGAACAGCACCTCTGTTGTGGTGCAAGGTGTTCTTCCTTAACCTAAAATTGTCCTCCAACATTGAAACTCAAGATCCTTTAGAACCTGGCATTCTAAAGCCACGAAGATCTTACTTTTCACTGAAGGTCTGACCTTTATAAACATGGAGCTCTGCCATCAGCGGTAAAAGCAGCCAGCCAATTGAACTGACAAAATGAGGTTGCGTTCCACTTGGACACTTTCGTCAGTCTCTACTTAGCTGCACAAATGCTTCTATTTTTGCAATACTTTTGCCCAGTTCTGAAAATTGGCATGGAAATGTCCTCCACCACCCCCTTTCAGAAACTGAAAAAAGTAAAGGCTTTCTTCTTCTCTTGGGTAACGGAGACACAAGGTTTTGTGCTTGCAGGAGCTGTTACCCTCAAAGCATTTTGAAAACAAGTGAATTAAAAATGTCTGAATAGTTACAAATCTTAAGATCACCACCAAACGCCATCCCCTATTTTTTTTCTGGGTTATTTAAGTAAAATATAGTTTTAAACAACACACAGAGCCTAGAGGGAAATTTACTGCCTAGCTCGAACTAATTCTTAAACATATATTTTAAAAATTCTCTTTTTATACTCCTGGACACGACTGGTCTTTGTGAAGTTTGCACATGCATACAAAAGTTGCTGGATACAAATCTGTGCATTTGTTAAGTGCAGTGGATAAGACAGAGAAACTATTACCCTATGCATTTTCACCCTTGAGGTTAAATTCAAATGACAGCAAAAATGAACATACCAGTGTGATTGTAGACTACATCGGTAATACAAAGCATATTCCATTCATTTTTCATTTTTTCCACTAGTTTTCCAAGCTCACTCCAAGAACACTTTTTGTTTGGGGTTGAAAAATCAGGATTTATTTCCAGCTGATCAGCTAATGAATAACATGATCTTGATTTACCAAGTTTCTGGACTGGTGTCAAGTGAACCATGTTGTAACCTACAAAGCAATAATGAAATGTATTAACATGACACTTATAGTAGACTGGGCAGTCTTAAGTATTGAAGGCAAAGGTAAAGGACCCCTGGATGGTTAAGTCCAGTCAAAAGTGACTATGGGGTGTGGCGTTCATCTCGCTCTCAGGCTGAGGGAGCTGGCATTTGCCCACAGACAGCTTTCTGGGTCATGTGGCCAGCATGACTAAACCGCTTCTGGTGCAACGGGACACCGTGACGGAAGCCAGAGTGCACAGAAACACTGTTTACCTTCCCACCGGAGCGGTACCTATTTATCTACTTGCACTGGCGTGCTTTCAAACTGCTAGGTTGGCAGGAGCTGGGACAGAGCAACGGGAGTTCATCCCGTCGTGGGGATTCAAACCGCCGACCTTCTGATTGGCAAGCCCAAGAGGCTGAGTGGTTTAGACCACAGTGCCACCCGCTCCTTGCCGAGTACTGAAAGCAACCCTTCATAAAGCATGCAGCAAGCTTGGTGAAGCCCAGCAGGTCTGGGTCTGGTCAGCATCCAAATGGGAGATTTGCCTGGGAACCATGTGTGTATTGCCTTGAGCTCCCCGGAAGAAATAGGATATTTAAATACAGTCAGTCAATCAGTGCTATGTACCAGAGATTTGATTTGGGAGTCAATGTGTTTATTACCAGATTCTTTTGCGACTCTAAGACGATCTTCCCATCCATCAAATGGTCCCAGACACTTAGCCAGGAATGTCTGGAGTGTAACACAATCCAAGGGCAATTCATGATTGTCAGCACCAACACGCAAAATAGGATCCACAACTATGTAACCTCCACCGCTTTTCTTATCTCTGCAAGAACACACACACATCTTTTATCAATACAAAAGCTAATAAATGCTGGAATCAACCACCAATTATTACCAAGACCTAATAAGATATTTTTTGCTTGCTATTCTAAAATTATTTTAATGTCTTTAAGGGAATCCGAAAGCATTAACAATACTTTGAAGCTCAAAAGATACTGCTTTTTAAAAGCCCTTTAAGCCTGCAAGTCTATACTGTACTCACTAGCCCGGAAGAGTAAACCCCACTGTACTTAATAGATGTTACTCCTATGTTGATATACATAGAATTGTTCTTAAGAGAAGCCAAATATAGAATAAAAACTGTTGAATGGCTGAAATAGGAATGCTAGGAAAGTCAAATGCATTTAACCCATGTTTTATAAAGAATCAAGGAGTTTCCCCCAGGAACCATCTCAAATTCACCTCTGACCTTCCTGACATTATGAGACTGTTTCTCTGCTGCTGCTATTATAATTATAAAGCAATTTATAGCAGGCTTCCTCCAACTCGGCCCTCCAGATGTTTTTGGCCTACAACTCCCATGATCCCTAGCTAGCAGGACCAGTGGTCAGGGATGATGGGAACTGTAGTCTCAAAACATCTGGAGGGCCAAGTTTGAGGAAGCCTGACTTATAGTGTTCAAAATGCTTCACATGCCCTGCATGCCTCTGGACCACACCCTCTAGTTGTGTTCAAGCAGGCCTTAAAGATTTTACTATTCGAAGTTGTTTTTAATTGAATAGGACGGCTGTCCACAATTTTAACTCCTACTGCTTTTATTTGTGGTTGGATGATTTAACTGTTTTAAATTATATATTTTTATGATCCTTAACTGTGAATATCCCCGAGTTGCCCCTTGGCCCTGAAAAGCAATGATGAAAAAATACCCAAATAAATAAAATATTGGCTATTATGGCTTTGTTGCAGATTCAGGCTGGGACATGATGGCTTGCCCATTCTGCCACGAGAGATGTAAAAGGTTTAGGTTTTTTGTTTTGTAAATTATTGAGATACAGAGTCTCTCCTAAAAAAAAAGCAACCATAACATGGGTGCGCTTTTAAGTATCTCTCCGTCTGAAGATTTATGCAAGCAGCTTGTAATCTGCACAGAAGTTTCCAGGATCTTCCTGCAGAGAAACTGTATGTATTCTGGGTCTCCTATTACATTTTCCCATACTGTATCCTCATAGCTGTCTGACTTGCAGGAACACTTCCCTGCCTTTAGAGTAACCTGAGTAGAGAAGCCCAGAAAATGGGGCAAGGTCAGTGAGCTGGTCTGGAACCTACACCCTGCACTCAAAAGGCAGCATACCTCAGGAGTATTGGTGCGCTTGGCTGGCAAAGCCACACTGATGATATGCAGGTTTTAAAAACTCATTGTGGCGTTTCAAAAAGGAAAACACATAGAACCATGACATGCACAACTGCTGACCTCTTAAGTCGCTGAACTGATCTTTTCCTGGCATTTGAAGATCAGCACTAACACCCAACATTTATTGAAAACAAACCTAAAGGTTGTAAATACCACAGACTGCCTCCCAATATGACAAATCTAGCAAACAATATCTGAGAATTTAACTTTTAAAACAGTACTGGGATCTTCTTTTAAATGACTTATAAACAGATGTGGTTTTACATTTCCTCTTTGACATTCACATGCAATAAGAATATGCCACCAATTTTTTTTCAAGATCAAGGACTGCATTTTCAATAAACCAGAGTTCTTGGTCTTCCTTTATTAGCAACTTCTCTTAATTTACATGTCAGCAATGCACACCTGAGGCTTGTGTGCCTCTTCTCAGCTCAGAAAGAGGTAGAGGACAAAATAGCAAATTTAGTCTCTACGTATATAGTCTTGTTATGGGGAGTGCCTTTGTCAAACATTATCTTAGGCCAAACTACATGTTACCTCCCTCGACTGGTTAGCAGTCATGTCTCTTTCTCTCTCTCCCCTCCCAAATTAAGTACTAGCGAAGGGGTGGGAAAAGGATTCTCATTAGGCCTGCAGCACATTGAGAGGGGAGGTTTAACTCTTCCCTCCCAGCTGCGCTCTCAACAAAAAACACCCCGTGTTGCAGTTAGCACTGGGAGGGAAAAGGCCCATTTGTGCCAATGTGAATTTCCTTCTCCCCCAGTGCTAACAGCAGCACAAGGGCACATTTTCAGAGAGATCACAACTGGAGAGGAAAACCTCCTGCTTTCACATGTTGTGGTCCAATGAGAACCAGCCCCCACTGCGCCTAGTATTTTTAATTTTGGGGGGGTAATGACCAACATATATTTTGGGGGGTAATGACCAACATATATTGTTGTTTGCTAACCACACAATAAAGGTAGCATCTAACTTTGCCTAACTCAGTGTCTGAAGGAGGCACTCAACATAGTACGGTGGTACCTCGGGTTAAGTACTTAATTCGTTCCAGAGGTCTGTACTTAACCTGAAACTGTTCTTAACCTGAAGCACCACTTTGGCTAATGGGGCTTCCTGTTGCCGCCACGCCGCCGGAGCACGATTTCTGTTCTCATCCTGAAGCAAAGTTCTTAACCCGAGGTACTATTTCTGGGTTAGCGGAGTCTGTAACCTGAAGCGTATGTAACCCAAGGTACCACTGTAAGTCAATACACATATAGATCTAACTGCTTGACTGTTCCCCATCTCTTTTTGATGTGGGGGGAGACACACACAAATCTCTGCATGGAGAACCAGCCTCCTGGGCTATCTTAATGTTTGCGGCCTGCTCCTCTGTCACACAAAAAGGACTGCCAGCAGGGTTAAGATGTGAACGACTCCCAATACAGTTGTACCTTGGTTCTCGAACAGAATGTGTTCTGGGAGTCTGTTTGACTCCCGGAACTGTCTGAAAACCAAGACGCGGCTTCTGATTGGCTGTAGGGGCATCCTGCAGCCAATCGGAAGCCAGAGAAGCTGCTTCCAAAAATTGTTCGGAAACTGGAACACTCACTTCCAGGTTTCGAACGATCAGAAGCCAATTTGTTCGAGAGCCAAGGTGTCTGAGATCGAAGGTATAACAGCATAAGAAACAGGAGGTGCCGATGCAAGCTTATCTTCCTCTGGAGCCAACCATTACTTACTCATGACTGAAATAATACTGGTATGACCCAGAGATCTGGAGATCTAGTTTGCAGTATTTGTCAGAATCATCTTCTTTCCCAGTTGGGTTGTGCCATGACAGGCACCTGAACTTGTGACGGTTGAACCCTTCTCCAGAAGCTGGGTAGTTGGTATGCACCGTAACATGCTTGCCTTGCAAGGTAGGCCCCAGACGGAACTGTAGTTCAAAACCTGAACAGAGCAAGACAGGCAACGGTTAGAGCGCAAACACCCATATCTTAAAACTTATCAACATGGACTGATGCCTCAATGAGCCAACTGCCAGAAAGGACTGTTGAGGAAATGGCTGGTTTGTTTGCCATGAGAGCCAGTGTGGTGTAGTGGTTAAGAGCGGTAGTCACGTAATCTGGGGAACCGGGTTCGCTTCCCCGCTCCTCCACATGCAGCTGCTGGGTGACCTTGGGCCAGTCACACTTCTTTGAAGTCTCTCAGCCCCACTCACCTCACAGAGTGTTTGTTGTGGGGGAGGAAGGGAAAGGAGATTGTTAGCTGCTTTGAGACTCCTGAAGGGGAGTGAAAGGCGGGATATCAAATCCAAACTCTTCTTCTTCTTCTTCTTCTTCTTCTTCTTCTTCTTCTTCTGTTTATGCACAGAGGAAAGGAATGGCTGCACAGGTTGAAAGACCCCACTGCGGTTATATGCATTAGCTCTCAGGGCAGATGAATGCTGGAAATTAAATATTTAGACATCAACCAGCTCAATCGATTGAGCTACAGATATGAACAGAACAGTATAGTTGTTCACTCATTAAGAGCCACTAATGACCAAGGCCTAGATCTTGCAAACCATATGTGAGAGGGAGCCATGAACAACAAAGAACAAAGCACTCACACAAAGATTATTTTCTTTTAAAACCCAACACCACACAAAGTATCTGTTCATCCAAAACAAAACAGCCTTGGCTACTGTGGCCTCCAAAGCTCATAAAGTACTACACACAATTTACGAAATTATACAAGAGAGAAACATTTTATAACTGTTTCAAAGAAGGTATGGAACGGAGCCAGCTCAAAAGCAATGCCAGAATGATGTTGTACAAATATATACATGAGTAGTCCATGATTATTTCATCTGCATCTGTTTACCTTCATTTACTGACACAGAAATGAATTGGTAAGCAGCGTGAAGATCTTTGGGAAAGGCCTTTTCTGCAGTGGCTCCCTGTCTGTGGAATACTCTCCCCAGGGAAGTTCGGCTGGCGCCTTCATTTTACACTTTAGGCACCAGGCAAAAACATTCCTCTTTAAATAGGCCTTTGGCTGATTACATCCAATACCATCTTAAATGTGTTGTGGGGTTATGGTTTATTTTTGTTCTTGTTTTCATCATGCATTTTGCGTTTTTTTTTTTTATCTTGTGTTTTTGTGTTGTGAATCGCCCTGAGATTTATGGATAGAGTATAGTATACCAATTTAATAAATATTGTAATAATAATTTGTTAAGCCTAAGGTTCTTTGCCTTCATAACAATGTCTATAAAAATAAATTTAAGAACAGGTCATTTGTGCTTTTGCTACAGGCTTGACAAGTTTGTTTATAGTTTGCTAAACATAGATCGGACTGCAGAGATGTTTGCTACCGATATCTTATTCCCTAAAACCCATGTAGACTAAAAATGCATAGCTCATATTAGTTACACCGTCTATCTGTTAGTTCTTTTTGCTATGTGGAATTGCATGGCTTTTTCTATTTTAAAAGTTTTCCCAAATCATTTTTTTCTATCTTGCAGAGCAGAAATACAGATAAGAACTAGCTTCATTTTCCTTCACTGTCATAGTGCATTGCCCTTGAGGTGCTCCCCTAGCCATTTTCCAAATTATAAAATCAAATCCCCTGATTTGATTCCTAGTTTTAAAGGAGCATAATTTGTTAAACACAGTTGAATTATTTTTGGTTCTGGCTAGTTGTTGAGATTGCATTACTATTTGGGTCAATTTTAACTGCTGTTGTTTATTGATTTTATGTATGTGGGGAAACCATTTTTGAGACTCATAATTTATAAATGAAAAGCTGGAATTTAAGAAAATAAAAATTCAAAAAGTAACACATTTTGAGGTTTCAAAAGTTCTTCGGCATCCAGCAATTAAAAATTCTTACAGCCTGAACCTAACCATGCTTTATGTTTACTTCTTTTCTATGGAGGCTGTTGTCCAGTTTGTGTACTTGGGATTCCATGCTTTACAAGTAACATGGGGGTAAGTCTCGTTAACCTGAATGGAGCTTCCTTCTGAGCAACAGATAGCCTTGTTAATGTACAAACGAGCACCCAAGATGGTACAGATGAAGCAGGAAGCACAAATGCTTCAAACTACCTATTTCCTAGCCTACACGGTCAATGAAGTACAGTGGTACCTCGGGTTAAGTACTTAATTCGTTCCAGAGGTCTGTACTTAACCTGAAACTGTTCTTAACCTGAAGCACCACTTTAGCTAATGGGGCCTCCTGCTGCCGCTGCACCGCTGGAGCATGATTTCTGTTCTCATCCTGAAGCAAAGTTCTTAACCTGAGGTACTATTTCTGGGTTAGTGGAGTCTGTAACCTGAAGCGTATGTAACCCACAGTGGTACCTCAGATTACAAACACTTCAGGTTACAAACACTTCCGGTTACAAACTCCACTAACCCAGAAGTAGTACCTCGGGTTGATAAATTTGCCCCAGGATGAGAACAAAAATCGCGCGCCGGTGGCATGGCAGCAGCAGGATACCCCATTAGCGAAAGCGCGCCTCAGGTTAAGAACGGCTTTGGGTTAAGAACGGACCTCAGGAACAAATCAAGTTCATAACCCGAGGTACCACTGTATTATTTTAGTGTGTTCCCTGTCCAAGACTGCAGAAACATCTCCTGCGTAGAGGAGGTGTAACTTTTAAATTCTGGATATGACTTACTTCTGAGTAGGTATGGTTAGGATTGATTGCACTGTAAGTTCTACTGAACTGAACAGGGCTCACTCCCAGCTAACTGGGGCATTTGCCTGCAGTCCTAAACGTTACTGTAGCTGCATGGTAACCAATTTTCCGCAAGTGGGTGCTTAGCACTTGGGATAACATTTATGCAAGCCAACTCTGTGGACTTGGCTGCCAATTCTGCAGTCAGAACCCACACACCAGCCTCTATCAACAGCGGCTCCAGTATGGCTACGATAACATTTAATGCCCCCTCTCTTGTGGGGGAATGAAAGCGCATTCCAATTTTTTTCTAGTCTATGTCATTCACCACCACATCCCAAAATGCCCTTCCTTGCATTCCAAACTTTCAATAGAATCTTCTTCAAAGTTACAACAGCTTAAACTGTCATTGTACTTCCTCTTACAGCAGATGGGCCCGACTGAGGTCAGTTCCTGTGTATATCCCTCTGATGACTGCAATCCTAGCATCTTACTTTCAGGGTCAGAACGTTCTTCCCATGTTAGAAGATGGCACATCCATCTTAAGAAAAATTAGCTGGAAGCCAATCCCACTAACTGCTTAGAATTATAGCAGAAACCTTGGTAATAGATGTCCTTGATGACAACACTGGCAGATTTACAACTAACTGTAAGACTATAGCCATGTTTAGACATAGCTGCACAAGTTTATTCAGAAGAACGCTTTCATTGTGTTCATTGGGAATTATTTATTAAGGGCACATTAAAATGCCATACCTCCAATGCTAAGGGTTCAGTGGCAAACTTGTGATTACTAACCCTGTTCCCATTACAAAACAGAAAGACAAAAACGAACTGGCAGGTGCTAAGCACAATTTGTATGGCAGAAGTGATAGAAGTGGCTAATACTTCCCTGCTTATTGTACCCCTGCCATTCCTGAGCTATTCTCTACCCACCCCTGTTTCATGCAGCAAACAGCATAATTTGAGAGCACCTCTGTTTACTGCTTTAAAGCAAAGAAATAGTGATCTGTTCTCTTTGACCTGTTTGCCAACACACACTTAGTTTAGCCCTTAAGCGTTGTTGTTTTTTTAAAAAAGAACACTGCAAGCCTGGAGCCTCACATATAATTAGTCAGTTTATGACCACTCAGAGGAATGCTGTATTCATAAACCATTTGAAAAGCATGGAGCAGCTTCAGAAAAATTAATGGATCATATTGACTTCTTTATGCATTATGCATACTCCTCAGCAAACTAAACTCTTATTTCTTAAATGGTTCCACCCACCTCTCCCATTGCCTCTTACGTCTGTTAAAGTACTGATTTATTTATTGAAGTTATTTATAATGTCAGTGTTCATAGTCCCAGCTAGATGATGCACCTAATTCGTTTCCTCCTAAGCCTTCCTCAAAACCCAACTTTTTTCACAAGACCCATTTCTTAACTCCTGGCAGCCATATGTGATCCATTTACCCAGATGTAAGCTCCTCTGTTGCTACAGTCTGCATGCTGTCTGTGTGTAAGCTGCTTGGGGCAGAGGCCTCTCCATTTTAAAAAATCTATTTTTTCCTCTGTAAAGCATACATCAATCTCTGTGCACAGGAAAACAGGACGAGATGGAAGAGTTAACAACTGTTTGAGTTTCCTCTTGCACAAGGATCCAACGCAACTTGTTAAACAAAAAAACCGAACACACAAGCAGCCGCCTGGGACACTGACCTTGCTCCAGCCGGAAGAGGGTCTTGTCCAGCTTTTCCATGTCGTTGAGAAGAAGCACTCTTGTCTGCTTACCGTGGGGCATCTTGGCTGCCTGGCGTTCTCCGCCCTTGCAGGCCACAGAGATTAGCTTCGGAAAGAAAGGAGTGGCTCCTAGGCAAGCAAAAGACACATACATAAAATACATAAAAGAGCAGCGTTTTGCAGCAGGCAAGGGAGGAGATGGGCGCATGCAGGGGTCACCTTGAAAGTCCTCCTGAAGAAGTCTCCCAGACACAGGGGCACTTACATTTTTTACCCACCCCCTTTGCAATAAAACGACTCGGCAGAGAACGGTGTCAGAGGGCCGGGCAGGAGGGAGGTGGAGGCCGGTGTGTGGGAAGGTTGCCAAGGGCGCAAAAAACGCTTCTCTCCCAGCCAAATCTGGCGAGGCTGCAAAGCACCCCAGGACCTCCGTGCGGGTCTGCAGGAGGGCGCTGTTCCTCTGGGGCCTGAGGGGCTGGCGCCTGTCACTCTTTCTCCTTTCCAACCCCCCCTCCCAACCACCTGCCCCACATACCACAATGCGACCTGCCCCGGCGGCGCCACTGAAGAGCCAGTCCCCCCCTATTATCCCCGCCTGCGATTGTCTATAAATACGGCGCGCGGCCTCTCGCCACTCACCCGGAGACGCGGCTCCTGCGCGCAAAGAGGGAGGCGGGAGTCGAAAGAGAGACGGACCGGAGAGAGGGAAGGGAGGGAGGAAGGAAAGGAAGAGTGAGGGATGCAGCCCCAAACGGGAGGAGGCTCGGCCTCTGCAAGGCAGCGAATAGCCCCGCCTGCCTGATGGGCTTCCAGGAAGGAGGAGGCTGCTGCGCTCGCCCCGTGCAGGGAGACTGGCTCTAGCGGCGGCGCAGGGTTGCTCGGCTTCGCCTTTGGCATGCCCTCCTCCCCACGCCCAGCGAGAGCTGCTCTAGCAGCAAAGGAAAGGGAGGAGGAGGAGGAGGTGGGAAAAGGGAGGAAGAGGAACTGTGAAGCCGAGGGAAGTCGCCGCAAAGGCCGTTGCAAAATGCGCCCTTTGGCGCTTGCAAAACAGGCTCTATTTCCCCGGCTGCCGGCTCTGCGCTCCGGCTTCCTTCAGCCCCAGGCGGCGTGATCATTTGCCATCTTATGTTTTCAGATGTGCTGGAAGCCGCCCAGAGTGGATGCCAGATGGGTGGGGTACAAGTAATAAAGTGGTGGTGGTTGTTATTAGGAGGGCACCAAACTGGGCCAGGTTCTGGGCCCGGTGCTGTGGGCCTCCAGCGGTTGCCGGACTACAGTTCTTCTCCTTCCGAGCATTGGCCATGCTGGCGGAGGCTCATGGGAGTTGGAGTCCAACAATGTCCGGAGCTGATCGCGCGCGCCCTGCAATTGCAATTTCCCCCGAGCGCCACGGTGCACGGCATTGGGACTCCGATAAATGGCCAGATTGAGGAAGTGTGGCTCTTCGTGCTGCGCACCAAGGTGTTTTCTCAACCACAGAGGTCGGGAAGGTGGTGGGAAGCGGGAGCGAACACAAGCACCCTGGGCCACTGTTGCCAATGTTTCCTTTAAAAAAAAATTCCAATGATCTGACTCTTCGACACGCATGGGACCTGGATGATAAGTGCCTCTGAGCACGTAGGGAAGTTTCTTTTTAAATAAGGGCGCAGGGCTGGCCCAAGTCATTTTTGCAGAAAATATCACCTGTATACAATTAAGGTCCATAGTACTAGGGGTGAGCAAAGTTATTTCGGCAGCTGAGGCATAAAATCTCAAGCATTTCTCCCCTAGAGGGGGAAACCCCCCCCCCAGTAATAAATAACAAATAACAGCAGTCTGTCTAATAGTAACCATATGATGTTCCTAAGGATGTGGAGTATGCTTTCTCAGAAGGTTGGTATATCCTTGTAGGTGCCCTCTGCTGCAACATTTTCTTGCAGACCCTGCTTGGTTGTTGTTTTTTAATTATTTACTCAAAAACACTCATTTACTACTATTCATAAAATAATCTCAAAACGGTTTACAACAATTATGCACAAAACCATACAATAAAAATTGCACATTTTAAAATCTGGAATCGGCTTCGCAGTTCTGAAGTGCTGATGCTCTCAGATGCTCATCTGAATCTGTATCCACCACCCATGTGCCGGTTCATGACTAGGGGCTTCCAGATTTCACGGTCCTGTCCCCGTTACCATTTGCCGATCGCCATGGGACTCTCTTGGGTTTGGATTTGGGATGGGTTTTGGGAAGACGCGTGAATTTATTTTATGCCTGTAGATCAGTGCATGCTGACCAATGCACAGTCTTTGCAGTAAGGCTCTATTCCGATGGCATGAGTATCACGGCGACCAGTAGATTCTTATCTGCTGCGGCCTTCATCTGCCTTCACAGTTGTAACACACCGCTTGTTACCTTCCACCTATTTTGCCTTTGAGGACTTCTTGGATCATTCTTTGTCTAGCTCCTCCCCTTTGACCTTGCCGCCTTGGGTGACCCTGCTGGGAGCATGAGACTCCCCACGGCTTTGCTCACAAGGGTCATAGGAATGTGCAAGCGACAACAGCAATAACCGTCTACCGTCAATGACAGTCTATTATCAAATCCTGAATTCCAGCTGGGTAGGGCCAGATTCAACTAACCGAGCATGCTAGCAGAAGCCAGTGCAAGTAGAGTCATACCTCAGGTTAAAGTCTCTTCGGGTTATATTTTTTCAAGTTGTGTCCCGCAGCGACCCGGAAGTAACGGAATGGGTTACTTCCGGGTTTCGCCACTCGTGCATGCGCAATCTCTCAAAATGACATCACGCGCATGCACAGAAGCGGTGAATCGTGATGCGCAGGTGCGGGTTGCGTTCTGCTCTGGATGCGAATGGGGCTCTGGAACGAATCCCATTCGCATCCAGAGGTACCACTGTACAATATGGCTCCCCCCCTTCCTCCCCATGCGCAAATCTGCTCTGGAGGGAATAACCCCGTAGAACAGTGGAGGGAGAGGGGATAGTTCTGTCCGGCAAGAAGAAATGATTGCAACAATGGAATAATCACAGTGAATATCTCATAGTGATAGGCCCATTCAAAGCAGCCAGACAACACGTTTAGGTTCATACTCCAATTTACTAGGCATTCATTGCATTTCCAATGCTGGGTTTTTAATCTGTGTTCACAAAATAGACTTTATCCAAAATGCATACCTCGGGTTACAGACGCTTCAGGTTACAGACTCTGCTAACCCAGAAATCGTACCTCGGGTTAAGAACTTTGCTTCAGGATGAGAACAGAAATCACGTGGCGGCGGTAGCGGGAGGCCCCATTAGCTAAAGTGGTACCTCAGGTTAAGAACAGTTTCAGGTTAAGAACAGACCTCCAGAACGAATTAAGTTCTTAACCCGAGGTACCACTTTATTGCTGTTTGATGCATTGTTTCTCAAACTGGACACTGATTGGAGTCTTTTAAGTCGATCCCAATTTGCCTCTGGCCAAGGTATGAGCAACTTTGCATAGACCCTCCTGCTGTGTCCAAAAACGGAAACGAATCTGACATTATTGAAGCCATGCTGATGTGAACAGTTAGGGAGGAAAGAGCTGTACAACGCATGGGGCGGAGGGGGTAACAAATTCAATGTGTTTTAAGAGAAGTAGCATGAGCATGCCACTAGTGCTTCTAATCTAACTGGAATCACAAGATCACAGCTTAAAAGTTTTTGCTGCAGCAGAGTCATTTCTAAACTGCCACAGTATGTACCATCTCAGGATATTGAGCAATACATGCCTCTGTTCAGTTTCTTGCTGTGAATTATGTAATCGGAAACACTGATTTATTTTTTTTGCCACTACAGTCCACTTAGCTTCTTTCAGAGCTTTGCACCCCTAGTTTCCTACTATTTGCAGCCAGCCCTATAACAGAAGCAGTCCAGTTGCTCACAAGTGTCTCAGCGATGAAATATTTTTAACTACACTCTGCAGAGAAGGTCAGTAGTCAAAGGTCAGTCTATTTTCAATGCTCAGAGGTGTTTAAAAAAACCCACCCTGTTCTCAAATTACAGTCACTTTGGTGAGGTGTTTTTTTATGTTTGCAAGGACACCATACTGTGGAATTAAGATGGTGCTGAAATCAGAAAGTTGAAATAGATAAGGAGATACTACTGATCGAACCTAGGTCTTCTGCTGGTATACATTTGATTAACCTGAAGTACTTTGGGTATAAGAACATCATATCTGCTTGTGGTCATACTTTACTACTACAAAATTTAAATAACACCAGCTCTGCTAGAGAAGATCACATCAATGTTACTTATGCAAAAATTTGTCACATGAACTTAATTGCAAGTATACAAGAATAATTACAATTATTCTTACAGCAATGGCAAACATATTTGCAGAATATTTCACATCAAGGCTGCCCAATTCCCCCCACAAATTCACATGGTGTTGAACGTTGCTTACTCATTCAGGCTGTATGCAGGCGTGGATAATTTAACGGGCTCATCAAACAGTTTTCTGACAGGTCTCTGAAATGTAAGCCTGAGGCAGAGTTTCATCTGTCCGGAAGAAGGGAGGGGAAACTGTACTCAAGTATGTGAGAGGGGGAAATACCACACAGTTAATTTTTCTGTGCCTGAATACGAGGCATACATGAACAAAATGCAGCCTGGCCAGACAGCATCCTTGCAGCCAAGACTTTGACTGGGGACATCAGAGCTGAAATCCCTACTTAGCCAAGAAGCTCACTGAATTGTCTAAGGCGAATTACTCTTGCTCAGTCTCACAGACTTCACAGGGCTGTTGTGGTGATAAATATTTGTGTGTGTGTGTGTGTGTGTGTGTGTGTGTGTGTGTGTGTGTGATCAAACACTTCTAACCTGTTGCTTGGAGGCAGGATGGGATAAATAAGGAATGAATAATCAGTTCATTGGAGCCAACTGCTAGGGGCCGAGGTCCCTTCGCCCCCACAATCAAATATTTGAGGGGGCCATTCTTCCCAAAAGTTGATGGGCATTGCCATTCAAATGGTGTGGGTGCACTCCATCATGTGATTGATTATGTGGGGTGGGGCTTACTTGCCCCACCATATATTTTATTCAAGTTGGCAGCCCTGAATCAGTTCTTCGCAGTTGCTGTTGGTATTTGTGCCGCTAGTGCAAAAAATGTGATCATTCTAGCGTGTGGTGCCATCTTGTGGCCTTTCCATGGAAACAAAGCCTTACTAATAGTAAAAAGCAAATTCTCAAGGTGGAGCTATACGTTACTAGGCAAATTTGGGGCCCTGCTAATTTGTGTGTGTAGGGGAGAATCAGTGGGCAAGAGGTGGGTACTTTAACCTTCCTCATGTATCCATTGATTCTTCCCTTAAAATGTCCCTCTCTGCCATTTTTACCTCATGCATGGTTTTATATTTCCAAACCCTGCTCTTCTTCAACAGAAGCTGCAGGTAGAATGCTGAAAATTGGAGTGTAGCAGCCACACATGTCTGGGCATCTCTTTCTGGGCAAATGATAGTAAAGAATATATTGTAAATGCAATTGGCATCGACATCCCTAAGACATTTTGGCACCTGAGGCAGAAAATCCACTTGGTGCTCTCCTTGTTGTTCAATTAAAAAGAAAGAAACTTTTAAGTGTGCCCAAATATCTACTGATGGGGCTGCCTGCCTGTAGGGATAGATCCTCCATCTTCTCTATGATCATCACAAAATTGAGAATGCACCAATAAATGAAGCACAACTGTACAGTGCCTTAATAAAAATACTTTTTCAGAATGATATGGGCACATCAAGCACTTGTATGAATTTTACTGAAGCTGGGTTTTGGGTATCATGTTTTCAAAATGAAGCTATTGTATCAGTGGCTGAAGCATGAGCAAGAAATGAACCCAAGATGTGACCAGGTAAATGAAAGGGAGAATAAAGAGAAGGATAGGTGCAGTTTGCCAAGACCTTTGCTGACTTCTGTGAGAGAAAGTACGCAGGCTGCTACCATGGGAGACTATAGTTGTGGCGACTTGCCCAGCTCCAAACACTTGAGCAATCCATCATACTGGCGTTTTGCTAGTCTGTGAGTAAATTTTGCAATCCAGAGAACTATGACTAAATCTGTATATCCAGTAAGGCTTTGCATTTGTATTTCTGGAAAAAACCAATGCCGCCCTTTCCTTTGTTTAAACCTACACATACACACAAAGATCTTTTAGAACTTGTAAGGGGATTTCAGAAGCTGTATTTGAGAGAGCTGTAGGAAGGCCCATACAGGTCTATTGGAAGACTGCCTGGACGGTGATTAAGTAGCACTGGGGCTACCAAAACATGTTGGACAAGCTGGAGCAGGCAGTCGTCTGCATTGGCTACGGTTCGGGTGGAGATATGTCGTTGCTACATGCTCAGCCCAGGTGAGATGAGAAAAACCCCATAGCAAAATGGCAGAAGAAGAAAAAGAACACAGCTGCAGTCCAGTGTCCATGGAAACACTGCCAAACGGGGATTGTTGTGGCAATGATGCTCACATGGGGGGAGTCAATGGAAGCTTGCCAACAGGAACACAACCCCAGGACATCTTCAATAACAAAGGGCATCCACACCATGAGCTCCTATCGCATAGGCAACAATGACCCTCTTGCCCTGCTATAAGCCCCTAGGCATCCTTCCAGTTCTGTAATGCTAGGGGTGAGAAACTGAAGGGCCACATTCTCATCTGGGCAACCTTTCGAGGGCCTCATGCCAGAGGTGAGTAGGGCCAGTGGCAAAAGCACGTGGAGCACTGAATGCAAATATTACATCTGCGCGGTAGGCTGGTTTCCACACACACTCGCATACCCCTCTCTATTCTCCATCCAGGCAAGAAATTGACACTATCAAAACGAGTTCAAGGGCAAATTCCAGCCAGGCAAAAACCATTGAGGGGGAGAGGCAAAACAGAGCTGGTGAGGGGTGTGGCATGGGAAAAGGGTGTGTGGCCAAGGAGGATGAGTAGCCTGGGAAAAGGGATAGGTAGAGAGGCTTGAAGGGTTGCAGGACCCCTGATTTCTGACCTACCTTGCTCAGTAGCACTGTTTTGGAGCAGAGCACACAAAGCAAAGAACAGAGAGGCTGCGGGGCCTGTTCTGCTACTAGGTCTCCTGTGGCAGCCACCTCAGGTAGCTGATGCTGGGGTTATATGTTACCACTGGGGCCTGCCCTTTATCCCCAAAGCTACCCTGCTGTCTTCAAGGGCAACAGAAGTCTCTGTCCAAATGCCAACGTTAAAATAAGCTGCAAGTCCAGTCAGTTTCTATGTACATGGAATGGGGGAGGGAGCAACCTCTTGTCCTTTGACTCGGGCAGTTGAATGCCTTATTAGTCTGGCCACACAACATGGCACCCGCAGAGTTCCCGGGCCATCCATTTAGCCAGCATGCAGTTCAGTTCCCATCGCCTCTAATTAAAACAGGTCATTCGCAAGTTTCAAAAAGCACAGCACTTGCCTACTGTGCTGTGACAGTTTATTAAACTCAGAAAAAAACAGTGGCACTTTGTGCCGTAATGAGTGGAGATGCGCTCCAAAATTTCTTTCTCACTGAGCGCTTGCTACACAGAATTTGCTCCCCTGGCATTTTTCAGAAACTATGTGCCCAGAAGTATTTGCACAATATATTTACTGCAAAGAAGTAGGTGGTTTGCATTTCATGAAAACAGGTTTATTTTTGCTCAGGCAACATTTCAACTTAAAGGACTTTGACACTAAGGATAAAAGTTCAGCTGCAAGCCTATGTGAAAGGGGGGAAAATGCCACCTGGAGAATTCAGGTACAGTACAGTGTTTATATTAATTTGTACATTATACCAGTCAAGCATGTGGAAATATTAAAATGGATGATACTACGTTGTTGTTGTTATTTAAAAAAGGACAAAAAGTTATGCTAGGTCCTTTCTCCGTCCTTTAGCTTTGTGACACTCATACTATGCAAGGCACCTCCGCTGCCTTGCGGGCAACTCCTTCTGGCAACTCCTGCAGCCAAGCTGTTGCCAAACATATTGCTCTGCTTCCTTTGGACCACATCAGTGAGGCTGAGAGAGGGGTCTTGTCATCTGTGTAGCCCAGGACCTCCATTCACACTGCCCAGGCTTGCGCCCTGGAGAGGTCACTTGGGTGCTGATAATGCAGCGGTTTGACTTCACCCCTAGAGGGGCACTCCATTGTCTCTCGAGGCAGACAACAACAGCAGCAGCAACAACGACAACAGCTGCAGTTGACCCATTTTATAAAAGGACTGCATTATGCTCATTTACAACATCTACATCCCACTTTCCCTCCTTTCTCCCTCTGTTTTATTGTCACAACAACCATGTGAGATAGGTTAGGCTAAGGCTGCATCTACACAGCTATAAAAAACCGCTCTGAAAATGCTCTGGGGAAAAAACGTTGTAAAGCTCACAATGGAAAATTTCATAGCATTCAGCTCTACAGCGCCATCTGATGTCACAGTGTTATAACGCTTATATATATATATATTTACTAATGTAGCTTAGTCCTAAGAGTCAAGGTCACCCAGTGAGCTTCATGGCCAAGTGGGGATTTGGCCGCCAGTGTCCTAGATTGATACCCGAGTAACCACTAGACCCCATTGGCTCTAGTTCTAGTTCTAGTCTGAGGCATACCTAGGGTCCCTTGCATGCTTGGCAAAGAGCTGTATTGGTCCCCCCATCACTTCTCCTGTGTGCGATCTTGCTGCAATAGAGCAATCTGCTTAGCACTATGCTGAATTGCTAATGGAGCAATCTGCTTAGCACTATGCTGAATTCCTTCTTAGGTTATTGTAAGTGCAACTAACTGCTCATATGACTGGCCCCCTCACATGAACAGTACAGCAGGTAGATCACAGATCTTTTCCAGGGCCAGAAAAACAACAGCAGCAATTACTTTTGTTTGCAACAGCGATGCCATGGCTTTGAACAGGATATTTGTAAACCATGCTTTCCCCCAATAAGGACATAAGAAAAGCCTTCTGGAACAGGCCGAAACTTTATTCTAGTTCCAAATGTGTTTGATTTCCTATGTTATCCTCATCTTGCATATATTCGCCTGTTCCTTTTTATTTCTGTTGACTGGCTTCATTGAAATATAAGGACTTGTTTTATATTGCATTTTGGCACATGTTATATGCAGCTCCTAGGGTCTTGAAGGTTCATAAATAAAATGAGCTTGAGCAGACTTAACAATCTGATATTGTTTGGGATTTGTGGTATATCTATTTTCCAGTACCTACATAATGAGATAGATCATTGCAGAGCATAATTACAGTTCTGTGTACTGCTAAAATTCTAGGCTTCTGGAAGATATAATTAAAAAGAAGACTGGATAGAAATTACACAGTATCTGATTTGCATTCTCAATATCCATACCCCATTCATTGTAAATGACCTCTGGACAGTTAAGTCCAGTCAAAGGCAGCTATGGGGTGCAGCACTCATTTCGCTTTTCAGGCCAAGGGAACTGGCATTTGTCTGCAGGCAGCTTTCCGGGTCATGTGACCAGTATGACTAAACCGCTTCTGGCGCAGCAGAAAACCATTAGTTAAAATGGACAAGTTTCTTCACAAGTTGTTAGTGCAACAGCGTGCTTTGCAAATATGCCAAGTGATTTGCTTAACTTAAATGTTTTGAGTGTCCCTGTTGTTACAGCTCTCAGGACAGTAACAAAATCAGAATGGAATCAATTTTTCTAATGATGTCTTTGTGTCCCACAAAATATTACATTACCTAGTCTGCCTCCTCCACCCTCTATAACCCTGAAATGTAAGCTTTGCGTTTTACCTACATGCTGGGATGAATGTAATCTAGCTCACAACTTCAGCATTTGCTAAGTTTTATGGAGATCAATAGGCCTCTGCTGCACAGGGACGTAATTCCTATTGATCACTTTGCCAGGTGCAAAGGATGGAAGTTACAAGCAGCTGGAGAAATATTACCGGACTGGAGCACACATTATAGTTGCCACAAGGATGCTCTCCTTACTGAGTGATGCCTGCCATGGCTAGAACAATAAAATGAGTTCCTGAATAGCTAGCTTACTAACATTGGTTTGTTTCTACAAGAAACAATGCAAAGATGTGGATTCTCAGAGCAAATTAAGGTACGCCTTTTCCTTCGAAATTATAGTTAGGGCTCCGTATCCCAGCTTCAACATCTCCTTCATTTGGTTCAGGGATTTTATTTCCCATGTAAGCAGACTCCATTTCTGCACGTACACCCAAATCCACACACACCACTTTTAATACTTCTCCGAGAAACGGAGGGGAGGAAAAAGGAAAACCGGGACAAAATCGGAAACTGGGATGGCTTCTGTAATTCCGGGACTGTGCCTGGAAAATCGGGACACTTTGGAGGGCATGAAATTGGAATTAAAGAGATTGAGGCAAATGTGTGGTTTGGTTTGAATTTGGCAATCAAAGCCCAGTATCCTTACAAAGGATGCCTCCTGGTGGAGCTGAAAACTGATAAAACTGGTTTTGTTGGCTGTATTTTGAAATGTTTTAATTATCACCAGGAAGCCCTTCCCTGTCTGCCAATGATACTTTTACTGTAAATGTCACTACAACTGCTCCAGCTAGTGCAGAAGAGGACATTAACTCGATTGGCTACCCAAAGCTGGCTTGATAAACTCTGCTGAAACTAGATTTGGATGCAGACTTAGTGGTTGTTGCGATGTGTCCAAGGGAACGGGGGCAATTTGCAGGCCCCCAGCTGGCTCCAGCCCACTGGCCAGCAGCCGGGCGAACTCTGGTCCTTTGGAACAGCATCAAACAGTGACTCACAGCTTCAGAAGCCTTCAGAAACTTGAGCACGCCTTAACCAGCAGAGTGAATAACACGCAACAGAAGTGGCCGACAGAGGCATATGTAAGGCATATTTACAAGCAGTTTATTCAGCATAGTTCAGGACAAAGAAAACATGTCTGCTCTCTTTCATGTCCAAGAGCAGGAAGCAAAAGCAAAAGCTGTACACAAACGGAAGTTCCCAGCAAGCTGTGCTGGAATGTAAACAGACATGTGACGTACAACAGCTCCACACATATGTTTAGCTGAAACGGAACATCAGTATCCTAACAGAGGTATCATTCCATCTCACCTCACAGCCATTTACTTCACCACCCTCCCTGTGCTCCAGTAAGATTGGAAGTAGTACTTGGCACACCACACATGCTGGTGCACACAAAGTGTTGAAGGAAACCCAAAGGGACAGGTAAAAAGGGGTGGAAATTCTTCCAGCATCCCTGAAACAGGACTTTCAGGAGACAGTGAAAGAAATCAGAAGGTACTGGTGAAACTGGCATGGCTTTCCCCTCCTTTCGCCAGAGAGAAGAGATTTTTTTTTGGGGGGGGGAATTGTGATCAGCCTAAGTGACAACAAGAAGGCAGCTTTTTATTGTGATTTTTTTGCTCCTGATGATATCAAGATATTTATAAGCAATTTCGCTTTCAGTACTGCTTGCATCTGCAATGGTTTGGGTGCAGACATACTGCTCCATTTCTTATTGGTACATAGTTATCATGCTCACCATCACAACAGTATTGTTGTTGTTGTTGTTATTATTATCATCATTATTAATTAAATATGTTTAATGCCCTTCATCTGAAGATCACAGAGCAGTTCACAATATAAAAACACAAAAATAATAACTAACAAAGACAATAATGTCTCCCCTTTAAAAGGTCATATATTGTTTAATTAGCCAAAGTCCTGGGAGAATAAGAAAGATTTTGCCTGGCGCCTAAAGATATGTAATGAAGGCCCCAGGAGAGCCTCCCTCGGGAGAGCACACCACAAACAGGGAGCCACTGCAGAAAAGGCCTGTTCTCGTGTTGCCACCCTCTGGACCTCTCATGGTGAAGGCACACAAAAAAGAGCCTCAGATGGTCTGGGTTGGTGATTTGCTTTAAGCCACTCTCTGTCCTTTCAGTTCAGGGGGAGGTTGAAGCAATAACTGCCACCAGCCATAACAAGATGAGCAGATAAGCAGCACATTGAGAATTACCAAGATTTTCCAAGCACTCTCTTCTCCCAAGCAGTCTGTTCTCCTGTCATCTCAGCTGATAGCTACTCATTATGCGGTAAAACTAATAACATTAATGCGGGTGAGAGGATTTGAAGGGCAGGAAGGGGCTTAGTTTTCCCCTTGCCCACCATGTCCCCTCCATCTCCCGTTCTCTGGCCACTTCCCTACAGCTCGGTTCATCCAATGACAGTAACAACAGTCTTAAAGGGATACTACCAGGCAGGAGAAGTATAAACCACCATCCTTTGATTTTTTCCCCTAGCAAATGTCCACCTTCCTCCACCCAGTGCTAACATTAACTCGGCTAAAAACATGCAGTCTGCCAAGGCATACTTTCAGAGAGACACTTTCTCACTCTCCTGTTTGAGACCCATAGAAATGCAGTTTTGCAACAGAGAAACGCAGCTGATTCGCAGGAAGTCTTATAACCTCCATTGCCACCAAATCAGAATGAATGCTCAATAAATAGGGCTCATTAACCTCTGGACAAACTTTGTGCAAGCAAATAGCTAAAGGAACATGTCAGCAAATAGAGGAAAGAGGCAATATCAGGACTTCGCTCCCTGATCCTGAGCAGAGGTAAATAGGACTTGGAAATAGAAGTATTTGCAGCTGTTCCGATGACTCCAAATGAGTGTTTGAGGGGTTAAAGGGAAGAATGCTAGTGAAATGGGTTGTCTCTGCTGCCCTTGCTCTGTAAATACTTAAGAAGCATGTAGTGCCACACACATTTTTTTTGTTGCTGTTAAAAAAAGATTCCGAACTTTATGAATGGATTGAACATTGACCAACTTATGAAATTGCTCTGGTTTTTCTTTTCTTGGAGGGTTTTAAGGTATTGTGAGGTGGAGGGGAGGGAGTTGAGGTGGCGGCAAGGCAAGTAGCTGATCCTAAGCCAAATGTGCTTAAGGATGTCTAGTTGATTTCAAATGACTTTTAGCAGTAAGTGAGTGCAGGATCAGGGCCTCTTCATTATTTGGTTAAAAGGCAGCTGTAAAACTGGGTGCTTATTCTTAGCAGGACTCATACTTTCCAACATTTCTCTGATGAAAATAGGAATGTCCTATTTAAAACAACAACAATATATCCCACCCATCTGTTTGGGTTTCCCCAGCCACTCTGAGTGGCTTCCAACGTATATACAAACATAATAAAACATTAAACACTACAAAACTTCCCAATACAGGACTGTCTTCAGATGTCTTCTAAAGGCTGCATAGTTACTTATCTCCTAGGCAGCGGGGTCACATAACTCCAACATTTCTCCGATGAAAATGGGGGTGCCCTAAGGAAAAGTGAGACTTTCTGAGATCAAATCAGAAACTGGAAGGGTTTCTGTAAAACCCTGGAAAATAGGGACACTTGGAGAACTGAAGGGACTAAAGTTCAGTTACTTGGAAATGGATCCCACAAGCTTCGATGGGTTTTGTGTCCGTTGGGGGGTTCACTCCCAGATGTATCTATGAAAGGAGCTCAGCAGCCTGAGCCTATGTATTCTTCCTTGATATGAAAAAGTAAGTCCCACTGAGGCCAGCGGGGCTTTCACCCACCCACCCAATTCTTCCCCAGAGCTGCTTCAAGGACGAGTTTGCTTTCGCCTTAACTTTGCTTGGCTCCACCCACGTCTGAGAGATGCGATACAGCTTGTCAGAAAGCAGGAAGAGCCTCCTGCAAGATAAGAGCGCGTTTCTTCACTGCAGCCTCCATGCTCACAGCAGTGGGTCGGAACGACTTGCTTGCCAGAGAAATGCCCACCCTTTAAAAAGAAAGGGAAAATCCTGTTTGGGTAAAAGGGGGAAGCCTAGCAGCTGCGTTTATGCCACACGAGCAGCGTGTTCCTTAAGGTAAGAAACAGGTGTCTTATGAATTCCTTTCTTAAGAGGGAGTGTGCGTGTGCATCTTGGGTGTCTATGCTGTGTTTAAGACACTGTGTTCAGTGTGACGCTTATAAGACGGGACTTTGTGGCTGGCTGTGTGTTGGATGGCTTTGCCAAACCTGTGCCTTCTCTCACCCTTGTCTTCTTCTAATTTTTCTTAAAAAAATCCCAGTATATATTGCAGAGATTGGTTATGTTAATTAAGGAAAAGTTGAAGGAGCTCTTAAATATAAAAGTTCTTACTTGATCGGATTCTGTATCTATAAACTTTGTTGCCTTTGTTTCAATGCAGTGTGTGCTAATGTAACCAAATATTCAAAGTTGTGGGTGGGTATATTTGATGTTATCTGTTTGTGGGAGGGGCAGACTCTCCACAGACTCTCTGAGTGCCCCTATTTTCCAGGGACAATCCTAGATTTACAGAAGCCATCCTAGTTTCTGATTTGATCCCAGAATGTCCCGCTTTTCTGTAGCGCGTCCCTATTTTCAGCAGATGTTGGAGGGTGTGGAGTTATGCGGCCCCTGAGCCAAGGAGATAAGTAACCATACAACCTTTAGAAGACAGCTGAAGGCAGCCCTATACAATGAAGTTTTTAAAAATGTTGAGTTATGTTTTTATATATGTTGGAAGCCACCTGGAAGGACTGGGGCAACCCAGTCAGATGGGCGGCGTATAAATAATATTATCGTTATCATTATTGAATAGGATGTCCCCATTTTCATGGAAGTAAATGTTGGAGAGTTTGCCTCCATAATCTCTAGGGTCAGTAAAGAGCTAGAATTTGAGCCAACTCGCAAATTCACGAAGTACACAAAGTTTAGTTTAGTTTAGTTTTAAAGCCAAGCACTGTTTTGTTCAGTTTAGGATCACAAGTCCAGACATCTGTGTACAGCTAGCAAGGGATAAGCCAAGTCTTTAATGTGACAAAAGGTGTTGATGGCCCGTGTTGAGGAGGAATCTTTGGTCCTCGGCAGACAGAGGTTGCCAAGTGATGGGGTGGGCATGCTAGGTGACAGGAAAAGAGTGGGCTTGGGTCTTAGCAAGGTGTGCTGGGAACAAGGAGGGAGAACAAAGGCAGTTTCTGACTGTAGAGGCTGCAACCCAGAGACTGGGGAGCATAGCTGGCTGCTCTGGACTTAAGCTTGCTGAAGCTGTGAGAGGAACAAGGAGAGACACTCTGGAGATGCAATGCTGTGAACTCTATTCGTCTCCATCTAGATCCAGGTGTAAAATGAACCATATATCTTAAAAAGCTACAGCCTCTGAATTTTCAACGGAGTGTTTGGAACTTCCCTGAATCTTGCTGCTGCTCCTCAGAGATTGGAGTGGTGTGTACCAATGTAGGGCTTGCTGATCGAAAGGTCGGCAGTTCGAATCCCCGTGACGGGGTGAGCTCCCATTGTTCAGTCCCAGCTCCTGCCCATTATTATTATTATTATTATTATTGCACCTAGCAGTTCGAAAGCATGTCAAGTACAAGTAGATAACTAGGTACTTCTCTGGTGGGAAAGTAAACGGCGTTTCCGTGCGCTGCTCTGGTTTTCAAGAAGCGGCTTAGTCATGCTGGCCACATGACCTGGAAGCTGTCTGTGGACAAAACCAGCTCCCTCGGCCTATAGAGTGAGATGAGTGCACAACCCCAGAGTCGTCCATGACTGGACCTAATGGTCAGGGGTCCCTTTACCTTTAGGAGAGGGCACTTGACAGTGGGAAGAAAACGTGTGTTCACTAGATCCATGGTTTTCAAACTTCCTACCTTCAGGGAGTCCTTTCTGTACTGACAGGTAAATCAAGAAACTCCAGAGCTACAAGGAGGATTCTAGTTCCTGTGTGTTGTTGGGTTTGTGCTTGGGTTAGGAAAGACATTGGTTGGCCTGTCAGGCTGCTCCATGTGTGTAAAATGAGGGTGAACCTTGCAGGACACCCCAACATTTCCCTGCAGTTGTTTGTCACAAGGCAAGATCAGGAGTCGGGAACAAACCTTGCGGGGACGTTTGTTTTCCTTTTACAGATCATCTTATGATTATCTGAGGGTTTCCTGGAATGTAGTGTGACAACGACAGGGTTAGGGAAATATGAACTTGTATCCTCTTTCAATAGAAAGCAACATGTTAACAAGATATCATGGCTTCTGGGAAGTTATGTATCAATATGGCCAAAATCCCATTTATTGTGAAACAAGAAATAATAATTGTGTGTGGATCAAGGCAACATGGATTAAATTGTTTGCTCTTGGGTTCATTAGTAAGATAGTATATGATACATAGTAATTTGCTGGATACTTTTGGCGATTTTCCTGTGACTTATTGTAACAAAACCAGTGGTTACAATTATTAACATTCTTACATGTATATATTTTTAAAACACATGTAAAGTATTTGCATGAAACACACCATAGTCTGTAAGTTGAGGGGTGCACTTGAGCAGTGAGAAGCATTAAATTATCTTGGCCAGATACGTAGAAGTCAAACAGTGTGGTGGCAATTTCAAACCTTTCTAAAAACAGCCACCAAAATGTAGGAAGTTTCTTAAGCAGAAGTTCCTGGAGAAGGTCATAGGAAAGATGAATCATGGTGGAAGTGGTTACTGAAACAATTGGCTTCTCAAACTGGCAAATCAAAGCTGTCTATATTTCACAACATGGTGAGATTCTCCCAAATTCTTCACTGTAGTTGGATGGGTGGGGACAGGGCTTTTTTTCAGCCAGAACTTGCCAGAACTCCGTTCCGGCACCTCTCAGGTGGGCGCCATTGTCATTATAAGAGAACGAGGGAGTTATTCATGGTACGTTCTGGCACTGGGTGAGGAGAAAATATGTGCACCATGTGTACAACTTGTCAGAATGTCTGACTGTGAAGACCTTAAGGGACTGTTCATAGATACAGGCAGTTAAACACCATTGATTGGCTCTGAGGCAAGTGTGCTTAGTACTGCAGCTGTATAGCTGGAAAAATCTCATTGTGAGAACTTTCTGGGTTGCAAATGCTTTCTAAATGCTTTCTAAACAACTACCTGACATTCAGAAGACATCTTAAGGCAGCCCTGTTCAGGGAAAATTTTAATGTATGACATATTAGTGTATTTTTGGTATTTGTGGAAGCCACCCAGAGTGGCTGGGGAGACCCAGCTAGATGGGCGGGGTACAAATAATAAATTATTATTATTTCTAAATCTTTCCTGTCCTAGGTGTCACATGTGGATAGACTAGGTAACTGCTAAAACTTAGCTTTCCCCAGCTATTTATTTATTGAGCTGATCTTATTAATGGCTTTTTATCTTGCTTGTTGGACAATATTCCATTGGAAACTTTGGGTTTTCGATGCATTTTTCAAACCACAGACACCTTTTATAAAGTGGATTTGTTGCACTTGGGCACTGGAACACAAAAGCTGTGCAAACCTGCAGTTCTGGTATGCAATTATATCCATCCTGCAAAATACTGACAATCTGGAGGCACCCATACACACAGCACTCAGATCCTTTGAGGAAGGTAGGCATATGAATGCGGTGGATGGATAAATGAAACACTAGACCTCTACTAACAACCTTGCATTTCATAGTTACTGTGGTTTAATAGCCACGAATGTTTCTCAGTGAGAATGGGTCTCAGTAAGTCATAACTTGGAAGGCTGAACCTGAACACAAACTGATGCACTTCTTGTGGTGTGTGTGTGTGTGTGTGTACCTCTGTACAATAATTTTCTGGTCCACTTTCAGTTAGATCCAAGTTTCTAAAAGGCTCAACTAATACTGTCTCCTGTTAGTTTCTACACAGGCTTATCAGGTGTCAAACTCTGCTGTGGCTTAGCCTTCAGTATGGAGTTTAGTTTGCAAAGTCCAAACTGGTCATCTTGGTGTTGCAATAACTGAATAATCTGGATTTGTTGGTAGCAAACAAATGACAGCATTATTTAACATTCTTAATGTGTTACCATTCATTCATTTGTTCATTCATTCATAGCACACTGTTGCTTAGCGTTCCTTACAATTATGCCATTCTTTTTTCTTTTTTTTTGTAGTAGAACGAACAGGTTTATTCTAAAGGCAGTTCTCCTTTAATTAAGCATTTAATGCTGGCACATTCAGGGCATTCAAGCAAAAATCTAGCATAGATGGGAGAACCAAGATAGGTATGGGATTTCCTCTTGCAAATGCCATCAATGAACTCAAGTGACTATACTTTTTTTGTGTGTCAAAGCAGGTCCCTAGGATTCTGCCTAGATTTAAGTTACTACTTAGATGATGGGAAAGGACCCTGTTCCTGAAACCCATGCCAAGGTCCTTGCTGCAGTTCTGTAGAGATATGTGAATATGTGCAGTTATTAGACTATCACACGGTAATTTTTAAAGGGATAGTTAAATTTCTGTTCTTGTTCATTCCTTCTAAGGATGTGGTCAGTTTACTTAGAGTGCCCTAGCTGTCCACATTGACATGACTCTCTGGTTGTGTACACATACCAGAAGGTGTTGACACGATGGAGATATCTTTACCCTGTGCAAAGGAGTTCACACCCCAGCTATAGGTGAATTAGGAAAAGTGTAAGCCAGGGTTTCCCAACCTTAGGTCTCCGGCTGTTTTGGGACTACAACTCCCCTCATCCCTAGCTAGCAGGACCAGTGATCAGGGATGATGGGAATTGTAGTCCCAAAGCAGCTGGCGACCCATGTTTGGGAAATCCTGGCCTAATGACTCCAAAGCTGGTTTGAGAAACAATGCATGAAACTGTAGCACCTTATAACAAAGTACAGGATGCATATTCATGTTAGATTGTGTCATGTGAACATGGATTAAAAACTCAGCACAGGAAACAGTGAGTGTGCTGTTGATGGGAATGTGGACACAGCCTTGGCTATCATGTGTTGTCTTTCTACCTCCAAGTTGATATTCTTATCTAAGCCAGTGTGGGCTTGCATTCAACTAACTTTTACTCAGGGTCAACCCGCTGAAATTAATGTCCATGACCAAGTTGGGTCCATTCATTTCAATGGATCTACCTTGAGGAAAGATTAGTTGAATGCGACCCATAGCTTCTCTTGATTGCTTCTTCAGGACCAGTTGTAAGTGGTTTGCTTCCTTGCTGACTGTCTTCCCCGCATGGGGAATTCCTAAGCCTTGTCTCCCGAGTGACTTTGTTTTTCCACCCTGATGATTTATGTGACACATAGTTTTTCACATTAATGGCTGTCTTTTGCCACGAAAATGTGAGTCCATTCATCTTTTCACAAACCTTTTGGAAAGATTAAATGTGAAACTAAGCTTGACTGTTTGTATCTGTATTTTGAACAAGAGTGTCTCTGTGTAAGGGAGAAAAATAATTACCTCATGGCTATCAACCAGTGATACAGCTTGGTAACTTTAGTCCATGGACTTAATGGTTTGTGTGTATTTTAGATGGCCATGTCTGTTTGTGTGTATTGTAGACAGCACATTAACATTCCCCTTTTACCCTCTGCCACCATTCCATGCTTTTGCAACTGGTTCTACATCCCTGAGATACCCGAGGAAAACAAAAGTATGCTAGTCATGATAAAAAAGAAAAGAAAAAAGGAATATCCCTGAGTGTGTGCAGTTTTTTTTTTTTTTGAAGATTGGAAAATGTTTATTGAATATATGGGAAATAACTGTGTACAGCTAAAAACAATGGCAACATTAAGATAAATCCAACAGTGTAAATAAGTTGTGATGGATATAATAATGGAATACTGATTGGTATAGTTTTCTATAAAATATGCAGGGATTTAGGATACGTAAAATGAACCATGGAAAGAGAAGAAGGGAAGTCATTGATATCTTAAGGATGTAAAAATAAGTACTTTAAATTGTAAAAACAGAAAATTTAATCATGTGCTTTAAATGGATGGTACGTACATAGGATTTGAATCACACACCCGTCACACATAGTTTCCTGATGAAGCTAAAGAACTTTGAAACTATTTTCCATTTTGGAATTGACTTTGTGCTCCTTTTCAAACCGCAAGTTGATTTTGCCGCCCAAATTGCCTGACATTGTGACCTGAGGATCAGATGGTCTCTCTTCTTCTTCTTCTTCTTCTTCTTCTTCTTCTTCTTCTTCTTCTTCTGCTCCTCCTCTTCCCAGACATTTCTTATAAATCTGATAACAGTTTTGCATTTTAAACTTGTGTGAATCATATCACTACTTTGGGAGGTGGGGGGCAGAGAATGAGTTTGCTTCTGCTGTTCTGATCTGAAATATATTTATTTGGGAATACATACTGCATCTTAAAAAGCAGAGACATCACCTTGCCAACAAAGGTCCGTATAGTTAAAGCTATGGTTTTCTCAGTAGTGATGTATGGAAGTGAGAGCTGGACCATAAAGAAGGCTGATCGCTGAAGAATTGATGCTTTTGAATTATGGTGCTGGATGAGACTCTTGAGAGTCCCATGGACTGCAAGAAGATCAAACCTATCATTCTTAAGGAAATCAGCCCTGAGTGCTCACCGGAAGGACAGATCCTGAAGCTGAGACTCCAATACTTTGGCCACCTCATGAGAAGAGATAAGACTTCCTGGAAAAGACCCTGATGTTGGGAAAGATGGGAGGGCACAAGGAGAAGGGGACGAGAGAGGACGAGATGGTTGGACAGTGTTCTCGAAGCTACCAGCATGAGTTTGACCAAACTGCGGGAGGCAGTGAAAGACAGGAGTGCCTGGCGTGCTCAAGTCCATGGGGTCATGAAGAGTCGGACACGACTAAACAACTAAACAACAACAACCATTCTTTTGTAGAAGAGATTTTTTTAAAGCATAAGAATAATAAAACAAGAATTCCTAATGCATCTGCCCTATACATTTAAAGCAGTATCATGCTGCTTTAAACAGTCATGGCTTCCCTCAAAGGATCCTGGGACTGTTGTTTGTTAAGGGTACTGCTACCCACGAAGTTAGAGTTCCTACGAAGAGGGATTGATTGTTAAATGCCTCTGTGAATTATAGTTCTGTGAATAGGGGGAGTCTCCTAACAACTCTCAGCACCCTTAACAAACTACAGCTCCCAGGATTCTTTGGGGGTGGGGGGAAGCCAAGGCTGTTTAAATAATGCTTCAAATGTACAGTGCAGCTGAGGCCTAACTGGCTGCTTCCTGACTATAAAGTTGTATTTAAAAATATGAGGGAACAGGGAATATCATGGTGGGTCATGTGACCATTCTGGCCCAGGTGCATATACCTAGGCTTTTCACTGATCTCCCACCATCAGCTGCTGTCTGGGGTCATTAGCACCCCCCCTGGGCTCAAGGCTCATGTCCTTGGCTTTGAGGTCCAGCCTTAGCTGCACCATGGCCAATGATAACCAAGGTCAAGTGCAGCTTATGAAGCCTGCACATCAAATTCAGCCCGTCTATGTTTCATTAATTTGTGACAATTTCAGCTAAATGGCCGAATGGTAGTCACAGACCATGTCACCTTTTCCCTGCTAGCATAAGAGATGAATTGCTCAACATGGAGTGCGAAACAATTGCTAATATTAAAAGGCTGGATGCTTCCAAAGCTTCAATTCCTGGTGTATCACTGATGCTGCAAGACACCGTGAGATTAGCTTTCATTTTGGGTCTCTTAAGGCAAGTTGGATATGGTTTGCTTGTCAGCCAGTTGTTTGCTGTTATCATGAATGCCTTATGTCTTGGGAGGAGCAATCGCTAGGTCAGGAGTCTAATCTTCAAAGCTAAGAAGCGTTGACTCCTCTCCATATTACGTTTATGTCTCGACTCCATTAGACTAAGTATCCTGACCGATGATGTCTTTGTTTCCTCAGGTATGAATTGATACTTCTATCTAAATTGTTCTGAAATTGTTCTCCACAGTCCTTGAGCTTAGGGTTGCAGACCAGCCAATTGGATCTTGAATGAAGGCAAAGAGACTGCCGTATTTACTTTTCTAAGTGGAATAACCTTTTTGCTTAATTCTAGAATTCAGAGTGTGCAAATTACTGCGCTAATTACTGGTGCAGTAATAGAATTGCGAGTGCACAACAGCAGTTTGGAAGCCCCTCTGTTTCTCACCCCACAGCCCAGGGCATCTTAGCTCCTTGTTCTTAGTTTCCTCTGATATTTTCCTTACCCGGCTCTCCAGTTCTAAACCTGTTTACCTGTTTAGTATCCTTTTCTGCAAAAAATATTATAACAATTATTATATATTTATTTATTTATACCCTGCCTTTCCCCCGACAGGGACTCAGAGCAGCTCACAGATAAAATAAGAACAGTTTAAAAAACCCATTTCCCATTCCTGCATTATGTGTAAGCCTTTTTCTGTCCAAAAGTTCATGTCCCTCACTGTGTATAGAAGCTGCTCTGTAGGGATTTCATCGCTGATACTCTTGCTCAGCAGTTGAAATGTGTGTGAACATTCCATGCCATTGCATTACCTCTGAAAGGGCTTGGAGATAAGGCTTTATAGGTGACGCTTTTAGTCTGTTCAGTCTATGTGCTGCATGGCATAATTATCAGTATTGGGAGTGGAGAAAAAATCATGCTTAATGGTTACATCCAGATTGTCTCTATTTTGTGGATGGGATTCCATCACATACCAGCATTTTCAAGTTGTACAAATTCAGGATTTGGTGCTCTTGTGCAACAAACCTGCTTCCAACTTGCCCTCCCCAAAGTAAACAATAGTTGGTTTAAAAATTATCCATGCTGTCAAATATAAATTTTAGTAACTGTGGCATCACTCACTGGAATAGATTCACATGAAATTTGGGTTCCAATGCACTGGCTTAGTTTCTGAATATTTGGATGAATAACGGATTGTCTTTCGAAATTAAATTAAAATGGAAATGAGAACAGATCTTCCTTTGGAGTATAGCTAATAGACAGAGGAGATAATGCAAGTCAAAACATGTAGGATTGATTGGTTTGTGCAGTGCCTGTACCTTTTCAAAATTATTACAGGCAGCTAAAGGAAACAGCCACTTTAGGTCTCTAAATTTTGAAAGTGTGGGAGGATGGTGGACAAAGGAATTGGAGAGTCAGTGTAGTGTAGTGTAGTGTAGTGTAGTGTAGTGTAGTGTAGTGTAGTGTAGTGTCTAGAGTAACTCTGGAGACCTGGGTTCAAATCCCAGCTCTGCCATGAAGCTCGCCATCTTCAGCCCAACCTACCTCACAGAGTTGTTGTGAAGATAGATCCAGAAATAGTCTATAGAAAAAGATCTGGTAATGTAGCTGGGCGGAGCTCCTTCCTTTAAAGAGGGGAGGGATGCACAGCAATGGCCTGTTTCTCCCGGTCATGGCTTAAAAAAAATAAATCTGCTGCTTTCGAAAATGTTTCTGGGGGACTAAAACTTTGTTTCTTTTCTGTAGATGGAGTCTCCTGGAGTAGCTTTGATGCTCTGGGTCCTCGCCTGCCTTTCTGGCCCATCAACCGGCTTCCCAAATGGCAAAGTAACAGAGGCGTGCAAGACTATGATGCCCCTACATGGACACTCTTTGCCTCAGCGCTTCCCAAGGCACACCGTTGAAGTAAATGTGACGGAGTTCAAGCCAGGGGACCGCGTGAAAGGTACTGTGATCTTCTTGCCTCACTACCGTCTGCGGCAAAAAGGACATAACGCTCACTGCTTCTGTGATTGCTGCTGCCGCCTTCTTCAGATACTTGGGTGCAGTGCTCCAGGTTTTGTGGGGCCCTTCGGTGAAGGGCCCTCAGTCCCATCCCCTTGCCAGTGTCATTCTTGCCCATTTGATTTCCTTCTTCGTCAGGGCCAGTGCCGGATTTACGTACAGTGGTACCTTGGGTTACAGACACTTCAGGTTACAGACTCCGCTAACCCAGAAATAGTACCTCAGGTTAAGAACTTTGCTTCAGGATGAGAACAGAAATCGGGTGGAGGGGGCGCTGTGGCAGAGGGAGGCCCCATTAGCTAAAGTGGTACCTCAGCTTAAGAACAGTTTCAGGTTAAGAACGGACCTCTAGAACGAATTAAGTTCTTAACCTGAGGTACCACAGTATAAGCTAAACAAGCTACAGTGGTTGCTTGGGTTGCGAACTTGATCCGTGTGGGATGCACGTTCACAACCCGCAGTGTTCGCAACCCACGTCTGCACATCTGCGCACGCTTGGGTTGCAATTTGGTGCTTCTGCGCATGCGCAAAGCGCGATTTAGCGCTTCTGCGCATGTGCAATCGCCGAAACCTGGAAGTAACCTGTTCTGGTCTTCTGGGTTTCAGCAGTCTGTAACCTGAAAAAACGCAGCCTGAAGCGTCTGTAACCCGAGGTATGACTATATAGCTTGGCCCCCCCACCAAAAAAATGTAAAGAAAAAAAACTGGATGTACATTTCCAAAATATAAGATAAAAAACAAAATAAAACCTACATACAGCAACAGTGTTTTGTGTTGTGTAGGCTCCCATGATGTAAGTAATGGGCCCCGCCTGCTAGTCTGCTCCCTAAAATATCACTGGTTAGATATCTGTTAGGTCCATAAATTACCATATAGCATATATTCAACACAAAAACAGCAACAAATTGTTGCTGACAAAGGACAGCTGGACATATAAAGGGCCCCATTACCTTCAGTAGCTTAGGACCTCATCAAACCTAAATCCGGCCCTGGTCAGGGCCTAATCGACACCACTGTTAGGCGGAGAGAGCAAGGTGTATAGAGGCTGCAGCAGGACGTGGGTGGTGCTGTGGTCTAAACCACTGAGCCTCTTGGGCTTGCCAATCGGAAGGTCGGCGGTTCGAATCCCCACAACGGAGTGAGCTCCCATTGCTCTGTCCCAGCTCCTGCCAATCTAGCAGTTTGAAAGCACACCAGTGCAAGTAGATAAATAGGTAATGCTGTCACGGGAAGCTAAATGGTGTTTCCATGTGCTCTGGCTTCCATTGTGCCAGAGGCGGTTTAGCCATGCTGGCCACATGACCCGGAAAGCTGTCTGTGGACAAACACCGGCTCCATTGGCCTGAAAGCGAGATGAGCGCTTCAGCCCCATAGTCGCCTTTGACTGGACTTAACCATCCAGGGGCCCTTTACCTTTTTACTTTTTTTAGAGGCTGCAGCTGCTCCTTCCTCTTGCGCTTGGCCTTGTTTATAGTGGGCAGAGGAGACAGAGTAGACATGAGGAGACAGAGCCACTCAGGAGGAACAGAGGCAGAGACAGAGGACTGGTGGTGATGTGGGCCTCAGTGGCCTGGCTGTTGTTTTTCATAATTATTATATTTCTTACCAGAAGGTGTCAGTAGTGGCCCCAAGAAAACCACTTGCAGCAGCAGAACTACCAGCACGGCTCCCTCAGCTGATGCCTGTGCTGGTTCTATAGAGAAGGAGGCACGCTTTCGTATACTTGAGGGCCAAGTCATTTAGGGCTTTAAATGCTAATTTGAACAGCTTGATTTGGGCTCGGAAGGTACTAGGTAAGCTGTGCCCAGCCAACAAACCTAGCTTCTGCATCAGTTGCACCTTCAAGGGAAGCCCCATGCAGAGTGCATTGCAGTAGTCTAGTCTGGAGGTTACAAGAACATGAGGTACTGAAACGTTTACAAGGAATCTTAGACCAGCAGCTCACAGTTCTTAACAGCAGGTAGGGAGAAAGGTACGCCCAGCTCCTCCCTTTCCTGGAAACATAGAGGCAGGTAGGTGCTGGCGACATAACTAGAGCTTATTAATAGCCATCTCTTCCCTCGTTCTCCTGGTTTCAGTTAGTTTGTCCGGACCTCTGTTTGAAGGATTTTTTCTACAAGCCCGCAGTGCTGAGAACCTGGAGGGGCCTGCCATTGGCTCCTTTGCCCTAGCTGACAGGAAAAGATCTCAGGTCCTCACCTGTGGGCGTGTTAAGGTAAGAGTCCCTGCATCTTCCAGATGGCTTTGGCAAGCAGGTTTCTCTATTAGTTCCAAGTGGATTAGGTCCTCCCAGCAGCAGAATATGCTGTTGCTACTTTTCCCCGCCTGCATCTGCTTGGCATGGCATAGGAGAAATAAATTGTATGAGTATGAAAATACCCTTTTCTTTTTCTTTTAAGATTTATAAATGAAACTGGCAGAAGTTTGGCTTGGGATGAATGTTCTCCTTTACTGGCAACAATTAAATGTTAGGACTCCCCCTGCTGGGCTATCCATGTGAAAGCGCATTAATGGTTGCTGCTAGACGGCAATTTTTAAACTTAGCTTTTAGTTTGTCTTTCCCATAGCATATGTAACTAGATTACCTTAGTGGACCTCAGAGCAAAGTCACTTCTCCTTTGTAATATATATAGCACAGCAGCCCATCTTGTTACAAATGTATTAAAAAACCAAAACAACAAATTTCTAGGTTTCCTTTTTCAGAAGGTGTTCCAGAAACTGCTTCCAAAATTGTTTTCAAACTTTTTCTAACATGGAGTTTCCTGGGGTAACTGGCATATGCCTTGACCACTAAGTAATCATTATAATAATCATTATTTTCATCATTTCGTAAGACACATATGCAGATCAACCCCAAGCCTGAACTGAGCTTATGTGAATGTACTATGAATTAAAATTCATGTGACTCTACTCTGATGTCATGGCTAGATGTGGGGAAACTTAGGTTCAAACCTTGCTTGGATTATAAAGATCCCCAGATGATCACACCTAGATTTTTCTCCTGCCATTGGTAGCAGTTAGTGTTGGCAGAGAAATATTTTTCTTCTAATCCATACTGAGCTTCATGACCTCTTTAGTATGTGATGTTCATAAGCCTACGATACAAGCCAAATATTAAAATGCAACTTGTGGTAGACTGCTTTAATCATTTAGATGATTCATGAATGGAGTAGTTTGCATTATCTCACTGGTAATGCTTAAATGGGGCATTTGTTTGTTACAGAATTCAGCTGTCAGCCATACAAGTAAATCCAAGAAAAGCCATCTAGATGCTTATTGGATTGCTCCTAGAGATGCACCAAAGAGAATACAATTTCTGTAAGTATGAATAATAAAGACAAATTCAGCTATAGCTGGAATCTTCTGATCGAGTGTTCTTAGGTTAGTCTCCTTTCAAAACTTATACAGTGGTACCTCGGGTTACATACGCTTCAGGTTACATACGCTTCAGGTTACAGACTCCGCTAACCCAGAAATATTACCTTGGGTTAAGAACTTTGCTTCAGGATAAGAACAGAAATTGTGCTCCGGTGGCATGGTGGCAGCAGGAGGCCCCATTAGCTAAAGTGGAGCTTCAGGTTAAGAACAGTTTCAGGTTAAGAACGGACCTCCGGAAGGAATTAAGTACTTAACCCGAGGTACCACTGTATACAAAAACAGCAATACTGCTATGAAGAAGATGTGACTCAGTGGGAGATCATCTCCTTTGTATGTAGCAGGTCCTCAGTTCAATTCTTCTTCTTCTTCTTCCTCCTCCTCCTCCTCCTCCTCCTCCTCCTGTACCACCTCCTCTTCCTCTTCTAATTTTTGTAGCGCCCTTCATCTGGAGAGCACAAGGTGCTCTATAATACAAAAAATCCCCAGGTAGGGCTAAGAGAGAAACCTGTCTGAAATCTTAAGAGAGCTGCTGTCAGCTAACATAGACAACAATGACCTGACTCTGTATATAGCAACGGGTGGTGCTGTGGTCTAAACCACTGAGCCTCTTGGGCTTGCCAATCAGAAGGTTGGCAGTTCAAATCCTCATGACAGGGTGAGCTCCTGTTGCTCTATACCAGCTCCTGCCAACCTAGCAATTCAAAAGCACACCAGTGCAAGTAGATAAATAGATACCACTGTGGCGGGAAGGTAAACGGCGTTTCCGTGCGCTCTGGTTTCCGTCCCGGTGTCTCAGTGCACCAGAAGCGGTTTAGTCATGCTGGCCACATGACCCAGAAAGCTGTCTGTGGACAAACGCTGGCTCCCTTGGCCTGAAAGCGAGATGAGCCCCACACCCCATAGTTCCCTTTGACTGGGGGTCCTTTACCTTGACCTTTTTAATAGCAACTTCCTATGTTCCTATAAGTCTTGAACATATTTCTGTTCTGAGTACAGGGCTTCCCTCTTTTAAAAGCCTGCTTCTAATATTCTCTAAAAGGAAATCAATATAAATATGACTTTAAAAAATAACATTACTGTTGTATCACCAAAACCACTGTTGCATCTATATTCCTGTGGCTTTCAAAATATTTATTTTAGACTTCTCTTTCCTGAAAGCTGTCATGTTTCAGATGTTAAGAGATGGCTCACCTCCACTTATTCAATGTTTTTATTTGCTTTTGCAGAGGATGAAGCCCATTGGTGATGGGTTTCTCTGTCTGTGGGGCAAGGCTAGTTGAAACCTCTGCATGACAAGCTTGTGACCTTGTTTTGATTTTCTGCAGCAGCCTTCACCAACTTGGTGCTGTCTAGATGCTTTGAGCTACAGTTCCCATCAAGCCCAGCCAGCAGGACCACAATGGTTGGGGCTGATGGGAGCTGTAGTCCAAAGCATTTGGATGGTGGAGGCTGTTTGACACACAGAGCTTGCTAATATTTGCAGGGAAATGTACCAACCAAGTCTTCGGTGTGCACATCTTTCTCCATTGTCCAACTAAACACCTGCTATCTTCTCCACCAATTTGAAACTCTGGGTGACAGGCCCATGCCACCGTGACAGGTGGCAACCATTACTCTCTTGCAATGGTATAAGGTCAGAGATTATTTCCTGGTAACTTAACACCTGAATAAATATGTAGCAGTCTTTCCCCAACTTGGGGCACTGCAGACAACTGCTGTCATGCCTGACCATTGGTCATGGTGGCTGGGACAGATGGAAATGGACCCCCAACAACATCTTGAGGGCATCAGGTTAAAGAAAGCTGGCCCAAAACATCTGTTTTGGATTTCAGAAAGGACTTGTTCTATGCGGAAGAGAACAGTACACAATTTTGGTTCAAATCTCGCTTTTGTCTTGTTTGCAGAGTCACTGTTGTAGAAAAATTTAGAGTATTTTGGGTAAAAATTCCAGGTCCTACAATCTCCCAGTCCAATACACCAACCTTGGCAACACCTGTGGTGACTGAGGTGACTGTTGGAACTTCTCTGCCTGTTTCTCATCTCACCCAACCAGTAAGTAGCGCTGAGCTCGTGAACGGAGCTGTTTGGATTTTAGTAAAATGTGACTTCATCAGGGAAGATTGCAGCCTGAAAAAGAGTTGGGGCATCCAGTCACACACACACTAAGTGTCTAGGGTTGCTATATTTCCAAAAGTAAAAACCAGGATACCCCAAAAGCGTTTTTTAGGAAGACCCCAAAGTTGTCGAAAACGCAAACCCCCCATGATTTCTCGGTTTACTTGCCGAAGATCCAGGACAATCCGCCGCTTTCTGGAAATTCCCCCCGAATGTCACTTTCGCCTTTGAAATCCCAATAATGTCCAGGAAATCCCAGACGTATGGCAGCCCTATAAGTGCCCCTTTGACCCATGCTGAAGGACAGCCCCAACTACACTTTGCATCAGCCTTCTCAGCTGACTGACTGGTGTGTGCTAAGGAATGCATGGATTGGCTCCAAACCACCATAGCCAGATGACTTTTATATCTCCAGATATCTATCTGCATCTTGGTGCATGGTGCCAGAATGCACCATAACTCCTCACTAGATGTGCTTCCAGGGCTATAATTTTGTTCAAACTGCATGTCCTCCCACTCCTGGTGGTGGACATGTGTCACTGGAAGGAGTGTGTAATATGACTAGGCCTTATCACATCTTGGTCACACGAATTATGTATTGGCTGATAATATTTCTTGCGTTAAGAATCTTCATGACAAATGGGGCTCAAGGTGATCTGAAGTCTTATGCCTAAGGCTCAGCATTTTTCCCTGTTCAATGCCTAATCCTTGGCTCAAATGCAAGTGCAGAAATAGATGCCAGCCTTTACACAGATTTTCAAACCATGAAACCACACTTTTAATCCTCTTCATGAATCGATTGCATCAGTCATCTGGTTTCTATTGAATCTTGTTTGCCTTTTTGGGTAGCAGCTATAGATTAGATTTCCTTTCAGTCTTCTTGTCTCTTGTCAAGTACTGTATTAACCATCATTCCCGCCATTTCAAAAACTTAGATGAATCTTGTTGCCTCCAATACTGAACTTTAGGGTAACCTCTTTAAATGATTATTTGCTGTAGTGTGGGTTTTTTTGCACTTGGCCTCCTGCAAAATGAACAGACAGTATTTCATTCTTTCTCCTCATTAAAATCCATAGGGACCTCCTTTTTAATCTTTACAGAGCTTGTGTAATTATCTGGAGCAGTTTGGTATGATTCAGAAAGCCTTTAATTATACTCCTGCTAATGCAAAGTTTCGAGCAATTAACAGAGCTGCCTGACTAAGACAAGAGTGGGATTGTAGTGTGCACCCAAAATTACAAAGTTTGAACGATGTTGATTTGAGGCTTGCAGCTTAATAATGGCCAGAGAAACTAACTGTAATTGCTGGGTAGAAATCTGAGGTTGTGGGAAACAGTTTCCCGTTAAAATCCTGCAACGATGCGAGTGCATTTTCCAGAACGTCAGCCATTTCTCAAGTAGTGATCTATTAGGTAATGTAATTTGGCTTCTTGTCTCCCTTAGTTCAGTGCATTGGACTGTGGCAGCAACAAATTCTGTGTGAGAAACCCTTCCGACTGTGATCCTGGAGCCCGCAACTGCTTCTTTCTGTCTTTCAAACGAGACCATGTCGATTTGATTGTGGTGGAAATGAGTGGTCCTAGCGATGGCTATATTGCATTTGCACTGTCCAATGACCAGTGGATGGTTTGTAAACATTATTTTCCATTCGGATCCTACTGCCAATCTGGGGAATTTGCATAGTCTTCTGGAAATAAGATTGAACCATAAAAAGCCAGAATATACTTGAGCGAGGGAGCTGCAATTAGCTAGAAGTTCCCTTCCATGAGTATCCAGGGCATATATACATTTCCAACTGCATGACTGCTTGTACCAGTATTGCATAAGTATGAAATGTACAAAGCACGTTTCATTGATAACATACTTTATCAAATCGATTTTGTTTTGTACAGCACCCAGGGATTTGCTTGAATGAAGGGCGTTTTACAAGAGTGGCGAATAAAGTTTTCCGATGAGCTATTCTTTGTATTGGTGGTAGTACAGATCCCGAGAGCTCATTTTTGTATGTGCTCCCAAACTCCTAGGACCTAGGGGCTTGCATCATGTCGCTACCAGAATTTGCAGCCCCTTACTACTTGTGCAAGTTAAAGCTGAATTGACTCTAGTCCTGGGGTTGTTAAAATAGGAACTTCAGTGAATGTGTCCTTAAATGGTGAGCCAGTTTTGGATAGGCTTTCATGAGCCTCCATTTGTCTTGGCTGTGTAGCCAGGGCCTGTGCAGGCACGGGGCGCTGCCTGCCCTGGGAATGCCATTTAACAATCTCTTTGACGTTATTTGCAGGGTGGTGGTGACGATGCCTATCTCTGCATTAGTGACAGTCACCACGTTGACATCAAGACAGCTTCTTTAACTGGACGTGCTTATCCAGAGTTTGATTCAGAGGTATTTGTGTCTTTATATATATAATTTTCATTACATTTTCTGTTTTGCAATTTAAAATACTCATTTTAAGATAACAGTGACTTCCCTTCTTCTCTTTCCATCGTTCATTTTACATATCATAAATCCCTGCATATTTTACAAAAACTATACCACTCAGTATTCCATTACCGCATCCATCAAAACTTGTTTACACTGTAGTTTACACGTATGTTCTTCTTGTTCTCTTGCTCTATATGTTAAGTCTGTGAGTTGTGCATATTCTGTCAGCTTAAGTTGCCAATCTTCTTTAGTTGGGACCTAGCTCGTTTTCCATTTTTGAGCTAACAAAACACAGGCCACAGTAGTAGCATACAGAAATAACCTTTTTTTAAACACCTGGGAATTTCAGTCTGAATTATCCCCAACGGAAAGGACTCTGGTTTTGGGGGGAAAGTACATTTCCCCCCCAATTCATTATGGATAAATTCCCAGTACTCTTTTACCCTTTTACAAGTCCACCACATATGAAAGAACGTCCCCTCCACCTCTTTGCATCTCCAGCACTTATCTGATTCAGACTTATACGTCTTAGCAAGCCTACTCAGAGTTAAATACCATCTGTGAATCATTTTCAGGTAGTTCTCCTTCAAAGAATAGCATGCTGTAAACTTCAAGTCACTTTTCCAGAGTTTTCCCCCCAGAGGTTAAAATCTACCGTATTTTTCACTCTATAAGACGCACCAGACCATAAGACGCACCTAGTTTTTGGAGGAGGAAAACAAAAAAATTATTCTGAATCCCAGAAGCCAGAACAGCAGAGGGATCTGGCTTCTGGGATAGCCTCTTGCTGTTCTGGCTTCTGGGATAGCCGTGTGCAGCGTCTCCCTGGCAGCGGGAGGAAAGCTCCCCCAAGAGCCGCGCTCCCTTTAAAGAGCGCACGGAGCGTGAGTGCGGCTCTTGGGGGCTTTTCCCCTTCTCCCTTCTCGGGAAAAAGCCCCCAAGAGCCGCACACATGCTCCACGCGGCTCTTTAAAGGGAGCGCTGAGCAGAGCCTCCCGCCTGCATTCGCTCCATAAGACGCACACACATTTCCCCTTACTTTTTAGGAGGGGAAAAGTGCGTCTTATAGAGCGAAAAATACGGTATATTGTGTCCTATATTGATTGCCCAGTTTGTCACTGAGGCTTTAACAAGCTCGTCTTTTCTTTCCCAAAGAGAGGTATTTGTTTCATGGACACTTTTTTATTTTTTTTAATGCAAATTATAGGATTGAATCCATCATGTTCCTATGATAGACAAGTACACTCCTACACATGTTGGCTTATTTGGCTTCCCCCAAATAATCCTGGGAACTGGTACACTACTCACAATTCACAGCACCCTTAACCAACTACAGTGTCCAGGATTCTTTGATAACGTTTTAAGATCGCACCTATACCAGCATAACTACCAGAACAACACAGCAAAGCTTTGGGATCTTTGCCCTTTTCTGCTGTCGGTGCATTTCAGAGTTGACGTTGAAGAAAACTCTTTGCCCACATAGTTCAAAGCAAAGTATTTTATTGCTGCAAATCAACAAGACAATTATTCACGTTACGGACATGCAGTTAGGAGATTCTGGTGCATTGTAACCTATACACTGCTAACAAACTAAGTATAGTAACCTCGTCTTAGGAGGTTGAGGTAAAAATGGCAATGAGACTCAAACCGGACAGAGATCCATGCAGGCTGCTGGTTGCTTCTGGCTATATGTATCAGCCAACATACACACATGCACAAACTCACTTCTCCCTCTGGTGAGAAAGGGGAGGGATGAGTCATGCCAGAATCCTGCAGCCTCAGGCTGTTTCAGAAGGCCCACCACAGCTGGCATCCTAACCCTGAACAGAAATCAGACCCAGGGGAAGGGCAACTTGAGAGACAGACCTAAGCACAGTTAATGCAATTAACACCAACATTTAAATTACACTAACCTTCTTTGGGTCAAGTCATGTGCTTTAAATATATGTTCTGTACACAGCCTGGGGCACCTTTGTGGGTGGTGTGGTAGTCATGTGAAACTGGCACATGGATCCAGCTTTTATTTGCCTCTGATCTCCATTGCTTGCAAAGAGTTCCTCTCTTTTTTTGGAATAATTTTTTACTAGATTTTATAAAGAGAGATACAAAGATTATTATCAGATATTTTTTCTGTCCAAACTGAAACGTTAATCTGAGTAAAATAAAAACATTGATGCAAAGGTGAAGGAAGGAAGAAAGAAAGAAAAGTTAAGAAACTAAGGAACTTCCGATTCTTCATCTGAATAAACATTTTTCAACTCATCCACTCCAATATAACGGCAAAGAGTTTCTTGCCAACAGAGCATGGGTATAGTGGACTCTGAGCTTTCAAAATTGCCTCTGTTCCCCATGGCTCTTGGTAGAGTGATGTTGAGAAATCACTGTGTAGGTACACCAAATTTAGCATTGGAAGTACATTGGTTGTCTCAAACGCACTGTGGTTGCTTCCTAAAAGCCAGCCAGTTTGGATCAGGAACATGGGCCATAGCCAAGGAGGAGGCAGCTGCTCCCCCAATCAATAAAAATACAGTGGTGCCTCGCAAGACGAAATTAATCCGTTCCACGAGTCTCTTCATCTTGCGGTTTTTTCGTCTTGCGAAGCACGGCTATTAGCGGCTTAGCGGCTTAGCGGCTATTAACGGCTTGGCAGCTTAGCGGCTATTAACGGCTTAGCAGCTTAGCGGCTATTAACGGCTTAGCGGCTATTAATGGCTTAGCGGCTTTAAGAAAAAGGAAACAAACTTGCAAGAACTCGCAAGGCGTTTCGTCTTGCGAAGCAAGCCCATAGGGAAATTCGTCTTGTGGAACGACTCAAAAAACGCAAAACCCTTTCGTCTAGCGAGTTTTTCGTCTTGCGAGGCATTCATCTTGCGGGGCACCACTGTACATAGCAAATTGATGTTCTGCCCCCCGTGACAAAAATCCTGGCCACGCCCATGATCAGGAATGTTTGTTCTGATAAACCCGGTTGCCTGTAAGCTTTCGATGGCAGCACTAGGCATCTAAAAAAGAAAGAAAGCTATATTTGTGGTCATTCAGCTTGAGAGGCAGAAATGTTAAATTGGCATTGATTTATTTTCCCCACAGCCTGCTCTGGATGAAATGTCATGGAGGCTGGCTGACGGCCTTATTCAGTGTTCTTTCAGAAGGAGAATTCACTTTCCTGCTCTTCAAGGGAGGTTTAATCTTGATGCAAACTACTATATATTTATGGCAGATGGGGAAGTCAGTGAAGGTAAGTTTGGAACTGAAAGAAAAGTGACAAAAATCCTTAAGGTTCCTTTACTGGTTATGGACTGTGGTTAGGTAATGGAGCCCTCCTGGAGTGACTTGGAGTCAAATCCGTGTGTGTGTGTAATTTTTATTAAGTTTTCTATTTTACAATTTAAAATATTAATTAAACCTTAGAATATAAATGACTTCCCTTCTTCTCTTTCCATGGTTCAATCTGCATATCGTAAATCCCTGCATATTTTACATAAACTAAACCATTCAGTATTCCATTAATACATCCAGCAAGACTTGTTTACACTGCTGAAATTATCTTAATGCTGCCAATGTTTTCAAGTGTACACAGTTTCTCCCATATATTCAGCAAACATTTTCCAATCTTCTTTAAATGTATGTTCTTCTTGTTCTCATATTCTATATGTTAGACCCGCAAGCTGTGCATATTCCATCAGTTTGAGTTGCCATTCTTTAGATGGGAGCTCGCTCATTTTCCATTTTGCGGCTAACAAAACATGGGTCACAATAGTGGCATACATAAATAGCCTTTTTTGACACCTGGGAATTTCCATCTGAATTATCCTCCCCCCCCCAAGGATTCTGGGTTGTTTTTTTTAAAAAAAGTACTTTCAAACATTTTTTTCTCAATTCATTATAAATTATTTCCCAATACTCTTTTTACCCTTTTACAGGTCCACCAACTTAGATTCAAATCCTTACTTTGCTGCAAAGCTCACTGGGTGATCTTGAGCCAATCACTAACCTCTTAGCCAAACCTACCTTGCAGTCCCTGTTCCTTGCAGGGTGCAGATAATTCTCCCCACCCTTCCTTTGCCATTAACATGTCATCTGTTCTTCATCTCTTGCACAGGAGGTATGATCCACAAACACTACAGGCAGCCTCTGATCACAGACGGAAAGTTTAATGTTACGGGACCGGCAAAGGATATTGGAGGATCCCGCTCCCCTCTTCTCATCAAGATCCATGGCAAGCTAATGCTCTGTTTCATGTGCAAGGATGGGCTAGGTCTCCTGTGGTCCAGTGACTTGTAGCTGGGGTGGCGGGGTCTTCTTGCAGCATCTGTAACAGGTGAACTTTCAAAGTCTTGCAGTTCTGTATGGGATGCTAGGGGGGACGACAGAATGCACTGGATGGGACCTCTTATAGACAACACCCTGTGTTTTCTACATGAAAGCTTCTCAGAGGAAGAAGGTCATTTTTTCATCAAACCTTTATTGGCATCGCATACAAACATTCAGAATAAATAGGCCAGTGCGATCTCGTCGCCATTTCAACAGTACAGTCATTTGCCAAAGGGAAGAAGAGGCAAGCAATCTATTTCATCTCTGGGGTCTCCAGCAAGGGCAGGATCCTGTAGTGTACTTTGGCGACAAAAAAATCAAATAGAGGAACTTAGCTTCTGTCTTGGTGAGCTCCTGGTCTCTCCCCTGTAATAAGAAGCGTATAACCTCTGTTGCTGGTTTCCATGTTGGAATACATGGATGGTCTAGAAACTGTTGGTGGAGATCATCATACATTTTACATTTAAGGGCCATGTGAGCTAGAGTTTCCACCAGGTGGGCATCGCATGGGCAGATCCTACCTCCTTCTGCCATACCCACAAACCTACCCCAAAGAAGATTAGAAGGATTAGAATTGAACCTAGCCAGTGAAAAAGCCCTTCTTTCTTGTGGGTAAAACAAAAATTATAAATAATTAAGGTTAAATTCCTGTACCCAAGAGAGTCGAAAATGAAGAGGGGAACATGTTTTTTTCCGCAGTTGAGATTAGTTCCTGGCGATCTATGTCCCACAGCCTAGTTTTTAACATGGCCTTGGCGATTTGGAAAGCCACAGCACCCAGGAGATCCTCTGAAAGTCCAAGTTGCCGTATCTTTGTGCAAAACAGTTGTAGCCCTGAGGAGGGGAAGGAGTCTGACAGAACTTTGCTATGTAAAGTATCTTTGTCTGCTGAAAAACAAATGTTTAGCCAGCATAATTTTCATACCATCTTTATAGGAAGCAGTGCAAGAACAGCTTCTGATATTTCAGGCTGGGGATGAAAGAAACCATAATGGCTCGAAAAGCAGTCTTTGAATGTCTGAAGCCATAAAAGTGAACTTTGATTTGATTTTTAAATTGTGGCTACTTTGCAACTTATAGTTCTTTGCAAGAACTTTTTGTGTCTTCCTTTTTCAGGTGCATTAATGTTCGTTGCATGGATGACCACCGTTAGCATTGGTGTGATCGTTGCCCGATTCTTCAAGCCTGTCTGGCCTAATTCATTGCTGTTTGGAGAAGAGATCTGGTTTCAGGTGGGAGGAAAAGCCAGAAGATGGCCATTGTCTCTATTCAAGTTGGAAGGGATCTCTAAGGTCCTGCAATCCAACCCTCTGCGAGATTTCCCTCAAAACCTTTTGTGTATTCCTTAAGAGCATAGGTTCCATTTTTATTCTAAACAGATTGATTTTCTGCCACTATGTTCCTTGTTACTAGAATGAGTCTCTGGATTCTATTTAACTAAGCTATTTTCTTTAAAATACCTAACTTTTTATCGATAGGTCCATCGTGCCCTAATGGTGATGACAGTGCTGCTTACAGGTGCATCTTTCATTCTTCCATTCCTATACCGGGGAGGCTGGAGCGATGTAAGTGACATTACATAAGCGTGATGCTTTTATTCAACAATGTAACTCCCATGTGTGGCTATGTTAAAAATTTCATGTTCTGACACTGTTCTTTCCCGTTACCTATAAAAGAGTCACAAAGTTCAGAACTGAGAGCTAAGTTTGTTCTTGATTTGTTATGTAAGATACCTGATGTGGATGACCAAGTGAAAAATCCTGTATTTGCCCTCTGGTATTGGGAAACTTGTGACAAAGTTGCGAGATTTGCAGTCGCTGCCCAAAAATCGAGGAGAATGTTCAGTGAGGATAACATGGTGGGAAGTAAGGATTTAATTGGGAATGAAACATAAATTGTGTTTTAATGTTGTATCTATGTATATACAGTGGTACCTCGGGTTACGAACTTAATTCGTTCTGGAAGTCCGTTCTTAACCCGAAGCGTTCTTAACCCGAGGTGCACATTCCCTACATAGGCCTCCTGTGGCCCTGGAAGCAGATTGCATTCATATCCCGGGGCAAAGTTCGCAACCCGGGACACCAACTTCTGGGTTTGTGGAGTTCGTAAGCAGGACTGTTCGTAACCCGAGGTACCACTGTATTTTATAGGATGTATGTTCCTTTTTTTTGGTGGTTGATATGGCTGTGCTGGTTGAAACAACAAACAAACAAACAAACAAACAAACAAACAAACAAACAGTTCAGTGCCAGAAGTCTTGGGGTGGCTGGGATGCTTGAATATATATGTTTGGGAGTCATTATCTTGTCTGCTAATATTCATGGCTACCTTGAGAGAGGAGACGGCTAATGATTGATGGTACATGGATGCTTCCAGCTCAATATGTGATAATTCCGGAAAACAATTACTGTATTTTTTGCTCTATAAGACTCACTTTTTCCCTCCTAAAAAGTAAGGGGAAATGTCTGTGCGTCTTATGGAGCGAATGCAGGCTGCGCAGCTATCTCAGAAGCCAGAACAGCAGGAGGGATTGCTTCTTTCACTGCGCAGCGATCCCTCTTGCTGTTCTGGCTTCTGAGATTAAGAATATTTTTTTCCTTGTTTTCCACCTCCAAAAAATAGGTGCGTCTTGTGGTCTGGTGCGTCTTATAGAGCGAAAAATACGGTAACGATTCAAAAATCTGGGGACTTGTCAGTTATTGTGTCTAATATGCTGTAGGTCCGATGCCCTGGGAATTGGTGGGGAGGGATGGAGCAGCGAAGCCACAACCATACTAGCAGCCCCATTGCTGGGATGGAAGGTGTGTGTGTGTGTGTGTGTGTGTGTGTGTGTGTGTGAAGGAGGTAAATTGCTGTGCCAGCCTTCATTCACCCCTCCCCAAAACCTGGTCCAAAGAAGGTTAGGAATGCACCCTAATACAATAGCATAATTGTCTTCGGCATTTGCTCCACAATGAGAGCATTATTATGCTATCTCCTAGTAGCTTGGGGGTCTTTTCTTTGTTCTGGAGTCTTTGTGCATGTGTGTGCTTCTATTTGATACTTGGTAAATAATGGTAATTCTTTTAAAAAATAAAATAAAAGAGTTCTCCCCAAGTCTGGCTTTCTAAGTACGGGAAACGGTCCCTTAAGTACAGTAGTACCTTGGTTCTCAAACTTAATCTGTTCTGGAAGTCCGTTCCAAAACCAAAGCGTTCCAAAACCAAGGTGTGCTTTCCCATAGAAAGTAATGCAAAACAGATTAATCTGTTTTACTATCCAGCGAGGCCATAGATCCATAAAATGAAAGGAATAAGCAATGTACTGCTGTAACACAATCAGTAGCTGAACTGGGTTCCACACAGTCACAAAAACAAAAAGAAAGAGCCACAAAAACAGAAATGCAAAATAAATCGCAAAAACAGATAGACTTCAGCATCACACTCAAAATGGAAGTGTGGCACTCAAATCGGAAGCGTAACATTCAAAGCATTCAAAACTGAGCACGTTTGGCTTCTGAAAAAAGTTCTCAAACCAGAACATATACTTCTGGGTTTGCAGCTGGGTTCAAAGCTGTTTGAGTACCAAGGCATTTGAGAACCACTGTATTCAAGAACTTGCATAGCATATCCATGCAATGACTATATCCTGCTGTGAAGTGTGGTCTTTGTCAAAAAAGCATTGTTGGAGGGTTGTTCATAACCAAACCCATCTTTTATGCAGCAAGCAGGCTTCCATCCGTATCTTGGCTGTACGGTGATGGCACTGGCAATCTTTCAGCCCATTATGGCAGGCTTCAGACCTCCACCTCAAGCACCAAGGTATTCTTGCCTGCTCAAGTTACATAAATATATTCCAGTGAGAGTGCGAGGGACTTACCAGCCGGGTCAAGAGTTTTAAAGGGCAATGATCCTGTGGTTAATGGGTATGGAAACCCCAGACCTGCCCCCTCTTCCAGAAATTTGCAACCCCCAAGTTTGCAGACTCCAGTTACTGCAACCCTAATGAGTGTGTGGTGATGTAATAATCCCCGTTCTCTTTTCACACCCCGGGCACTGATGGTGTTTGGAATCACGCACTGACTTTCCTTTCCTTTTTCTTTGGGAACAGAAGAGAAATCTTCAACTGGTTACACTGGAGCACGGGCACAACTGCTAGAATATTAGCAGGTGAGTGAATAATTCAATCTAGCCTTATCTAAAATGTTGATTTGTAAGATGGCTAGGGACAATGGGTATTAATTATGCTTTTCTTAAGTTAATTTATGTGGCTTTCTACGAGTGGCAGTCCAATACTTGTAGATCTTGCATTTTGTGATAACTTCACTCTTGCACCCTGCTGACTACAGTGGTACCTTGGGTTAAGTACTTAATTTGTTCTGGAGGTCCGTTCTTAACCCGAAACTGTTCTTAACCTGAAGCACCACTTTAGCTAATGGGGCCTCCTGCTGCCGCCGCGCCGCCATAGCCCGATTTCTGTTCTCATCCTGAAGCAAAGTTCTTAACGTGAGGTATTATTTCTGGGTTAGTGGAGTCTGTAACCTGAAGCGTATGTAACCTGAAGCGTATGTAACCCGAGGTACCACTGTACTTGAAATTGCTTTGGTTTCACATGCAATATCAAATAAATGCACGTTGTTCCGTGACCACAATCTGACCATCACTGGGAGTGCATAGACTACAACTGCTAAACATTGTGTCTGAAGGCTTATAGCTCCTCTAGATAGCCTGTTTGTTGGGTATTCATCCCGACTTGCTTGTCCAAAGTTTACCTATGTCTGGTCTTTATTGGACACTTGTTCTGATTTGCTTACTTCTTCCCATTATTCATTTTTTCATCCGACATTTGTCAGTGCATTTCCCTGTCATTTCCAAACTGCAAAGAGTCAATTAAAAAATAAAATAAAAAATGTGTTGTTATGGGTCCACAATGCTTTAAATCCACAAATATAAAATTCAGCGGTCACTTGAATGACTTCTACAAAATGCTGATGTTCTGGAGGAAGCCTTAGTGTCTGTACATTGGAAACCACAGAGGGTATGGAATCTCTTGCTTTATACAAGTGAGCAGGTAGCCTGTCATTATGTGGGACTCTGGGTTGTATTTTTATCATGTATTTTGTTGCTAACCACATTGCAGCAACAAGTTGCAGTAGAGCACTGCCAGTTGAAATTACTTGATCTAATTTTGCTTACTCTCTGTTTTGTAAACCTGGCCCTGTCCTTTAGTGGTGGTAATATTCCTCGGAATGGACTTGCCAGCTCTCAACCTTCCAGATCCATGGGATACATATACAATGATGGGATTTGTAGCTTGGCATGTTGGCACCGATGTTCTCCTAGAGATACATGGCTACTGCCTCATTCACAAAGGTACTGTGACCAATCTCTACTTTAGCTTGCATTGAACACAATGCAGTTGCAAGAAGAGGCAGATATCCTGGCTCATGAAAGAGATAGCTTTACACTGTCTAAATACCTGTTTGCATTATCCTTATCTGCTGTCCCCCCCTGCAGTTTTCACAATTGCTGTGAAAGCCCCAGGTACATATTTGAGTGGAGAAATGTAACATGATATACCTGATAAAATAATTTTTATTCAGGAGCAATAATGTGGCAGGAGGGATGCATATCGAAACTAGCCCATCACATACCTCCTTTGCTTATCAGTTTGAAGAGAGATGGGTTTGAAGGGCAAAGAACTGCTGATTGATTTACTTTATGGATCAGGTTCTGAGGCTGAGATGGTAAATGCTCCTGACACCAGGGGAGCCCATGGATAAGCAGGCATTTGAGCTCTGTTCTCCTGGGACCAAATGGAAATCTCTGTCCACACTTCTCTCCCCTGCCCTCTTGTGTCTTCCATTGGACGGCCTTTCCCAGCTTGTGGCCTTCCAACTATTGTTGGACTCCCAACTTCCATCAATCTCAGCCAGCATGGCCAATGGAGTGTCACAGCTTCCGCACACCTCCCATAGAGTCTCTTGTACTAGAATAAGTAAAGTGTGTTCCAGAATGGAACCATGTCAAGGACAGCATCCCCACCTCTCCATCAGAAGGTGCTCATTTCAAACAGTGTCTTCATCTCAAATGAACGAGCGGCACCCCCTTTATCTTGAACTGGTGGATGAAGCTCAACAGGCACAATCTAAAACAGGGCTGCTTAAAGATCTATTGTGTCCACTGGATTGTGTGTGGTGTCTTTTAAGATAATCTGGTAAATGACCAGAAACATAAAGGGTAGAGTGTAGCTCTGATCTAGATCTGTAGGCACGGTTTCAATTTTAGAATTTGCATTTTGGGGGATTATATATTTTTATCTTCTACACTGCTTTGATGGCTTCAGGCTAAATAAAAATCAACCGTGAAATTTTTATTTCGCAGTTCAAGTGTTGGAAGATGACCGGATACAGATTCTGCAGTCCATTACAACGGCAGAGGCACAGGTAAGTATAGAATGCATGCGAGAGGATAAATATAGGCATATATATTTTTTCTGAGCATGGAGCTGCCTCCTAAGAACTATACTACTTTCAGGGTGTAAGGCTAGCTCATTTGAATGCTCCCATGTGCTTTTAAGCGAAAAGCAAGCTAATGCAAAAGGTGGCTAGCCTTTTGCACAAGCTTCCTTCTTCCATTCCCATCTCCTTGATGTATCATGTGCAGGGGGTTTCTCTTTCAATGGGGAAGCGTTTGGAATGTTGCCCCCCCCATTTGTATCCTGTAGTGGTACATTCCAGAGCAGCCTTTCCTAACCTGTGGCCCTTCAGATGTTGCCAGTCCACAATTCCCATTATTCCTGAGTTAGATCCACTTCACATTTAAAGCCGAATCTGTCCAGTTCACTTTCTGAAGCAGTGTGTGAACCAAAACAGAGTTATCCTTTGAAATTCACACTTATCCAAATTTTGTGATGTAGTTCCCCAACCAAACAATGTTTTACAGAAATACATAGACTGGGGGAAGCTGTGTGTAAAAATGAATATGTTAGTGAAATAACAAAGAAAAATAAATGATATTAAGGGAAATTGCTTGCAAAAATGTGTAAGTTAGTCAAACCTTCATATAAAAATGTGTTTATTAGGAGAAAGTCCTACTAAGATTTTGATAAATTTTCATGAGGGTTTTAAAAATATGTATATATAAAAAATCAAATTTCTGCCAAATAGGCACAATTTTAGAGTGGAAAAATGAGAAACTGAGACAACTGGAAATGTTGTCTACCCCTACACCTGACCATTGGCTTTGCTGGCTAAGGCTGATGGAAGTTGGCATCTGATGGGCCAGAGTTTTCACCATAGCTGTCAACTTTTTCCTTTTCTTGTGAGGAATCCTATTTGGAATAAGGGAATTTTCCTTAAGAAAAGGGAAACGTTGACAGCTATGGTTTTCACATAACTGCCGTATATCATCTCCACTCCTTATTTTTGCCAGGGCACCATGCTGGAGAAGGCTAGACTGGTAGGCACATGCCTTTTTTTCTGAACTGACTCAGCATTTTCACAAATGGTTGCATTCCCAGTGTTTCCCTTTCTCTCTTTACAGGGGCATACATTTAAAAAGACAGTGCTGTTCATCTACATTAGTGGCAATGTGGCATTTCTCATCACCTTCCTGACAGCAATTATAAAAGTATGACAAAGAAGAAGCCTTTAATACTCCTAAGAGCTTGCAATAGAACTGTTGGAGACGTGTCTTGCTGAAGTTCATAGCAGAAGGACGATCTGTAACGTAAACACTGCCAATTTGGGATTTAAGAAACCTGGTCTTCGTTATACAGCCGTTGCAGGGCAGAATTAGACTTTTCTTGGCAAATACGTTGTCCCAGCCTGGTCAGAACTGCCTTGGTCTCCAGCATGACTAAACGCCTCCCTTCAACATTTGTCTATCTGGATCCTGTAGATTCATCGGTCACTTCAAGACTCAAGGGAGAGCTTCCATTTGAGAAGTTGGCCTTTCTTGTTCCAGGGTTGCCATTGATTTGAAATGGACTGCCTGCCATTGCACTTGATCAGCTGTCCGTCCGTCCATCTAATAGGTCAACGTGTTCATGTTATTCCTAGCTAGTCTCCACCTGCAACCACCACCATTATGACATAGGAGCTCCATATGCTCATGGTCTATCTATAGGCTAGCTAGAGGATGGTTAAAGGTCTACACATCCCTCTCCCCAGCCTGCTTCTAACCTGAGGATGGATGCAGATAGTCATTGTCTCAGTGTGATGAAGAATAATGGTCTACCACTAAAGGCTGGATTACAGACTGCAAGGTATTAGTTTTTAAGGATGCCTCATCCATAGGGATTCCAGCAGTTATATTTGGAAACAATTTTGTGAGTCGAGAGGGATCGAGAATGGAAGCCAGTTAGGGGCCAGATGTCATTTGGAACAACTTACTTCAGGCATCAGAAATCCCAAGGATTGTGTTTGACACAAACGTCTTGGATTTGTAGCTCTGTTGGAAGACTATATGGTGTTAAGGGTGGGGGGGAAACAGCTCTGGTGGAGATCTAACTGCCCTTTCTCCTTTGAAGCAACCAGTGTTCTTGTAGATTACATCTCTCTCCTCACTCTGAGTTTCTTTAACAGGTAACTAGTAGCTGTACCAGAAAGCTCTCTAGAACTAGTGCCAACATTTGTTTAAAGAATGATTGGCACATATATATATATAAATATGTGTGTGTGTGAAAAAAACTGTCAACCTGCAGTCTCTGGGTGAAATCCAATTATCCATTGGATGTCACTGCAAACAGCAGAGGTAGGTGGGTGATTTTTTGACAATGCATCACTTTCCTACTCTAGATGGTGTGGGTCCCTCAAGAATAGCATGGAAGATGCTGCCGGTGGGAGGTAGAGGTGCAGGATGAGCAAAAATAATCTGTCCTCATCCATTTGCAAAGGTTGCTGCTAGATGAAAAGCACTTCCCACGGGCAAAAGGATGCAATTGGATTCCACCCATTGTGGTTCATGTTGTCTTCCACACTGGATTGAAATAACTGGATTTCTTACTCCCTGTCCCCTTGACCCTTTCCTTGCTTTCCCTACCTGCTACACCCTGCACAAATCAAGTGTGAGACCACCTGCACTGATTTTATAGTTGTGCATTACATTCCAGTGCTTCATTTTTTTATCCTATTATGAGAGTGTGAATTGCATAAATTAAAAGAGTTGCTTTGTGTACTCTGTGTACTTTTTTCTTGATACTTATATGAAGAAGCCATCTCAGTTTGTCCAGAGGCAAGTGCCATCCACACATGGACTTGTATTTTCAGGTGTCCCTGAATCACTGTTTGAAAGTTAATGAAATGGGCAATTAAAGAGAACCCCTGGCCTCTCGCCATAACTATATGTATTACTTATGCATTCCAGCAGGCTAATCTGCTTGCCAAATTCTCTCTCTCTCTCTCTCTCTCATTGTCTTTGACCTGTTTGTAGGGAAGATGCAGTCTTGCTGCACTTGGCATTTTCATATAAAACTCTTGGATGCACAGCTGAGCCACTGGGACTGTCACTTCTACTGCTGAGACACTGTGGGGTGCTCTTGCTCGGAGTTTAATCATGGTTTAAGTTTAAATGATTGCCAACTCAAAGAAATGAAACAGCCCACAAGCACAAATCTCAATGTTTATCAGAATAGAAATCTGTGCTTTGAAAGCACAATGCCCAAACAAAATTTCAACTATTTTAAATATTTTTTTGTACACATTCTTCAGCCTGTTGTCTCCAGAAATTCTCCAAATCAGCAAGTCTTGCCCATTCTGTTCTCTGTCCTGTTTGTGGCCCAGGCTGAGTTCTTGTGCAGCAGATAGCTATGACCTGAAGCAGAGAACTTTCCTTCTAGCAAATCCTTATGCTGGAGCATGATTTGTTGTGATTTTTTTCTTAACTTCTTGAGAACTTTGGCCATGTAGACCTCTACCAGTCTGAAAATGTGTTTAGCAGAGGCGCTGGAGGAAAAATGACCATAGTGGTGCAGGGAAGCGCTGTCTAATCTGAAGTGGCTAACGGCACAATCCTAACCATGACTATGCAGCAGTAAATCCTATTGAATTCAATGGGGCTTATTCCTAGGTCAGTGGGAGTCTGTAACTATGGAGTGGAAAAGTGACAGATGGATGTAAGCATAAGATGGTGGAAAAAAACCACCTTAAACCCTGCTTGTCGGTCTCTCTCCCACCCACCCCATAACAGACTTTTGACCTCCCCCCGCCCCAATTCTGAATGAGGAAATGCGATGGGGTTGACACAATGCAGGATGCATTGAGCATGAGTGCATTAGCAGAGAGTGGCAGCGCTTTCCATCTCTAGTAGGTGTTTTACATATGCATGATGCCTTCACTTTTGAAGCTGCAAACACACTTGGGCAAGTACTGTTAACCATATAAATATCTTTCTAAAGTCTCTGCTCTTGCCATTTCCATGGTCCACAGCTGGCAGGTTGGTGACAGTGGGGCCAGGTGGGATTGTACATAGGTCAAGGCTATTTGTAGTTCAGAGAACTGGCCCTGCTACTGTCAGAAGTAGAAATCTATCTTCCGGCACCCCTAGTCGCCCTGTGGGAGATGAATGAGGCCTGACAAAAGCTGTTGGTTAGAGTATGTAGTTCACCTTGCCAGGAGTTTCCTTAACAAGAACCAAAAGAACACATGGAGATAATCTCTAGGGAAGATGGTGGGTTTTGGTAGTAGTAAACATCCTGAAGTGTCATAGTCCCACTTCAGATCTCGTGATTTATGGAAATGTACAAATCATGAGCTGTGACACTCCATCCACAATTGGTAAGAATAGGAAGATATATTCTTGCTTGTGTGGTTGGGTTTAGAGAATGATCTGAATAGGAAACAGCCAACCCTCACTCAATAAATGGGACTCTTATGGGTGCAGCCTTGTTAAAGATACTGGCTCTTAGCTTCCAATTACATAGTCATAGCATTTATTAGAAATGTCCCATTTGTTATCAGAAATTTCTGAAGGCACTTGAAGTTAAATTCATATGGATTGGGTTGAGTAGCTGGAAGCACAACTTGCGGTCCATTCACTTTCCTGCAGGGTGCCATTATTCTTATGTATGCTTCTTTCGAATAGCCGAAAGCCGTCAAAGCCCGAAGTGTAGAAAGCTCTTCTTCTGCTTCACATCACACCAGCAGATACTTAGTATTTATACCACTGCAGCTCCTAAATGACTTTTTTGCCCAGTTTTGCCATTCTCATTCTCAGAGCTGCAACATAAATAAATAAAAAAGTCACAAATTCCATGCATTATCCAACTTCTAAATCTAACTTTTAAAGAGAATTGCACTTACCTCAAATGGTTAGGTCCAAGAGAGCATTGTTTTAGAAGAGTTAAAAATCAGAAGTTACTAAGGTGCAGAGAGACAACAGCATAGATGGCAGGTGAAGGAAGAATGGGCACTAAAATATCTTGCATGGCTGTCAAAGTGGTCATTGATCTGCCCTCTAACCTGCTGGACACTTGACAGTAAACAATATGCCTTTTAATTTCTCAGTTGAGAATTCTGTTCACTCTGAAAGCATTGCGCTCCCGCCACTGGTTTGGGAAGTGATGCATGCACAATGCTAGATTCATATGTATCTTGCCATTTCTTATGAAATACTGGATTTTAAGGCCAACTTCATTCCAGGTCAAGAAAAAGAGTGACCTTGCTGTGTTTTTTAAGCCAGGAAATGTTTCCATACGGCCTTTGTTCACTAATTACACGTTGGGCCTTGTAGGATCTACTTTAATTAAAAAATCAAAACTCCACAGTCTAGAACCAGAATCAGGTGCAAGGAGTTGGGTTTGAAAAAGTTTCAAGGCTAAAAACTTCATGGACTGTACTGCAGGAGGCGCCACCATTTCCATTCTGGCCTGTTGACACTTGTGCCTGTTTTCCTTCCTTGGTACGAAACTCTTATCTGACACACACACAGTTACAAAGGCTGCCCCTTTTGTTTAGATTTTTAAGCGCTCCCTTCCTCCAATGCGAAAGGCATCCACGAATGCTTCCCTGGACTACTGGGCCTTCCCCTGACATGGCACGGTGGCACTGACTTCAGGGATTTTTGTAAGATGGGTTTTGACAAGGAACAAGTAAATAAAATAGATCTGAGAATGCCTCTATTCCCTTCTCACAAGCAGCTCTTTGTTTGTTTGCTACCTTGCCCTACAGCTGGTCTTCCTGGCTTTGTTTTCTTTGGGGGGCAAGCAGGATAATTAGGAGACTGTTTGGGAAAATTACTCATTTCCTAGCATTCTCTGCTTACTCCGTATGTGGCGAGGCACAGTAACAATGCATGGGAAGAGGACCAAAGCAGCAAGAAGAACTACTTGGCTTCAGCAGTCGGGACAAGTTCTGCAGTCAGGGAACAGTGTGCTCCAGGCTAGCTTAGATTAATATGAATTCCATTATTCTACTATGGAACTCATATTTGGAGGGGTACTATTGGCAGGTGGTGAGCGCCTGAGCTGAATGTGCTGCAATGCGTTCCAAAATTTTAACACAAAGAGATAGATCACGAAAAGCTGGCTCCGTAAATGCCATTTAAGCTGGAAGACATAAAACAGGCAGGACTCATGATCCCATAACACAACACAATGTCATGTATGGTGGCTCATCTGTGGCTTGATTAATGTTCTGTTTTTGTCAACTGCCTTGAAAACAAAGATGGAGCGAAGAGGGGGAAGTTTGTAAAACAGACCGGCAGGCTTCAATACATGTGCAGGCCTGCCTAAGTTCAAAGCCCATTGAAATAAATCTGTTGGGTGCTAAATCCATTTATATTGAAGTGGCGCTGTGGGTTAAACCACAGAGCCTAGGACTTGCCGATCAGAAGGTCGGCGGTTCGAATTCCCGCAACGGGGTGAGCTCCCGTTGTTCACTCCCTGCTCCTGCCAACCTAGCAGTTCGAAAGCACCTCAAAGTGCAAGTAGATAAATAGGTACCGCTCTGGCGGGAAGGTAAACGGCGTTTCCGTGTGCTGCTCTGGTTCGCCAGAAGCGGCTTAGTCATGCTGGCCACATGACCCGGAAGCTGTCTGTGGACAAACGCCAGCTCCCTCGGCCTATAGAGCGAGATGAGCGCGCAACCCCAGAGTCGGTCACGACTGGACCTGATGGTCAGGGGTCCCTTTACCTTTACCTTTATACTTTTATTATTTTTGTTAGTGGGATCTCCTTTGTGCAACTGCATGCATATTCACAGGATTAGTCCTAAATTAAGTCAACAGATGTAAACTGTTATAAATCCAAATAATTCAGCTTTACTTCTTTGGGGGATCAGGTCTATATGATGCAGTTCACACTGGGTGAACCCAGTCCTTTATTCCCCCAACAGAACTATTACCAGAAGTTTGAAGTACTTGGATTTGAGGCTGTTGTGTTCTAAGAAGCATACAGAATACAAAAAGTTTCTAGCAAGGAGGAGAGTGAAAGCAGAATGAAAGTAATCATGCAAACAGGTTAGAAAATGTAACACCTTTTTATTTTAAAGACAGACAGACAGACAGAGGTTAGATAAAAGAATTGGATTTTAGTCATACTTACTATTTTTTAAAAACAAACAAACAAGCCAACCAACCAACCAACCCACATACATCCAAATCAAGCAGGCTAAGAAAAGATATCAAAACTTGCATAAATACATTTCAAGTGAAGTGGCCAATGTTAAATCAAGGTTAAAGTAAAGCAAACCTGTTCAACCAGCCTTTCTGTGTTAAGGTGCAGGGTACATTATATAGTACAAAGTCGGGAGAACAGAGAGAGGCATGACTGAGCTCCAGAAATGGAGACGCAGAATAGGAAGAAAGGCTATTATTTACTACTGAAATGCAACCATTTTTCTCACACGCCATAGGAACAAGGAGATAACATTTTAATCAGTGTTTCCAAGTTGCACTTGACGTACAAAGATCTGTATCTGATTTATACCAGCCCTATCTGCAGCTTAAAAAAATTTTTTTGGCTGCATTGTGCACTTAGGTCCTTCAGTGTAGCATGGTTAACATTGTTAACACTTGAATGAAAGTGTTAGAACATCGGAGAAATGGGTTAGATAGTCTGTATTAGTCAGCTCTGAGGTGTAGAGATGCCAAGAGGAAGCAAGGAAGGAACGAAGGGAGAAAGAGAAGTAGTCAGTCTGTCACATGAGAGTGCAACAGTGTCGTGACTTGCCCCTTTTTTTACCTGTTAAGGAGGGATCCTCTGTTCCATCACCTGATAACCGGCTATCGATCTGACCATTGTAGGTAGCACAGCTTAGACTTTCTTCTTGCTCCTTGAGCGATATGGAATTTTTATAAGGCGACACATTTACACCGTCACTGGTGGTTTTGCTGGGGTTTGTCTGTGGAATTGCACTTGTTTGGTTGGAGGTCTGGTAGACCTGGCTAGAAGGACCAACTGGATGATACAAAGGCTTTCCAGCTCGACTCTCCTCCTTGCTGTCCTCTTCTTCACCGTCATCGTCAATGACGACGAGTTCTGCATGGATAAGTCCATCATACCCACAGACAGTTTTATTCAGTTCTTCATCGTCCACATGCTGGTAACCCATGAAAATCATTGTAACGGGTTCGGTATCATCCACGTAACACGGCACAGCTTGGACCACACTATAACTAGAACCTTCATCACTTTCCAGAGTTCCTGAAGGAGGCCTTTCATGGGTACTTACAGAGTTTCTGAATTTTATACCTTGTTGGTTCTCTCCCATCTTCTGATAGGGTTCAACAGCCTCTTGTAGAATTTCTCTTTGAACGTTAGTTGCCATCTTGTTTTGGGGGCTAATCTGTGGTGGGCTTCGTGTTCGTTGAAGGACCGGAGAGTGAGAATTGTGCCGATAGCTCTTGGAAGAATCTAGGCCATTTTCTTTAAATGGTTGCTCTTTTTTATAGGCAGGTTCCTTATAAAAACAGTCCAGGCTGTTTGTCTTGTTTTGAAGAGCTCCTTTTTGGCTATTTGGTCCCTGGACTAACTTATCATTGTGGGGAGTTGTGGGCCTGCAAAACTGGTTTGCATATACTGGTTCATGATATTCAGTGGGAGACTTGGATTGTTTCTGCGTTGCCTGCCTCAAGAGGTCCTCCACTTCAACAGGCGCAAGGTCATCTACTTCCTTGTTTGTGACACTTCCATTGGAACACACTGCATAGACCGACTTTCTGCCGTCATCGTACACTTTCACTCCTGCGCCCTTAAATTCCTCTGACGGTAGTGGTATTGTCGACAAAACTGTGCTTTCTCCAGTCTTCAGGTCTTTTTCAACTTTAATTTCCATAGCAAACAATGCTGCATTGGAAGAAATAAGAGTCCTTTATAAAGCAAAGTAACACAAGTGCTAAAGATATATACAAATGCCAATAATACGATAAATTAGGGCTCTTTGCAGACGACCTAATGGTCGAACACCGGACCCCATAAACACAGCAACCTCCCTAATCAGAGAACTCAACACATTTGCAATGGTGTCGGGCCTACAGGTAAACTTTGCAAAGTCTGAGGCTGTGTGCCCCATACCCCAAAAGAATTTGCCAACATCACCAAGATAAAACTTTGCCGCACCAAGTTGAGATACTAGCGGTACAAATAAGCAGAAACCTCAATAAATTATACCTCCACAACTACAACCCCTTGTGGCAACAAATCAACAAAGACCTGAAGAGATGAAACAACACCAACTTCACTCTCTCAGACAAATGTTAATGTTAACAACAACAACAACAACAACAACAATAATAATAATAATACAGTGGTACCTCAGGTTAAGTACTTAATTCATTCCGGAGGTCCGTTCTTAACCTGAAACTGTTCTTAACCTGAAGCACCACTTTAGCTAATGGGGCCTCCTGCTGCTGCTGCGCCGCCGGAGCACGATTTCTGTCTCATCCTGAAGCAAAGTTCTTAACCCGAGGTACTATTTCTGGGTTAGCGGAGTCTGTAACCTGAAGCGTATGTAACCTGAAGCATATGTAACCCAAGATACCACTGTAAAAATAATATTATGCTAGGTCACAAGAACTTGCACATGACAGCAGCAGGCGGTTATTTTAGAACATGGGGCACCAGCAATTTCCTGTGGAATGCGTTGAATAATTTCAAGCAATGCAAGCAGGGTGTGATATATTCTTCTCCAGCTGCTACTTTTCTTACTTGTATTGCTCTCCCTGCAACTGGTTTTCTCCTGATGGAGCTCAAAGACTGGAGGCAAGCCCTGCTGCTCTTAAAAGCACCTGGGAAGTGTATTTTGGAGTAGGGAAAGTGCAGGCAGGAAGATTCAGCACGTCTTTTCTATCCCTTATATTGTTTCTTGTCTGGTTTCAATCACCCTGAGCCTACCCTATGTAAGTCCAGCACAACCCATGCTCCAGGAAATGGCTTTTGCCACTGTCACATGCAGTTAGCCTCTGTGATAACTGGGGTCACAGATGGTTGGAGGAAGACATCAGATATCTTAGGATCCACTGGCAGAATACACTGCTACTTGGGAGGAGATTTTGAGCCCAACAGAGTAAGGATTGGAGGTCCTCAGGAGGAGTTCATGAGAAATACCGAGAGCTTTCCCTCTCCCTTTTCCAGCCCTCTCCCTATCTTTTCCTTGCTGGTTTGAGCTATATGCCGCCTGTCCTTTAAAGACTAGAGAGGCAGCTCTTGGTCTTACTGTTCGGCTACCTGCAATGGTTTAAAGCAAGGATGGGGGTGTGGAATGGAGGTCCAAACAAACAGCTGCTGTAATACTGTGGGAGAAAAGCAATGACAAACCTAGACAGCATCTTAAAAAGTAGAGACATCACCTAGCCAACAAAGGTCCGTATAGTAAAAGCTATGGCTTTCCCAGTAGTGATGTATGGAAGTGAAAGCTGGACCATAAAGAAGGCTGATCGTCAAAGAATTGATGCTTTTGAATTATGGTGCTGGAGGAGACTCTTGAGAGTCCCATGGACTGCAAGAAGATCAAACCTATCCATTCTTAAGGAAATCAGCCCTGAGTGCTCACTGGAAGGACAGATCCTGAAGCTGAGGCTCCAATACTTTGGCCACCTCATGAGAAGGGAAGACTCCTGGAAAAGACCCTGATTTTGGGAAAGATGGAGGGCACAAGGAGAAGGGGACGACAGAGGACGAGATGGTTGGATAGTGTTCTCGAAGCTACCAGCATGAGTTTGACCAAACTGCGGGAGGCAGTCGAAGACAGGAGTGCCTGGTGTGCTCTGGTCCATGGGGTCACGAAGAGTCGGACACGACTAAATGACTAAACAACAACCATTTCCCTCTCTGCGAAAAGCCAGAACAGATTGGTGGGTTATCTGTGTTCTGGTGGCAATAGGGCTGAGCTTGTAAATCAATGTTACAAATAAATTCAAGACAGGAAGTCGTTCTACTAGCCTATCTGAGCACACGTACACCTCTAAGGCATTGCCTGAAAAACAGAAAGCACCAATTCCTCAGGAAGGACCAAAGCTCAGGGGTAGAGGCTGTGCTTTGTATCCACTAGATCCCTGGCATCTCCAGGTTAGGGCAGGAAAAGACCAAAATGCTATTGGCAGTAGTGAAGATAATGCTGAACTAGATGGATCAATCGTCTGACTTGGTTTAAGGCAGCTGGGATACTTTGGCCTCTGGCGTGATTCAGCAAGACTTATTTTTTTAAGCAGTGCTGCTGAAGAGCAAGAGCCTGCCCCACCCGTGGCAATGGATAAGCAGAGCTGAGACAACAATTTCCATTCCTGCTACTGGGATAACGTGCAAGTTTGATATAGCACAATAAAGTTAAGGTAGACAATGACACTCATTGGACCTCATGTTCTTCTGCCAACTTGCAAGGTTTGAGGAAACAAAAGGGGCAATTAAGGGAACATCTTCCAGCTTGTCATTTTGGCTCTTGCTAAAGATCAGCCATGGGGTTGAGCTTGAATTTCTGTGTCGGTATCTGGAAGGCACTGGTTTGCGTTCAGTCTTTGCCAATGCTCTAGGGCAAGCTCTGGGCGTTTCAAAATGTTTGCTAATTAAAAACCTGCCCATCCTCTCCTTTCAGCATTTGAGATATTCGGGAACATGGAACAGATATAGCTAGCAGTATTCTGGAAACAAGGTGTCTTTGACAAGGAAGAATAGTGTGCTCACCATCACACTCTTTTCTTGGCAAACGAAGCACACGCAGAACTCATGCAAAACAAAATAGAACAAACAAAACAACATTGTGTGTAGCCAGTGCCACACATCCTCAAATATATGCAGTGGTACATTGGGTTAAGTACTTAATTCGTTCCGGAGGTCTGTTCTTAACCTGAAACTGTTCTTAACCTGAAGCATCACTTTAGCTAATGGGGCCTCCTGCTGCTGCCGTGCCACCGCTGCATGATTTTTGTTCTCATCCTGAAGTAAAGTTCTTAACCGGAGGTACTATTTCTGGGTTAGCGGAGTCTGTAACCTGAAGCGTAAGTAACCTGAAGCGTATGTAACCCAAGGTACCACTGTATATCTCTTATGAGAAAAGTCTGTTTAGAAGTTTAGTCAAATGCATCAAACCCTGGAGAGCACTACAGGTCGAAGTAGACAATACTGAGCTACATGGACTAGAAAAAAAAGATTTGTGTCTCTCTCTGTGTTCTATCATCTATCTATCATCCGTCTATCTATCTATCTATCTATCTATCTATCTATCTATCTATCTATCTATCTATCTATCATCTATCTATCTATCTATCTATCTATCTATCTATCTATCTATCTATCTATCTATCTATCTATCTATCTATCTATCTATCATCTATCATCTATCTCTATCTATCTATCTATCTATCTATCTATCTATCTATCTATCTATCTATCTATCTATCTCTATCTATCTATCATCTATCTAATCTATGCATATTTATTTCAAATACACATTTCATTTCCTTTTAGATGTACCCCATTTTAGATGTACCCCATTATAAATCTACACCCTTTCTTTAACTGCATTGCTGAATTTTACCTTTTCGCTTTTCTTCATCATCCTCTGCTTCTAGATGCCCTGTCCTTTTAAGTGCAGAAGGCCTGAAAGATTTTGGAAGGTCAGGTATGTTGGCATAAATGTAGTCAGGTGGCTCTGTGAAAAGAGAGAATGGTTAATACATAACCACTTTTACCTCTAATGTTAGGCACAAATAATGTAAAATTCTAGGCTTCTGAGTGAACATACCTTCTTTAGTCTCTACTTTTTCCACCTTCACAGACTAAGAAAAAAGAAGAAGCAAGTATTGTAAATAACCACCAGTAGGGTTGAAAGTGTCACAGCTTGTCAACCACACAGCTACAGAATATGTAGCGGCAGTGGAATATATATGTGTGTATATGTATATTTCTGTAAATCGCTACACCATAGCCTCCATATATATACAACATTTCCTCAGGAACTGCCTCTCTCCATATGAACCTTTCTGGACCCTGAGATCATATTCTGAAGCCCTTCTTCGTGTGCCTCCTCCACTAAAAGTCCAGAGCGTGGCAACACAAGACTTGGTCTTTTCTGCAGTGGCCCCCCGACTGTGGAAGTCTCTTCCCTGGGAGACTTGCCTGGCCCCTTTGTTACATATATTTAGGTCCCAGGCAAAAACGTTCCTCTTTAACCAGGCCTTTGGCTAACTGACAACTGATGCCCTTTTATAATGTGTTGGGGAGGGGGGATAATTGGGTTGTTTTTGTCTTTATTTTTATTATGTATTTTTGTGATTTTATCTTGTGAATGGCCCTGAAACCTGTGGGTATAGGACTGTATACAAATTTAATAAACATCAAAAAGAAAAATAATTTTGCTGGGTTATTAGTTAAGGTATTTTACCTTCCTATGAGGCATATGCAATTGGTCAATATATTTGTCATTCCTGGGTGTGATGGCAACTGTTCTTGCAAGATAACATTTCGTCTATGACTTTCTCTGCCTTGCCACATCTTCAATTAGACCACTCTGGGGCAATGGATGGCAGAAGCTTCTCTCTACAAAAGCGATTGCATAATACCCCTTTGGGCCTATTTGACTTTCAGGACACGTTGGCAAGCTTGCGTGTTTGTTCAGTCTTTGACTGAAGGGTGAATAAACATAGAGAGCATTTTTCCTCTCTGAGGTTAGGCTCCCCCCTCCCTCCATATGTTCTTGATACTCTGCCAACGTAGATATACAGTCAACAGTTAACCCTGAGCTATTTTTAATGCTAAAATAATGCTGTAGTTCAGAGCACAAAGTGCAAATATTCCAATACTAGGATTAGGGTATAAATGTGATGCAACATTTCCTGTGGCAATCTCGACATAACATATCTCGATAAATCTGCATGTTTTGGAGGGGCTTGACCACTGTGAGTTTTAGTCGCTCCTACTGTATTTCCCCCTGCTGAACTTCACACTGGAGCTCTGTGACATTTCCTTGCCTTCATCCCTGCCTCCCCCTCAATTGATTATTTTTGCAAAGCGACAGAGATTACATCAGTAGCAAGGCTTTAAAATTAGACACTGACCTTTATAATATCTTCTGTGGTTCTTTCTACCGATTTAAGCTTCTTCAGTATGGCCTTTTCTTTAGCTGAGATGGCCAGTTCTTCTTTCTCAAGGTCCTCAATTTCTTTTTCAAGTCTGCATTATGTAGAATATTTGGAGAAGCAAGGGTTAATGGTGCCAACTGGTGCCAAGATAAAACATACTATGTACCACCTAATCTCCAGCAGTGCAACAGTGGTTTTATTTCCCCTATTTCTGATGTTTAGGCACAAGAGGGAGGTCTCTGCAGGTCTGAAGGAATCCAAGTTTGGTAAAGCTACGAAAAATCTCTGAAAATATCCCCACGAGGACTGAGCATGCTCAGTGACCATGGAATACTGCAGAAAACTATGTGGGAGGAGGAATGAAATGAAGTATCCTGGAGAATGGCACTGAATAAGGAACATGACAGTCTGCCACATTTTGTTGTGGGTCGCATCAGCTTGGTGAGATTAGTGACCCTCTAAGTGATGGACGCGGGTGGCGCTGTGGGTTAAACCACAGAGCCTAGGACTTGCCGATCAGAAGGTTGGCGGTTCGAATCCCCGCGATGGGGTGAGCTCCCATTGCTTGGTCCCTGCTCCTGCCAACCTAGCAGTTCGAAAGCACGTCAAAATGCAAGTAGATAAATAGGTACCGCTTCAGCGGGAAGGTAAACGGCATTTCCGTGCGCTGCTCTGGTTTGCCAGAAGCAGCTTCGTCATGCTGGCCACATGACCCGGAAGCTGTACGCCGGCTCCCTCGGCCAATAAAGCGAGATGAGCGCCACAACCCCAGAGTCGGCCACGACTGGACCTAATGGTCAGGGGTCTCTTTACCCTAAGTGATGGATGTCAGAAAATTCTGAGGAAAATAGAAAAGGAAGCAGAAATTTCTGCAATTCGCATGGTTAGTCTGTGGAAACCAGGAACGGAAACCAGTCAAACGAATATGCTCAGCATTCAAGCATGTTGTTCTTTAATTCCGTAAACAATATACAATAAGTAGCTTTTTGAACATTGTTTTGTTGCTTCTCTTACATTGAAATGAATGAAAGTTACATTAGTTACCTAAATAGTTACATAACATATGTAAAATAGCGGGACAGTGAGACAGATAACATAGTATTTGACAGAAACCAAACTGCAGTGGGATGGAAACAGTGCTGTTTGTTATGAACACAGTTTAGAATGGAATTTGCTGCCTTCTTTCATCCCTACTCAAAATGGGAGCTGGGATAATGAAGAGACAGGGCTGTCCTCCATTGCCAGCTATTCAAAGGGAACATCATCAAATGCAATTGCCTCACACTCTATTCCACAGTTTTCCAAGCTTTTCATGTTGGTGACTCACTTTGCAGACATGCATCATTTCACAACATGGTAATTCAGTTTTACTAGCAGACCGGAGGTTAAACTAACTCCTTTCTAGCCCCGGGAGGAGAGCAGGGAGCATTCGCGCGACACACTTACACATTGCAGCCGACACACTAATGTGTCGCAAAACACAGTTTGGAAAGCTGTGCTCTTATCTGCCCTGTGTAACACTGAATGGAGCAGTGTGGTGAGGGAGAGGGTTTTTCCATTTTGTATTTTGTACAGCATCTTTTTGTTGGGTTGGTACTTCATAAAAGTTGAATGTCAAGAACAATGTATTATTTCCAGGAGTTGCAGTTCACATTCTCTTGGAAATGGACAGAAATACTTTCACTCAGCTTGGGCATGAATACTTGTTTTTAGCAGCCAAATCAATCTGAAAATGGATGATTTGATAACACTGCTTAAGAAAAAAAAAAGATGCACAGAATCGTCGGTGAGAAATAGTACTGAAGAGTTAGCAGTTACTGAGTCACTGTAAATGTGCCAACAGAGTAGAACATGGCCTGATGCAATCAATACTGATTAAAGCGGTATTTGCTTGTCCCTGTCCCCCCCCCCCCATGTAGCGTCTAATTTGCTACATGATTATCTGTATCCAGGAGTTAACGGAATCTCTTTTGTCAGATAACCTTTCTGGTTTTGTACGGATGACATTTGGTTGGGAATCAGCTAGCATCTATTCCAACAAAAGCCAGGGTACTTCTTCTTTATTTATTTTTTTTTGGGGGGGTATATGCATCAAAACAGACTTTCTGGGAGTGACAACAATTTGGAGGAGTCCTGCGTGTGAAAGGTCAAAATAAAAATAATTAAAAAGGAAAGAGCTGGCAAACAAAGCAAATTATGTTTTAAAAGTCAATAATCTTTCATCCAGGCTGGGGTGAGGAGGGGAAACAGCACTACACGAAGGGAGGTGGGTGGTGCCCCTCCCCATTGCCATGTAGAGGCCTCATCCAGGTAAAAATCTGTACATGTAGGAAAGGCAACACATGCTCACAACAGGTACACATCTTCTCTTGTTCGTATCATCTACCGGCCGCAAATTCCTGCCACGTATATATGTACATGCACAGGACTGAAAATGCATTGTGTAATGTGTGGGGCAACTCCAAATCGCACCAGCGTCGGCCAATGTTGTTTTTAGCTCTGCCTGTTGTTATGTACTGAGCCTTGGATAGGATTTGAGGTTTCTAAGGTGTTTGGCTTCTAAAGAATTCTTTCCTAAAGAATTTGCCGAGAAAGTTCTAATAAGACCACAGAGGATCCAAACAGGCGCTGTTGTGTGCTCCTTGGTAACAACATTACAGGGGTTTCTTTTGATGCTAATTCCACGCTCCAAGTCCTTCCTACTCACAGCATGTGGGAAACCAGTTTCCATGGTTGCTGAGAGACCTGCGTTGATTGCAAGGTGATTAGGGCACCTCAGGCAGAGAGGCAAATTTCAGGCATGTAGACCAGGTAGTGCACTCAGGGGCATAGGATGCTGAGATAAGATGGCGCCCGGCACACTTCCCCTGTGCCGATGGGCGCTTGTGCCGATAGGAAAAACTTGACCTCTTAGCAGAGTCCTTAGCAGAGTTCTGCAGCGGTAGAAAGTGTTGCCTTGTGTGTGGATAATAAATCAGACTGAACGCAGGCTTCTTGCTAATCTCTAACAGCCTTTAATGAGAAGAAAAACATCATAAATCAGCCCGGCGAGAGAGCGGACATTCTTTCGTCTCTCAGCCAAAAACGAAAGGAAACTCACACACAAAGGAAGATTCCCGTATGTGAATCTTGTATTGGAAGACACAAGATCTACCCACTCTGGAAGAATGGCAGATGAAGGTGATTGACTACATGGAATTGGCAGAAATGACTGGCAGAATCTGAGACCAGGGAGAAGAGTCGGTGAAAGAAGACTGGAAGAAATTTAAAGACTATTTACAGAAATATTGTAAAATTAAGGAATCTTAGAAGGATGTTGGATAGAAACTAAGTGGTTTCCAGCTGTAATGCTTTAAGAGATACGAAAAAAGGTTTACAATTGGGTAAAAGCTTAATGGCAAGGATTTGCTGAACTAACAAACTGAACTGGAATACAAAAAAGGGAGGTATGAGGAGGTCCGGGGAAATAAGTGTAAGAAAGATAGGTTATGGAAAATTAACGTGTTTTTTAACTGTTTTTATTTTGTATGGTTTTTTTTAATATTTCATTTTTTTTGTTATATCTTAAAAACTTTATTCTTTTTTCTGTATTTTGTATTTTCTTGTATTTGCACTTTTTGTTTTTGTGTAATTTTTGTATTCCTTGAAACTTTAATAAATATCATCTTAAAAAAAAAAAAAAAGATTCCCGTATGTGAACCAAACCACGCCTCAGAATGTGAGACGTCACACAGAACTGTTTAACCCTGCAAGTTCTGATTCTCCTCACATAGGAAGGGGGGTGTGGGGGTGCAGTGCGGACCACCCCAGGTGTTATCCTTGAGGGGGGGTGACAATATGGCACAATGTGGGGGGCGGCACTTACAGCAGGGCCTGGCCTGCAGCGCCCCCAAGCCATGCATCTCTCCTGGGAGTGACGTGGTGGCTCAGGGCCCTTCGCTGACAGAAATGGCAGCATGGGGCTTGCATCAACCAGGTGGACTCTGTGGGCAGATTGCTGCTGCGCCCCTGTTCGGCGCCCCCATGTGCGGATTGCTGCAGCTCCCCCGCGGGCAGTTCGCCCTGCCCCCGCTGCTCCCGGTGCCAGAACAGCTAGCTACACCCCTGAGTGCACTTTAAAGTTGACTGAATGGAATATGGAAAATAACTACAGTGGATGCTTGATCCGTGTGGGATGCACATTCGCAACCCACAGTGGCACATCTGCGCACATGTGGGTTGCGATTCAGTGCTTCTGCGCATGCGCAAAGTGCAATGTAGAGCTTCTGCGCATGCGCGACTGCCAAAACCCGGAAGTAACCCCTTCCGGTACTTCTGGGTTTCGGCGGTCTGTAACCCAAAAAAGCGCAACGGGAAGCATCTGTAACCCGAGGTATGACTGTACTTCTGCTGAATTCGAAACCAACCACGTTCTGTAGAAGAAAGATTTTTTAAAAAAGAACCATTTCAAATTCTTTACTTCAAGATTTGAGCTCTACTCTACCAATATGAATGTCAACACTTTGCGATACCAGCGTTCATACTGAAGTAGGGGTGTTGCAACATAGGGAATGCAAATATGTCGAAACAGTTTTGGCAACTCTGATTCCTTGTTTCATTATTGTTAGTTGAACATCAGAATTTTAAAAACTCTGTCCTATTCAAAATGTCACAGGAACATGGCAAGCTGCCTTATATCGAGTCAGAAATTGGCCTATGCAACTCTCCATTCTCTATAATGATTAGGCGTGGTTCTACGGGATTTTAAGCAGTTGTTCTCAGTCCTACCTGAAGATACCAGGGACTGAAGTGTCATTTTAAATGTTAAAATGCTCGGTTGCTGCCAATTTTAAGTAATGATTTTTAAAAACATGGTGAAATTTCACCCACTTGCATCATATCCAGAACATGATATTTTAAAACAAGGTGTTTTCGGGGGAAAATTTTGGCTGTATTATTGAAACAGCAGAAGGCAAATAGCTGGCCCCAGAGACAATAATCCTCATTAAGAATAGAAAAGTGATCTGATCACATAGCTTTTAATAACCGAGCAATAAAAAGAAGAATTTGTGCTGTACCTGAGGATATTTTGTTCCAGCTCATTCATCCGTTGTTGATCCTCTCGATTCTGGTTTTGCATTTCTTCTTGTTCTTTTGGAGTCAGAGTATTTAATCCATCCCAGAGCCATTTCTCACGCAGAGCTTTTTTCTACAGATATTAACATATTTTAAAAGAATCTCATTACCAGTTTCCTTCGACTGCCACACATCTGGCACAAATTCCCATATCAAGCATGCATTGGCTCAACCTTGATGAACAACCAAATTGTTTTACCACAGGCCAGATATGCATCTGCAAGGCTGAAGAAGCTGTGGTCACTCAGTGGTGACATTCAGAAGTTTCATGTCTCGGCTTAAAAAAGCCTTTTGGCTATGCATACAACCCCTCTGAGCAAGCGAAAAAGCCAGGAAGCCTTCCATTAACGAATAGGTTCCTGTTTCATTCATTTCCACTGGGAAACTGTGGTCAACAGTATGGAACAAATCAGGATATTAACCCATGGTTTGAAGGCTCAGTATCCTGTTCTGATACCATAGTTTCCTGGTTTGGATGAAATGGGAAACTATGGTTAGAGACTTCCTGGTTTGATTGCCACCTCAAGTGAAGGAAGGTTTGAAAGGGCTATGTACATGGCCCAAAGGCTCATATCTTGGCTTCATGAGCAGATCATCTGAATGATTATATTTAATATTCTTGCTCCATGACAAACAATCTGATTTCTGCCATCCTCCTCTTTCCTCCTCCCCTTTCCAGTGTGAGGCTACTTGTACAGAAATAGTCTTAACCGTGGGCTGCTTTTGTAGGAATTTCCTTGGGTGGCCCTCAAACCAGGAATCTAGGGGAACTTGTAAAAAGGGGGTTCAAAAAGAAAGGATGTCTCTCTTATGGAGTGGCTTCTTAGGTGCTGCAAGTATATTATGCCAAACAGAGGCTACTAACACAGTATGATGGGATAAGATTCTCAGAATGGCCTCAATGATGGCATGCTACATTTGTCTAGCGTAGTTCACATTCCACCATATTATTGGCACCGAGGCATTAGATAGCACAGACCTCTGCCATCAGGCTCCAGGCATGCCTGGAAGCAAATACTTCCCACAATACTTCCTCAGGAGCCAACCGTTTCATAATGTGAAGTAAATGTTGCTTGAAGTTTCACATGTGCCTACAGTGCTTTAAGAGGTAAAGATCTAAAAGGTTCCCTTTTAAGGCTCTAGACAGATTCTTCTGCCCCAACACCAATTTCTTAAGAGAGTCAAGTACATTTCTTTTATGAGCTGGAACTCAATGAGAACATTTTACTCATTAGTTAGGATAAAGGACATAACAAATGAAGAGGACCTGTAAAATATACTGCAAGACCCTCCTGTATGTCATTAAAATGGAGATAGCATCCCTAAGGCCTGTTTCCCCCCATCTCCTTCCAGGGATATGTCACCTGGACTTGGCCTGCCATTATAATCACAGATAATTACTTCTTTTTTTGGTTTTTGTTTTCCCTTGCAGTATTGTTCTCTTTTACTAGTGATGCCAACCTGTTTGTGCCAGAGTTTCAGTCCAGTTCTCATTTATTTTTAGCAAGCACATATAGGGTTTGCTGGGCAACCAAAGGACATGGTCTCTGAGCTGCCCTGAAGGAGTTAAGGAATGCATTCCGTAGTTGCATAGCAACTGCAATTCCAGCTCTCTCCACTCTCAAACTGGGGAAAGGTAGCCATGAAAGCTGAGGTCTTAATGTAGCATTTAGCTGCCTAACAGAGCCATGGCAGTCAACCAACAACTGGTCTGATAATAATGTTCACCGTTGCCTTCTCATATCCCTGAAATTTATTGGTAAAGAGCTTTGATTGATTGATTGTTCAATTATAAATATTTTTGCGATTCCAAAGTGAGTAACAACATTAAAAAGAAACTGCAGTATAACACAACTAAAACAACATACAATAAAACACAATATGAAGCAGCATCTGACAGCAATTATCAAAGCCCATTCCCTTCAAAATATTGCAGCGAATGTCAAAGCCTTCCTCGACATCATAACAGCACAGTCCCATTAGTTCCCACTAGAAGTCTGAGAGAATAAAAAAACATATTTCATGGAAATATGGCCAAAGATGATGCCACTTCCATTTCAACTACCCTCATTTACACATTTACACACTGGGTAACCCTCCTTTACAAAACGATATACAGTCGTACCTTGGTTGAACGAACGCCTTGTGACTTCAATGTTTTTTAATAATAATAATAATAATAATAATAATAATAATAATAATAATAATAATTTTTTATTTATACCCCGCCCATCTGGCTGAGTTTCCCCAGCCACTCTGGGCGGCTCCCAATCAAATGTTAAAAACAGTACAGCATTAAATATTAAAAACTTCCCTGAATGGTGTCTGGCTCCTGAACACCGCAAACCTGGAAGTGAGTGTTCGGGTTTGCGAATGTTCTTTGGAACCTGAACGTCCAATGCAGGGACTTCCTGCAGCCAATCAAAAACTGCACCTTGGCTTCCAAACGTTTTGGAAGTCAAACGGACTTCTGGAACGGATTCTGTTCAACTTCTGAGGCAGCACTGTATATGCGAAAAGACTCCAAGAGCAAAAGGCAAGCAATGCCCTCTCCGTTGTTCTTCTCCTCCCATCTTTTTGTCCCTTTCACAGAGGTCATGTTGGGACTGTGAGCACTAGCAATTGATTATGAACTCCTCCTCTCCTCTTGCTCAGCAACTGACTGTTCCCGATAGCTGACCATATTCTATACCCACTCCAGGGTTTTTCTAGTTCCAGCGACGACACTCCCCTGTGGCTGCAAAGCATCCAAGGAACGTAATTTGCCATTAAAGGAGGCTTAGTTGTATCTGACCAAACTGCGGGAGGCAGTGGAATACAGGAGTGCCTGGCGTGCTCTGGTCCATGGGGTCACGAAGAGTCAGACACGACTAAACGACTAAACAACAACAAGTTGTATCTCACACCCATTAAATGAGTGCTGCAGTCATTAAGCGTGTTATGTGAATTATTCCACAAAAGCAAGCATGTTTTCATGTGCTTGGAGACTTCACATGCGAACCTAGCCATGAGATGTGCACTAATGTTGGTGGGAGATTCCTTGTTTCCAGCTTTGCAATCTGTAGGCAAGTAGTTGTGCCCTTTCTTTAGTATGGAGAGCAGCGTGCTCACGAAAACCCTTGCTCCTACAGCGATTCATCACTTTCTAATTACGCCTCTCTCAAGCTTATTTAATTATATTTTCTCAAAATACTGTAATGGAATCTAAATCCCTGTATAATAATTTGTGCAATCATACTTATTAGCAATAACACTATTAAAATTCTCTGTTGGATGGGGGTAAAACAGGAAAGCATGGGAGTGACAGCAATGAGAACCTCATTTAAGAGCGAGAATATGTTAAAATTATGTAATTCTGTCTACTACATAACACAGTCTGGGTCATTAACAGTGGAAGTGATGCAGTAAAAATTGATGAAGCAAGCTTATATGATGGGTATGTTAATTAAACAAGAAGCTGTCCAAAAGAAGTAGTGTACCAGTTTGATGGGACATGCTTCCTGGTTTTTAGAGCTCCAGGGCTCCATGCACCCCTTCTCACTGGTTAAAGACAATGCAGATTCTCAATGGCTTAAGAAAAAGATTTGTCATTGCTCATTTGCACGTGCAACTTAAGGGCTCCCAAACAATCATTCTGCAGCTGGTGTGCCACAGCTATATTAAACCATATCCTGGACCTCTGAGTAGAGGAAGAACAGCTGATCCTTTTGTCTTTGGCAGGACACAACTTCTCTGCTATAAGCACCCATGAATAAGGGGAGGGTAGTGGCTGCTGGATGGTTGTCATAACTGAAAACACAAAGAAGTCCTTTTCAGGTGTTATGCTATCATTCTTCTACTCTAGGGAAGGGCAACTTCTGGCCCTCAACAGGTCCACCAAGCATTGTCAAAAGTCAGGGGTAATGGGAAGTGTAGTTAAGCAATGTCTGGAGGACACATGTTACCCACTCCTATCCCTTCTAATCTGTACACTGAAATTTGCTGTGCGGTGGACATGTGTGGATAGGGAGCAGCAGGTTCCATCTTTTTAATCCACCCATGTTTACTGAATGCCTGGATAGGTTCCTTGCATGTCCAGCTGAATGAGCAGAACGCTGTGTCTTCACAGTTGAGATCCCTGCACAGTCAAGGGTTCTAGATTGTCTGCAGAGATGCTTCTGGGCATACAGTTCTACGCGGGACCCTTGCTCAGGCATTCAATGTACAGTGGTACCTCGGGTTACATACGCTTCAGGTTACATACGCTTCAGGTTACAGACTCCACTAACTCAGAAATAGTACTCGGGTTAAGAACTTTGCTTCAGGATGAGAACAGAAATCGTGTGGTGGCAGCGGGAGGCCCCATTAGCTAAAGTGGTGCTTCAGGTTAAGAACAGTTTCAGGTTAAGAATGGACCTCCAGAATGAATTAAGTACCTAACCCAAGGTACCACTGTATATACGTGATGCTGCATACACTCAATGCGCCCAGCCATGATAGCCACAGCAGCATCAACCTTTTCACTGCTGAACTGATGGAGAACCTGGAGATCACTTTTGTGACTTCTGCAGTTCTTGCACTTTCTCACTGACCTCGACAACCACGTCCTGCTACTGAGCCTCTAGTCAGGACACAATTTGTACCGAGATTTTTGTGACACTGTTTTGACTACTGTCAACAAATGAGCACTGTGAGTTTTTATTTTTTATTGTTTCGTTCTTCATCTGACAAGCAATGTCAAGCTGTCCTTGAAAAGCTCAGCTTTTCATATGAGGCTGGCCATTTGATCCATCGGTAATTGGGATTTTGTACCAAGGAACTTGGCAAGTTTGACATCTGTAGGTGCTTCTGTAGTGCGTGGGAAGCAGGGGCAGAACATCTTTTCATGTAGGACCATTAAGTTAATTGATTAAACATTTGGCAGATACACCAAGTTACTGCCTGAAGATTTTAGAAGAATCTTTTATTTAATGCTTTGGTGAATCCCATTGTTATGGAGTCTATAGTCAATACTAAATTGAAAATGCTTTGCATGTTCAGACCTTTTAACCTCCCCCTTAAATAAATTCAGACAAGACTCAAATTTTTGTTTGGTTTTTGGCAGAATTTAGGCCACAACTTTATTGATTACAGCAAGTGAGTGGTTGCATAGGCTCTGGTTCTTCTAGCTCCCTGCACCATTGCAGGTAGCGCTGACCCAGGGCACCAGCATAGGTCAGCCTATGGTGAACACCCGTTAGGCAGAAAGCCAGGAACAGGCTATGTCCACCACCCAGATGTCCCCCTGGACTCAGGCATGGGCACAACCCCCTCACAGGGTTGACCAAACCACTGAGTCCCTGGATTCCTTTAACGGAATACCCTTCACATATCACCTGAACCAGTGCCTATCCACAACCTTAAAAGTTGTGATGATTTGCTACGTGGCAGGCGAAACCCAAATGGCAACAGCCAATCAGCCAAGTGGGGAAATTCCTACTGTGCCCCTGTCCCAACGACAGACGACGGCATAGCAAGGTCATGAGCAACAAACCCTAAAAGTAGGGAGAGGTGGGCGGGTTTTCCAATGCATGCACCGAAAGAGGAAGTTCTGGGTCACGTGCATAGGTATATATAGGTCCCTTTATCCATTTAGCCTGCATCCCATTGGCCTGATTAAACCCAGCATCAAGGGACCTACCAATTGGGTATTGTGGCTATCCAATCGTACCCACCCTCAACACAGGGTTTGGTTGCCAGATCTCACCGCAACACGTGCCCTCTTTAAGGGAGGACCTGATTTGTCTGAAAAACGTGCAGTTGTACTTCTATTAAATAGTTATTTCTGGCCATCACTAAACCATCACTAAACAACTCAAGTCTTTAAAAAAATGCCCAGTGCTGCTATTTATTAATTAAAATTATATATTGCCTTTCCTCTCAAAGGAGCCCAGGTTGACAATTATTAACTAATGCACTCTGTTTTCTAGCTAGTAAAACTCAAAATTCACCTGCACACCTAAATAAAGATGACATTCATACTGCAAAAATTAAAGAAATGTTTAGATTTGTGAAGGAAAGAATGTATGTAACTGGACCTGTATTGATTAGACAGGACACTTGTGTCAGACTGGTTCACACATACATATTTGTCAAGTGATTACTTACATGTGTGAATGGGCCAATATAGATGTGACACCACAAATCAATATACTCCAACCTGATGTCCTCCAGATATTTTGAAATACAAATCTCATCATCCCTGACCATTGGCCGTACTGTCTGGGGCTGATGGGAATTGTAGTCATGTGTGTGTGTGTGTGTGTGTGTGTGTGTGTGTGTGTTTGTACACCTGCTTGGGGAAAAGCTGCTTTTCAATCAACTCAGGTCAAATATTGAGCTAACAGACATCCAGTGTAGAGAAATCAAGGGATGTACACACCTGTATAAGCTAATTGTTGATACTCTTATTAACGACTTCTTACATTTTTAAGCAGTGGATTTCCAAAAAAGAAAAGAAGAAAATTATTTGAGTCTCCTCATGGGCAGGTTACCTTCAAGTGCTGATGTTTTAGTTTTTCTTCCTCAACTTTAAGGCGTTTCTGAGTGATTTCTTCTTGAAGTTTCCTCTTGTCCTGCGAATTACAAAAATCGTAGAAAACCAAAGAGAATAAAATGTACAGTATATCTTGGAATATGAAAACTTTGTGCAGTAAGAAATGAGGTCTTAGATTTTAGAAGCTATTTGAAGTGCTTGAGATGGGCATGTGGGAGTTGTCTGCCTTTTTCTGCTTTCATTTAACAAAGAAAAAATGAAAAGGAAAGGAAGTCACTGGGCATATCTACACTACAAACATAACAATTTTTAAATACCACTTCAATGGTTGTGGATTCCCTCAAGAACCCTGGAGATGGCAGTTTAGTGAGAATTTAGAGAATGCCACCTCACAGAACTGCAACTTCCTGGTTTCCCTAGGAAGAGGAAAGGATTGCTAAAATAGTTTTAAATCCATCTCTATCGAGAACAAATCTCAGGGTTCTTCTTCAACATATCATTTTCTTTTTAGTACATACCAGCTGTGTCTAGTATTAAAGGTTTAGGCATGCAAAACTATTAAACGATTGTTTCCCTTCATTTATCAGTCACCAGGGAAACAAATTCAAATTTCAGGAGGCAATTCTTTCAAGTCCCGAAATATGCTTCTGTTTTCTTTACATATTTACAAGCGAGAAACAGCAAGGGTGGTGTTAACTGAGGTAATTTCAGTTACAGAAAATTTAGCAACCAGGTTGGGCTCTGTTCCCATGATTGTCTAGAGACTTGGAATAATCTTCATTGCAGATAGGAGTTATTTCTGGCACACATCCCATAACGCAACTATAAACAGCATTTAGGATGTAAATAGTTTGCTAGCCTGTATTTACATGTATCCTTATAACGTTTATACTTTTAGCAGGGCCTCCTGCTTCTACTTCCGCATCTTGCTGAGAGAAACAGCTGAACATATCTGAGAGAAGAATGATAGCTGGTGTTGTCGTTCCATTTTTAAACTTTGTTTACTAAGGTACGCCCCCAGTAGCAATTTTGAACGGTTCAGTTAATCCAGATTTCAAGAACATCCTGCTGCCAGTCTCTGAACTTCATGCCTTCCTTTCTTCTGAATGCCACTATATTAAGGGCCTTGAAATAATTTGGCCATGAATGGTGCAGTAGGTCATCAAAATGACTTTGTAGATTAAAAGCAAACTCCCAAAGAGAGCTCTTTTTCCTAACTCAGAGCATGCCTCCAGATATACCTTCACAGTATCCTGCAAAAGGATCTCAGATTTCCCCCCCACTTTTGCTCGAGAAACGAATGGCACATTCTTGGCTCCAAATCCAGGGACAATTTAATTTTTCTCTTTGCTCACTCTCCCGACTCCAGGAAGGCTGGATTTCCCTTCTAAGGAAATTAGGGGTATTTGGTGAGGCGGTGTGGGGGAAGATCACTATGAGGGCCAACCAATCAGAACAGTGATCAGCCCCTTTTTTGGGGGGGCAAATAGGATTCTCTTGAGCTCACCACTTAAGCTAAGGTGGTATGTCTGACCGAAACAAGGTGAGCTCAATTCCAGAGTTAGTTTACTGCACACATTACTTTTCCCAAAGTGAAAAGTAATGGATAAATTGTGGAGTTTTATACTGGAATATATAGCAATGTATCACCACTCGTATTAAGTATATCCAGACATGCCCTAAGTGATAATGAGTTTTACACTGGGGTACAATATAGAGAGAGCAGAAGGTGTTCCATCAGGTTTTGTGGGATTTCCGTAAGGCAATGCTACCACTACTTTGTATTGCAGGGACCGTTAAACTTTTTGGGCACGTGGGCTCATTTTCAAACTGGAGAAGCTGTTGTGGGCACCAGACACGTACCACAGATGAGCACATAATTCAATCTAATCTACCGGCTACAACAGAATTCTTCTTTCAAGCCGAATTTCAGTGAGGAGAGAGGCGGTTGAAGGGACTCAGTGGGCGCCAGAGAAAGACATGTGTGCCTACAGGCCCATTGGTGACTCCTGCCATAGAAGTTCACGGCAGTGTGTTGGAGGTGATATTCTTGTTTTTGATTATTCTGGATAAAAAATTTTAGTATTTTTTTTGCATACTTAGGGATATTGTATCATGTAATTTTATATTTTCTTGTAAATAGCTTTGGGACTCCTTTCAGTTGTGTGAAGGGATAAATAATTGAAATAAACTAAACTAGCCCCCCCCCATGTGCCCTGCCCATATGCCGTATTTTTCGCTCTATAAGACGCACCAGACCACAAGACGCACCTAGTTTTTGGAGGAGGAAAACAAGAAAAATATATATTCTGAATCTCAGAAGCCAGAACATCAAGAGGGATTGCTGCGCAGTGAAAGCAGCAATCCCTCTTGCTGTTCTGGCTTCTGGGATAGCTGCGCAGCCTGCATTCGCTCCATAAGACGAACACACATTTCCCCTTACTTTTTAGGAGGGAAAAAGTGAGTCTTATAGAGCAAAAAATACGGTAAATATGTTAGGAGCTTGTTCTACTCTCGAGTAGGACCCTGGCAGAGACACATGCCCGACTGGCATGTTCCCTCCCTCCTGGTCAATCGTTTGGGAGCTTCAAAAGCTTTCTTCTGCCCAAACATCACAGCGACCTATGCCAACAGACACCGGCACACTTAGGGATTCGCAGAATGTTTGCAGCTTGCGTAACAGAACTCAGCAACTCAGCATTTGGGCTAATCTACTTTATTTACATATAAACACACACGGAGCACTGCAACATGGCTCCCTCTCTCTCTAGCATCAGACAGCAAAGAGAAAGAACAAAGGACAATAGTCACACTTCATGGAACACAGTAACACAAACATCCTGTTTCCGTCACTTCCCACTCTGTGGAGTCAAAACATATACCGTCATGTGATAGACAAAAATCCCATAACTGCAATCATGGAGCAGGAATTCTAACAATATATATATATATATATATATATATATATATTTGTGGTACCACTGCTGGGAATGGCATGAATGTGTGTATTGGAGCACAGTTTGAGATACTACTTTTCCAAACTTCCAGTTTTACCATTGCAATCTGCTAAAGCAATCCTATTCCCCCTAATGATCAAACTAGCTACCAGCAACCTAGGCACAATTATTTGAAGAAAATATGTCCTACTGAAACAAGTGGAATTTCCTTCTAATATATTTTTTGTTGTTGTTGAAATAAAAAATCCACATCTCACTACAGTCATTGAAATGACTTGTGGGATCTTATATAGATATGGCTTGTAGTCACAGAAAATTCCAGAAGCATAGTGGGGGTTGTTGTTGTTGTTTAATCCAGCCTTTCTTACTAGGAACCTTTCACGAAACAGAAAAATTATATGTAATAGGCCTTTGACAGTGCAGTGAGAGGAAAGGAATTGAGCTTCTTCCAGCAACGAAAGAATTATTGTTCAGCTATTAAGTTCCACTAATGCATTAGCCTTTATTCCATCCCCTTTCAATATATGTCAGTTGACACACTTTTAAAGCTTAAAAGCTGTTGCATTTCTCAGCCAGTTTTTTTAATTAAGAAAACTTCATTCATTTCCAGCAAGAAATCTATGTGTTTAATCAAACCACTTTCTATATTAACTTGCATTTATTATCACTAAAGGGCCATATAAGCACAAATCTTTCAAAAGCAGCAAGCTAAATAAGGGTACCAGAACATAGCCAATGTTGAGACTAATAGCTTAGAAAGTGTAGTAATGTAAGGACCAGCCAGAATCAACAAGCCAACTTCTCATCTGCAGTGGATTGTGGATGAAGATGCCTGGTCAAGCTTCTTGTAGTGAGGTTCCTCAGTTACTTCTTGGGTGCCTGAAAAAGCTCCCCCTCTTTCCTCCATCTTACCTCCCCTAACCCCCCCATACCTTCTTGAGGCCCTCTCTCTTTCTTCAAACCCCTTCTTAACACACCCAGCTTTCCCATGAAGCCTTTGGCACAACCTCAAGTGTCAGCATCCTATTGTAACCAAGTCTATTTACATGTAATGGAAACAAACATGCATTTTCCCTTGGTATACCCCTGCCTCCTTTTCCTATACTTTCCCCTATTGTCTCCTCCATATTGAATTTTGGACTGCAAGCTGTCAAAAGCAAGGACCTGTCCTCTTGTATCGTATCAAGCAGTCATGTATATTGATGGCACTGTATCAACAGCGCTTGACCAACTGAGTTGTCTAGTTCTAGTTACAGGTAGGTAGCTGTGTTGGTCTGCCGTAGTCGAAACAAAATAAAATTTAAAAAAATTCCTTCCAGTAGCACCTTAGAGACCAACTAAGTTTGTTATTGGTGTGAGCTTTCGTGTGCATGCAAGAAGAAGAAGTGTGCATGCACACAAAAGCTCATACCAATAACAAACTTAGTTGGTCTCTAAGGTCCTACTGGAAGGATTTATTTTTTATTTTGAGTTGTCTAGTGTTATACTACTGCTATGGGCTCAGAGCAGAAAGCAACATTTCTCCTTTACATTCCTATGGATGCGGGAAGAAATCCTCTATGTTTCTTGTGAACAACCTTGCAAACAAGCCCATAAAAGTTACTAGCCTGCAAATATTTGCGCACCATGAATTAAGTCACTTGTGGTCTGAAAAGTGGAATGGGGAAGGCTTGACTCTCTTCCATCTTAAAAAAAAGAGGAAGAAAATATTTCCGCAGCAGATCTCTTTATTCATGGGCTACAAAGTGAGCAGCCCGCATCTAGTGCCTTTTTGCAGCAATGGATGTATGGGAAGCAATGGATGTATGACATTAGCCACTATCCTTTATCTATCCTGACATTTCCTATGAAATACTGTGTTTTGCTGCATTTTCGCCCCAAACCAGCTTTGATCTGAATTGAGAAAAAGAATGACCAAGTTGTCTTGTAAGTTGGTAATGGGTACATTGCCAGTGGCTGCATTTGCAAGCTTGACTATGGAGTCGTTTGATAGTGATGCCAGTTCACCAGCAAGAAGTCTTGCTATTCATGGAGAAACAAAAAAAGAGTTTGAACCAAGGGTTGTGAAATAAATAGCTCCTGAAAGTTAAAGAACAGCTGAATTTACTTATTTCGTTCTTTAACCATCAGCTCTTTAGTTGTGTAAGCAAAGGAAGCACTGGGAGCAATGGGAACAAGCATGAAACAAAAATGTCAGAAAGAGCTTTCTCATTCTTCCAAAGCATGTTGCGTCTAGCTTTAGTAGCGCTTCAAAGGAACATAATCATTATTGTGCTATGATGCCACCCACAGCCAATCATAGCTCTACCCTTAAAGAATAGCCAGTGAACTAATCTACCGGCCCAAACCTGTCATGAGATGAGAGAATGAGGGTTAGATCAGATCAATAGGGAGCTAGACATCAATGCTATTAGTTGTCGTTCTTCCTCTTAAGAATAGCACAGTTCTGAGACAACTTTCTGCAAGCGCTGGGTTCTTTATGAATAAAATATCTCCACCATAGTGTGAACTGAATTGAATTTCCCATATCATACTCCTTTAAAACACACACACACACAGAATGTTGGTGTTCCCATGAACTACCAACAAATACTCATTTAATTAAGCAGAAGATTAATTGCCCAGGGTACTTCTTTTCTTTTTAAACTATGGAATTTCCTTGTTCCAGTTCATTCTTAGCTTTCTGACCTGGTGTCCTTCAAATTAATGCACAGATGCACACTCACTGAGCCACTTGGTCTTAATGACAGCATCACATATGCCTGATATAAAACACTGCCTGACTCCTACATCTCTGGCATTCAGCGCCTGGGAGCTAATGGTCAAATTTATGTTCCTGCCATAAATGCAAGTCATACGCAGAATTCTGCTGACTGCCCAAAGTTTGTAGTCTACAAAAAGGAACAAAATAAGGACAGAAATGAAGGGTTTCATACAGAACAGGGAGACGTTCCAACCACCTTAGTAACCTCTAAGCAGCTTTGATAATGATTTTCTAAAATATATATTACAAGACAGATATTACAAGACACACACAAGCACACACAAAGACTGATATAGAGAAGAAGTACTTACGGTTATGGCCTGAAATCTTTCCTTCAGCAGTTCAGCTTCTTCCATTCTAGAAATCAAACAAACACACAGGTTTTGAAATCTACAAAGAAACACTACATAGGCACAGAGGTTTCCCGTATGGAAGAGGAGGAGGAGCGCGACGAGGCAAATGCTTCTGAAGGGTTATGATCTAATTCCCACAGAGGAGGGAGAATTCCCGACTTATGTGGTGTGTCTCCAAACAGATGAGCAAGTCGGCTCAGACAGACACATGTAATGAGGGTGTGCTGGGGAGGCAGACGTCCAGAATACTGGCATGAGTTGACTGACAAGTTTGAACGGCAGAACACAAGCCCTTTTCCTTCTGCAGCTGCCAATTCTTTGTCGTAATCATATGCACACTTGGCATGCCATAGATTAACCGTTAACTGCCCAACCTCCTCCCCCCCCCCGCAAATCATATTTGCTGGCGTTCTTTAATGCGCAATGGTAGTAGTTATTTTTAAAGAGGTGAAATATAAATCCCTGACATCTTTAAGCCGTACCCCTCATTTAATGTTCATTGAGATGCCGTCATCAGAATAATTAGCAGTTTTGTAGCATTTAAAGCTTTTCCTTTGTAACCCATGCAGCTGCCACTGTAAAGGGAAGACTTTATAACTTGTACCCATAATACAGATGAGGGCTCAAGGCTGCGAAGAATTAGCTGGCCTGAGGTCACCTAGATCACAACCTAAATCGTAACAGAGCTCTCTCTTGCTGGCTTCAAACTTTCCCTCAATGTCCTTAGCTGCTATACTATACCAGATGTTAGCTTAATTAACCACAAACCCTGAAATTTCGAATACTCAGTTGGGGGGACACGTGTTGCAAAATGTGTTTTCTTTGCTATGAAACCCTGCAAAAATTTGTCAGCAGTTTGGAGGGGATCCCAATTTTTGGCCTCCATAGTTAACGAAGCTCCTAATTCTGCCGTCCCACAGTGTTGTCTCTGTGTGTGGTAATTTAGAATCATGGAATTAAGTTGGAAGGGACGCTGATGATCATTGTCCAACCCTCCTACAATGCTGGAATATGCAGCTGTCCCGTATGGGGATTGAACCTGCAACCTTGGCATTATCAGCACTATGCTCTAACCAACTGACCTATCCACTGACTTTAAATTTAAATTTAAACTCAAATGTAGGCTTTGAAAACATTTTATAATCTAGTGACAGAATTATACAGTGGTACCTCAGGTTACAGACGCTTCAGGTTACAGACGCTTCAGGTTACAAACTCAGCTAACCCAGAAATAGTACCTTGGGTGAAGAACTTTGCTTCAGGATAAGAACAGAAATCGTGCGGCGGTGGCGCAGCAGCAGTGGGAGGCCCCATTAGCTAAAGTAGTACCTCAGGTTAAGAACAGTTTCAGGTTAAGACGGATCTCCAGAACAAATTAAGTTCTTAACCCGAGGTACCACTGTGTAGCAGGTTCTTATGGCAGATTGTACAGTTGTGTACAATGTATGTACCAGCTGTGTGTATGTGGGACACTAATGTCAGTGGCTGCCATTCGGCAGTACAGTGCTAACAGAACCACCCCCTACCTTGGTTGCTACCCCGTCTCCCTGTGGTGAGGAATTTGGGGTTGGGGTAAGCGAGAAGAGAAGCAGGCAAGTACTGCCACAGTCATGCCTTGGCCTCTGCAGAGGCAGCATTAAAAGAAAAAGGACCCCTGGACGGTTAAGTCCAGTCAAAGGTAACGATGGGGTGCAGTGCTCATCTCACTTTTCAGGCTGAGGGAGCTGGTGTTTGCCCACAGACAGCTTTCTGGGTCATGTGGCCAGTGTGACTAAACCGCTTCTGGTGCAATGGGACACCGTGACAGAAACCAGAGTGCACGGAAATGCCATTTACCTTCCCACCACAGCGGTACCTATTTATCTACTTGCACTGGTGTGCTTTCGAACTTCTAGGTTGGCAGGAGTTCAGACAGAGCAATGGGAGCTCAGTCTGTCATGGAAAATGGTTCTCTAGGTCACCAATATGGAAATGCTATGAGCTGACAATTTGAAATCTGGTGCAAGAATCACTTGCAATATATAAAGACCTGACATTAGCAATATATATAGACCCTAAAGTTTTGAAGTCCCCCAATGGTGCAACAATTAAAAAGAAAAACCGCCAGCACATTTGCAAAGCTAAGCAGGGTCTGCTATGGTTTCAAATTGGATGGGGGAACCATATGTTGAGAATCCTGCATTGCAGGGAGTTGGGCTATAGATGACCCTCAGAAGTTACTTCCAACTCTATGGTTTTATGAAGTTCCATTGTGTATATGGGCCCATAACCTACTCATAGTGATCAGGTTGTCTTTTGTAAGGCAACTTGGGAATTTTTAGCATACACTGAAGGGCAGGATATAAATTAAAAGTGTTTAGAAAAGAAAATAAGAAAGTGTTAATTCAGAATTATTAAGGATAATTCTGATCTTTTCTATACATAGAAAATTAATGTCCCCCCTTTCATTATAGGGGAGTTTCCATACTCTGAAAGTAAAGCTGAGCTTTTTTCAACAACTGTGAAGCTGAATGTGATTTTATACGGCTGAGAACGTTGAGCAAGTTCTTTATCTTCCAAGTGAAAAGGGCAAGCATTCTAAAAATACACACAAAATTTGCAAAACAGGTAGAATGATGAAAAATAATATCTGCTCGTTGCAAAAAGACTGACAAATCTCTTCAATGTGTAATCTGAGTTGGTTTGAAATTGTTCCGCGCCTTTGGTATCATGTAACTGTAATTTCACAATCTCTTCAAATATAGATGAACATGGGAATCAATATATGCTTGTTTTTGTTTTGGAAAATGTGCAGTGAAGCTGTGCCAGACCCTCCAAGTGCCCCTATTTTCCAGGGACAGTTCCAGATTTACAGAAGCCATCTCGGTTTCAGATTTGATCCTGGAATGTCCCTCTTTTACTTAAGATGTCCCTATTTTCATTGGAGAAACGTTGGAGGGTATGGAGTTATCTGACCCCTGAGCTGTCTGAAGGGGATCCTGTATAGGGAAGGTTTTTTAAAAAAATGTTTCATGTTTTATTATGTTTTTATGTTGAAAGCAGTCCAGAGTAGCAAACCAGACAGATGGGTGGGGTATAAATAGAATAATAATAATAATAATAATAATAATAATAATAATAATGGAATAGGACATCCCTATTTTCATCTTTGGCCACCTCATGAGAAGAGAAGACTCCCTGGAAAAGACCCTGATGTTGGGAAAGATTGAGGGCACAAGGAGAAGGGGACGACAGAGAATGAGATGGTTGGACAGTGTTCTCGAAGCTACCAGCATGAGTTTGACCGAACTGCGGGAAGCAGTGGAAGACAGAAGTGCCTGGCGTGCTCTGGTCCATGGGATCACGAAGAGTTGGACACGACTAAACGACTAAACAACAACAATTTTCATCCAAGAAATGTTGGAGGGAATGGTATGTTGCAAGAAGCCCAGACGGGCTGGGGTATAAATAATAAAATTGTTGTTGTTGTAATGGAATGGGATGTCCCTATTTTCAATGGAGAAATGTTGAAGGGAATGCTGTGCCACTTGTCCATAGCACATAGATTCTGTGCCTTTATTATCTGAATTACAAGGAGGAATGAACAGGTGAAACATTCCCTATCACTGTATCTCAGCTTTCCTTAACCTTGGTGCAATAGATTTGCAGCACTGTTATACCACTTTAACAGTCATGGCGCCCCCGCAAAGGACCATGGGAACTGTAGTTTGTTAAGAGTGCTGACGCCTGTTAGGAGACCTCCGTTCACCTCCTATAGAACTACAATTCCCAGAGTGGTTTAACAATAACTCCACAGGAAACTCTGGGAATTGTAGCTTGGGAAGTGGGAGGGATGGAATTGTGGCCGCCTCACAACCCTTAACAGATCACAGTTCCCAGGATTCAAACTGTGAAATTGGCACACCAGGGCTTTAAATTTATCGTGCGAATGTGGCCTCTGTTTACAAAAAGTGACATTATCCATTATTCATCTCCAAGCACTGTTCTGTAGACCTAATATCTTTCCCACAAAGCTGAAATTATGCAGATTGATGACCACAAAGGAAAGATAAGGCAATCTACTACATTATTATTGTTGTGTTTAATATTAAAGAGCTGATCAGAAGACAAAATCAAGTTCTAATATTCTAAAGTTTTGTCAGTGGCTGAACAATTATTTCTAAAGAAGGCAGAGGGCCTTCTCGGTAGTGGCACCCGCCCTGTGGAATGCCCTCCCATCAAATGTCAAGGAAACAAACAACTATCTGACTTTTAGAAGACACCTGAAGGCAGCCCTGTTTAGGGAAGTTTTTAATGTTTGATGTTTTATTCTGTTTTTAGTCCTCTGTTGGGAGCCGCCCAGAGTGGCTGGGGAAACCCAACCAGATGGGCGGGGTATGATAATAATAATAATCATAATCATAATAGAGGACCTTACTTGGAAAGGAAGAGACTTAAGAGACTTAAAAGGTGGCATCCAACACAGAGCAGACCCACTGAAGTCAATAAGCAATGGTCTACCATGAATGAATGAATGAATTTTGCTTTATTATGGTCACAGACCAGAAATACAGACATATGCAATAATAAAAGCATATAAATATAAATAATTTAAAATTAAACTCTACAAACTAGAACACAGTAAATCAAACAGATATGAGTATGACTTAATCTACCATGAGTATGATTTAGTCGGATACCCAAAATGAATAAAATGAAGTAGAAATGATTGTTTTCCAGCAATCAGTTTTACTTTTTTTACCTAGGTCAAAGTCCTGTTGCAAAATCACACACAAAGAATTTCCAAATAATTGGCCACACTTGTCCTCCCTGTAACCTGATGCCCAGGCTTTTGGCCTATCCATCTTTGGTCATACTGAACAGCTGGTATTTTATCTTACAAAAGAACTTTTTAAGCATTTGAAGACTCCTGCTTTGTCCTCCCTCTAGGGTCTCTGGCTCTGCCAAAGTTAAGTAGCAGAATAGTTTCAGACCTAGCCAGTCTTTTTCTTTAAAAAACCAAAAACAAAACCACCACCAACACCCAGCTGTTAAAAGACACAATAACCAGAGGAATTAATATGGTTTGGTATTGCCCCTGTAAAAGGGAGTATGTGAATTGCTCGCTTTTATAAGGTGTTCCAATTGCTACATGTTGCTTGCAAAATTTCTGTTTTGATTCCATAGTTGATTATATAGCAAATGAATTGCATAGTGGTGCTAAATCACAGACTATCTGCTTGGCCCTACTTTGGATAATTATAAATCTTCAGTGAACAAGTCAGCATCTTTTCTTTCCCCATTTTTATGTTATTTGCCTTTCTTTTAAACCAAGCATGGCTGTAAATGTTAGCAAAGTCTTTTAAATAATCCAGACAAGGTTTAGAAAGAGAATAAATTTGATAACACTCGAGTACAGAAACAAAGAAACAAAAACCCCTGGTGTATAATTTGAGGAGAAAGGAGCAAAGCCTTTCTTACGTTAGGCCTTGTACACAGCAGTGAGGCACTGAACCAAACATGCAGAGGACAGAACTCACTTAGAACTACCCAGCCAATCAGGGCACGTTCTATCTCTGCAAACATCATATCACTCTGCCAGTTGCTAAAGAAGGGATATTTCAGTCCTCACCCATACTTAAGAGGGAGGAGAATTTGTTTTACTGTCAGGTATACATGAGGAAACATAGACTGAGCACAAAGTTTGCTTAATAGTATCAGTAGGTCTTATGCTCAGATTAGTTTGCATAGATATCATTGCAGACTAAGAATAATGTCACTGTTTTTCAAGTGAGTCATGTTGCAAAAGTTCCTTCAACATTTTCCTCACTTGTTGCTAGGTGGACTTCCCCCCCTTCAATCAATACTGTACCTTCTTTCCCCACCATTTAAAAAAGGTAAAGGACCCCTGACAGTTAAGCCCAGTTACGCAGAATCCGAGACCAGGGAGAAGAGTCGGTGGAAGAAGATTGGAAGAAATTTAAAGACTATCTACAAAAATATTGTAAAATTAATGAATGTTAGAATGATGTTGGATAGAAATTAAGTGGTTTTCAGCTGTAATACTCTAAGGGAATATGAAAAATGGATTATTAATAGGTAAAAATTTAACGTTACAATATTTTAAGATTAAAGACTAGGATAAACAAAGAGGGTAAGGATTTGCTGAACCAACAAACCGAACTGGAATACAAAAAATGGAGGCGTGAGGAGGTCCGGGAAACAAGCTAATGAAAAATAAGTAATGGAAAGATTGAGTTGTTTTTAACCATTTTTTTTATTTTGTATTTTCTTCTTTTTTATTTTTATTTTTATTTTGTAATATTGTGAAAATCTCAATAAATATCTTATATATAAAAAAAAGACAGTTAAGCCCAGTTACGAACGACCGAGGGTCGAGGGAGCCGATGTTTGTCCGCAGACAGTTTTTCCAGGTCATGTGGCCAGCATGACTAAGCCTCTTCTGGTGAAACCAGAGCAGCGCACGGAAACACCGTTTACCTTCCCGCCACAGCGGTACCTATTTATCTACTTGCACTTTGAGGTGCTTTCGAACTGCTAGGTTGGCAGAAGCAGGGACCGAGCAACGGGAGCTCACCCCATCGCAGGGATTCGAACCACCGACGTTCTGATCGGCAAGCCCTAGGCTCAGGGGTTTAGTCCACAGCGCCACCTGCATCCCTTTCCCACCATTTAGTTTAATCCAATTCTGAATTGGATTTGCATGGTAACAGGGAGAAATGGGCCAGCTGTCGTTTTGTCTGGCCTTAAGCCCACTTTGTCTATGATGGTGCCATAACCAAGATATTGCATACAGATAGCTCAGAAACTTCAACAGGCACGGTCTCTGTAAGATTCCTGGAAGAGAGTTTGTGAGATTTGTGACAATTAAAATAGTTTCCTTTACAGCTATTTTTACCAAGCCTGTTGTCCAAATTGGGAAGCACGATCTACTGAAAACTGTTTCCAACCTTCGTTTCTCTGTAGCAGATACTGAGCAAACGTTTCTTTTGACCTAACGGATGTTGACTTATGAATGCAACATTTGTAGTCAATTTGATCTGGCAGGCTGATTGCATTCTTTTGTGGGGTCCACCCCTCACTGCATGCTTTATGTATTCAGTTCTATTTCATAATGGATTATTTTTACCACAGGAGTCTGCTTTCATGATGCATTACCAGAGCAAATATCGAAACAACTGTATTAGGTAGTGGGTGGGTCTCTTGAAGACTAGATAATCTTTATTATTATTATTATTAAAAAAAACCCCATAGGGGATTTTCATGGCAACACCAGCAGCTGAACATGAATATGGATATTTTGAACCTAAAGGCAATTTTAAATAACTGCACAGACTGGTACCAGTACATCAGAATTGCACCTGATATCCCACCACCCACAGCTTTTAACATCTTCTAAGACTGCTCCCCCCAATTCTGCAAGCCTGCTATAAAACATTATTATTGTTGTATTTTATTTTTACGTGTTTAGTTTTAAAGAGACGAAATCACTTTCTTTTTTGAATGGAAATTGGAGGCATGCTTTTATTTATTTATTGCAAGAATTCATATCCTGCCTTTCATGATATAAATCCTTCCAAGGCGGCGTACAAGAAACACCGAGCTGCATTTAAAATACATAAACACACGCGAACATACACCAGGGCCCAGCCTCCGGGTTTCTCCATGAATCACTGTTCTGAGAAAGCCTCCTGGCCTGAGTGGGAGAAAGGAAGCCCAAAGCATGTAGACTCGTGTAGAAATAGCAGAGTGAGCCTCCTCTGATGGCAGATTCTTCTGCATCTCCACACCCTCTCCAAGCAGAATGCAAGGCCAGGGCAATGAGTCAAGGAGAGATGGAGTGATACACAGTCTCTTCTGTGGGTGGGTGCTTTGATTATTATTTATTTTATTTCTAGTGGCATGCAGTCATCAGTTGTCTTGTGGCCCAACCCCATTGAATTCAGCAGGGCTTACTTCTGAGCAGACATAGTTGGGACTACATTGTCAGCCAGGGAGCTCACTAGTGGCCCATTCACTTTCTCTCAGTCTAACTTTCCAGGACTCTTGAGATGATGGAACTGTGAGGTAGTGAACCACATTCACTGCCTTGTGAGATCATTGGAGGAAAAACTGAGGTTCACACAGCTGGAAATGGGACTGCATTTAAAGTGATGGAGAAGGCAAAGGTGAGCAGTTGTCTTATGCAACGATGGACAATCTGAGGACCATCCTTGCTGACCATTGACCATGCTGGAGTCTTTTCCTCATCACCATTGCAAGGAGGTCTCAGGCCTCAAGAAACAGGAATCCTGTTGCCTGAGCTCCAAGACCTTCTTATGATGGTACGGAACCATAGGGAGGGGAGGAGTCGTTGCAACTGTGGGGTGTAAGAATCAGGTGCAGTCAAACACAACATTGCTAGAGTAGACATGATGGTTGTCTCAGTCCTCCAGCCGGAACTTCCTGCTATCCAGGACTGAGACGAAACTTCCTATGTGTAACTTGAGATGGGCGTGGCCTCTCCTGAAGTAAAAGAGCCAGAATCACAGGCTGGTGACCATCTTGTCTCTCTTGTCTCTATTGATGCCATCTTAACAACAGCACTACTAAGATGCACCCTTGGCTCCAGGCCAAGAGAATAAAAGGGGGGCTTTCTTCCACAAGGAGATAGTCACCACATTTAATCTATGCTCTAACCTTTTAATAAGTCTGCCTTCTGGGAATCTTTGTGTGAACAGATGATTACTTGTGAGTAAATGTTTTATACTTTACAGAAGACTGTGTAGCGTCTTATTTTAGGAGGGATTAAATGGGGAAAATAAAGGTCCGTATAGTTAAAGCTATGGTTTTCCCAATATTGATGTATGGAAGTGAGAGCTGGACCATAAAGAAGGCTGATCGCCGAAGAATTGATGCTTTTGAATTATGGTGTTGGAGGAGACTCTTGAGAGTCCCATGGACTGCAAGAAGATCAAACCTATCCATTCTTAAGGAAATCAGCCCTGAGTGCTCACTGGAAGGACAGACTGTGAAGCTGAGGCTCCAATACTTTGGCCACCTCGTGAGAGGAGAAGACTCCCTGGATAAGACCCTGATGTTGGGAAAGATTGAGGGCACAAGGAGAAGGGGACGACAGAGGACGAGATGGTTGGACAGTGTTCTCGAAGCTACCAGCATGAGTTTGACCAAACTGCGGGAGGCAGTCGAAGACAGGAGTGCCTGGCGTGTTCTGGTCCATGGGGTCACGAAGAGTCGGACACGACTAAATACTAAACAACAACGACAACAAATGTGGAAAATACCAGGAAATATTTACAGAGACTCTAACGAGGCTGAGCAAGCTATCTGCTATGCGTGTGTTTAAATAAAAGGGGAATGTTAACTCTGCTGATTTTGTTGAACTTGTAAAGACAAGTTGGGATGGGATATCTTAGACAATATATCCTTCCCCGCATCCCTAAACATTCCCACAGCAACATATCCTCCAACACGTCGAGGTGAAAAACTGTGACACGTGTCTTCCAGAAAGGCATTCCCACACAAGTCACATGACCTGCATGAGATCATGGTCCTGAAAGACATGCTTTTTGGGAGGTGAGACTGTGGCACCCAAAATGGGCACCAAACTCTCACATGAAAATAAAAATGGGACATTCCAGTTTTACTGTGATAGTTGAGGGGTATGTAAACAGAGGCAGAGACACTTGATTTGGGGAGGGCTGGTGGGCCAGGGATGGACTTGGGTAATCTTTGGTAACATGACGCCCTGTGCAAGGCCAAAATTTGGTGTCCCCAAATGGATCTTCTCAATTTTGCACCAACACTTCCCTAAATCTGGCGCTGGTTGGGCCCTCCATAGCAGGAACACTACAGCACAACAAGAAGGGTGAACCACAGTAATACACTAAATTCATGTATTTAATGAGAAAACACCTTAACTTTCATTGTGTTGTATCTGATTACAAAATGGGTGTATTGGGAGAAAAGCACACTAAAATGCTGACCCTTTTTTGAGGACTCTCTTTCTAATGGCAAGCTGATGTGGAAATGTAACAAACTTAAAACTGAAAAAATGAGAACTGAAATTGACAGATTCTTCCAGCCTTAGTTGTTTTGTCTTTTCAGAGAAATGATTTTAAAACCTTGGACTAAGTGATTATAGCTCCCTCTGCCTAGTGGGAACATCTCTCTTGACGTTGTCCTGGGACATTTGCTGAGATAATCCTACACCGTAGCAAGTGGCAAATGTTGTTTGTCTTTCTCCCTCGTACAAGAGGTTCCACGCCCTGAACCTCTGGAAGAAAGCTTTCCGTGACTCTGTTCCTCTGGGTGGAACACCCTTCCTATTTCTATTCATAACCACCCTGTTAAACCTTTTAAGTTGAAGAAAAAGGCCTCTTTAGCAGCGTTCTGGTCTGTAAACTGTTCTGGTCTCTGTAAATGGTGACATACTTTAAAAAAGAACCTGTTACTGGCATGTACCAGTCCCATGATGGTTGCCTGTGTGTTTTGTGGCAGACTTGTTCCCTTCCTGTCTTTTAAATATAGGATCTTTTATATGTAGTCAACTTTCTTTCTTTCTTTCTTTCTTTCTTTCTTTCTTTCTTTCTTTCTTTCTTTCTTTCAACTCATTCTCATACAGAAATAAAACAGCAATCTTGGACATAAGATGTTTTATAATAATAATGATAATACTACTACTACTACTACTACTACTAATAATAATAATAATGATAATAATTTATTTATATCCCGCCCTCCCCAGCTGAAGCCGGGCTCAGAGCGGCCAACAACAGTAAAAGTAACACAGTTTACATAAAATCACAATCAATTAATTGAAATTCATTCTAAAATCAATTCAAATCAGATTAATGGCAACCACTGGGCTAGAGTTCTATGAGGATTACTAAAGGAGGGGGTCAGACTGTGCCTTGGCCAAAGGCCTGGTGGAACAGCTCTGTCTTGCAGGCCCTGTGGAAAGATGTCAAGTCCCGCAGGGCCCTAGTCTCTTGTGACAGAGCGTTCCACCAGATGGGGCCACAGTCGAAAAAGCCCTGGCTCTGGTTGATGCCAGCCTAACCTCCCCGTGGCCTGGGATCCCGTAGCGAGGACCCCGTAAGGAGTCTTGCCGCGGCATTCTGCACCCGCTGGAGTTTCTGGGTCAGGCTTTCTGAGGCTGATCTCTAGGGAGGACAATGTGAGAAGGATGCAGCAGTCATGTGTCATTTGATCCCAGCCCCTCAGGGAAGAGGCTGTGTTTGAAGCCTGCATGGCGTCCTTCTCATGCTGCCCTCCCCAAGCCGCTTTGAGAGGCTGGGATCTAATCAAATCCCAGCCTGGCAAAGTCACGCAGGGCTGGCTCAGGGAAGAAAAAGCTCCTGGAGCGATCGCTCCGGCAATCGAATAGTATTTCATCAGCAAAAAGACACCACTTAGATAAACCCTTGCATGTTAAACACGTACATTTATTGAATTAGTAATCTATTTCCTTGAATCTAATTATCCTCAGAATTTTACAAGCAAAATATTTGACGGCATCTGTGTTCAGCTGGTTTACAATTTGGCATGTCCAGCAAAGCATAACTTAAATGTTTTGTATTATGGTTCTCATACCTGACAACCCGAAATCTAACTGAAAGTTTTTTGCAGTTTCCCCAGATATGTATTGGAAATATTCTCCTCATGCATGGGGTGACACTTTCTTGGAAATTATCATTGCAGGGGAAGGACCAGGGTAATGAATGGGCACTTGATAAGGGGAGTGCACAGGTCCCAAGAATCACTTTGTATCTGTATATACACATTCCCCCCCCCAAACAATCTGATCTGTTTTTGAGTCACACTCTGTTCTTTCTGCTTCAATTTGTGCTCTTGATTCCAAGCCCACCTTGTACAAAATGGGTGCCCCGTTCCCTGCAATGGGAATTCTAAAAATGCATTGTTCCCCACTTTTGGCCAAAATGAAAGAAATTTACAGGCACAGAAGCCCCTCCAGAGTGGATTAAGCCTGCCAAATTGTGGGCAAATAAATCCAGGGCTTTTCATTTAGGGCACCTTTCAACTTTGATATTTTTTTTAAAATAAAACCCCAAGGACAGGCGTATAACACTTTATTATTTTTTTTATTTTTTGCCAGAATGGCATACAATTTGCAGGCATTGTGAGCTCTTCTGAGGGGATGAAGCCTGCCAAATTTCAGAATGGTGGCTGTAATGATTCTCTCATAAAGGCAAACATTTTGCTGTTGGACTGGGGGGGGTTCAATAAGAGCTATAGGGGTCAGGGTGTTGGAGGAAAAAGCCTAAATGCCTAGAAGAGACTGGGGTAGGGGGAAGCTAGTATACAAGCTTGGCCCCCACTGAGTGAAGTTCTCCAGCCTTTCAGTTCTGCAAAAAGTTCACAAGGTGGCTTTGCAATATTGAAATAATGGAATAAAAGTTACAAAACCATCAAAAATATGAATTATCAATATAAAACAAGAAAAGTAAACAAGAAACAAAAGCAGCATTAAAAACATCACCATGCAGACAAATAATAATGTTATCTAAAAACATTCTCTTTGGCCTTGTATCTTTTATTGACTTCCTTTTGTTAAGGCCGATAGGAAATGCCGGGTGCCGATGAATATTAAATGACAAAAACAAAATGGTTGTGTCTCCAACTTTCATTTTAATCTCTGTCTCCCAGTGCTGATATGACCTTAATCTTAGCCTTCTGGACGATGCCCTACATTTCTGCATGGAAGGAGAAAAATCTCAGCATATTGCAATGATTTCCAGCGCCATTGGCATCGCTTAATTGCCGTGGTCACCAAAAGTAGGCCATTCTGACAGAGCGTATATCATTTGCTCATGTAAACAACACTTCTCAGCACTCTGACCCTTGAATGCCACCCTGTCATTTCACAACTGCTTGTAACATATTTCTGCATTTTTGCTCATGTGCTCCTTTGAAAGGATTCTTGCAGCTTTCTTGGCTTTCCCTGGAGTCTTAAATGTCAGTTTCTCTGTTTAATGAGACATCCCTCCTCTCCCCTCCCTTGCAGCCTTAGATGGAGGAAACAGCTGTCTAGGGGCTGACATCCACACACAGTGTTTTTGTGATAAAGAACTGGCAGCTTCTGAAACCAGATTTAATTAAGACTAGCCTTTCTCCCGCAGTCTCATCAGAATAGCACACTCCCCTTGGAATGTCATTACCTTTCCTAACTACCTCAGGAAATAGTATTAGAAGATTATTAATTAAGGGGGAAATGTACAGAGCTCATTATAGATGGCTGCCAGGGAAAGTCAAATACTGTGATTATCTGGGGCCTTTGTGATATGTTTCTGTTGAGACTGTGATCACGAAAAACACTCCAAAACACTTCTGTTGTATTTTACCCTCCCATCCACACAGAAGACGCCCTTATGGGGGAGGCTTAACACTGAAACCTCTTCCGCTTATAACTTAATAGCAGCTTCTGCCAGGAAAATTAAACCAGCGATCAGGTTTTGGGTTTCCCATGTCAGTTTCCTGTTCTGCCTTAGCCAAAGCCCTGGCTGTTACTTCTGGTGTGGGCGGAGGGGATGTTTGTTCCAGTTCTGGCACACTGGCTGGACATTGGCTGCTCCATATCCGTCATGAAATTCTTGCTGTTCTTTCGAAGCGTTTGAGCTCTCCCTCGTAGTGTCCAAATGTAAACAGTGCTGTGGTGTTCTCCACAACACCCACCATCCTCTACTTGTCGTAGAGATCCCCTTACGTATTTGAAACAGAAACACACCCTTGGCTCTCGCAGGCTTCTGCCTCACTGTTCCTCTCTGCTCTGTTTAAATGATGCACACCAGCGTGGTGTAGTGGTTAAGAGTGGTGGACTTGTAATCTGGTGAACTGGGTTCGCTTCCCTGCTCCTCCACATGCAGCTGCTGGGTGACCTTGGGCTAGTCACACTTCTTTGAAGTCTCTCAGCCCCACTCACCTCACAGAGTGTTTGTTGTGGGGGAGGAAGGGAAAGGAGGTTGTTAGCCGCTTTGAGACTCCTTAAGAGAAGTGAAAGGCGGGATATCAAGTCCAAACTTCTTCTTCTTCTTCTTCTCCTTCTCCTCTTCCTCTTCCTCCTCCTCCTCCTCCTCCTCCACTCTGCAGAAGAATACACCAAAGTACTGTGCAAAGACCAGCCAGTGTCAAACTATGCTTAGAGTGCTGGACTAGGACCAGGGAGGCCACTGTTAAAAAGCACACTAAGCCATGATGCTCCTGCGTTACTTTGGACCTATCACTGTGTCCCAGCCATAGAAGCCAAAACTGTGTGCAACCTCCAGCTTCATAAAGTAATATCTAACATCTTTCCCTCACTCCCTCTGTGAGACCATACATGTACCCAGTGCTTTCCCCCCTAGAAAAATAGTTGCTGGTACTCACCATGAAGTTGTTACAGTAAGTGCCACACTTTCTAACAACAAAAAAGAGGTGCTGGTACTGTGTACCCTTGAGTACCCCCTGAAAAAGCACTGCATGTACCTATGGATTTCTGGTTAGCATCTTGCTCCATGTTTTACAGATTTTTCCCAAGACCAGCAGTAGCTTTTTCTCTAGTGGATGGTTCCCATTATTCTGAGTTTTGAGATGTCAATTTATAGCGAATGCTGTAGCTGAGAAGTCATTTAGAATTACTAGGTTATATAAGAATGGGACCTGCAACAACATGTGGATTGTTCCTGATTGCTCCAGGATCCTCAGTTGCACCTCTCTTCTCCAGTTTATGCCTCTTGAAAGCTTTGGGTTCCCCGAAGCATGTTGAAGCCTCTTTCTTGTGCATGGATGGCACTGTTTTGGCCAAATAAGGATTGGCACTGAAGTATATGAGACAGAACTCCTGGGCTTGCTGAAGGTTCAAATGGAGTTATGTAGAAGAAGAAGAGTTTGGATTTGATATCCTGCCTTTCACTCCCCTTCAGGAGTCTCAAAGCGGCTAACATTCTCCTTTCCCTTCCTCCCCCACAACAAACACTCTGTGAGGTGAGTGTAAAGTTATAAATACTTTTTTATCCACTTGCAGAGAACAGTGGTACCTCGGGTTACAGACGCTTCAGGTTACAGACGCTTCAGGTTACAGACTCCGCTAACCCAGAAATAATGCTTCAGGTTAAGAACTTTGCATCAGGATAAGAACAGAAATCATGCTCTGGCGGCGCGGCGGCAGCAGGAGGCCCCATTAGCTAAAGTGGTGCTTCAGGTTAAGAACAGTTTCAGATTAAGAACGGACCTCCAGAACGAATTAAGTTCTTAACCCGAGGTACCACTGTACTGTGCAAAGGAAGTAAAATTCAGGGATCCAGCTTAGTTAAATTTTAGATGTGTACTTCTTGAACAGAGGTTTCCTAGAGATGAGGCGTCACGTCTCGGTAGGATGAGATGCTTTGGCCAATACGTACTTCACATTCTGATGATGCCATAGAAGCCTGCCCAGCAAAGCAACCCCATTGTGCTGTTTATTCCACCAAGGCCTTCTGCGTTAAATCTGAGATAGTTTAGATGAAGATAAAAGAAGGCCTTTGATGTGCAATATGTGTTCCAGAACTTATTGCTCAGAACAAACTAAACATGGACATGAGGCTTTGTATTAGGAGAAACCTTTCGCAGACAACACAATCATCTTCAGATGTATTTGGAAAACATTCTTTTGCATTCAGCAAAAGACCAAGACAAGCTAGTTGGATGCAATTAAACATCAAAGCCCCTGTTGTCTTCTTATTAAGTGGGTGAAATGTTTTGAGACCGTCTTCTGTCTTCTAATGCATGCTTAACATGAAATAACGGGACATCATTCAGTGCCAGTGCTTGATGGAGACATGCCCTTGGATGGGCATGTTAGTAACATACGTATCTTTTAAATAAACCTTCTTCTGTCACGTTGTAGTGTGACCATGACAAACAAGGCTTGGATTTGTATCCAACACGAGTGGTGCTCCTCTCATGTAATGGGACTTCCTCTCCTCTGCGTACACATCCCTGGATGGTTTCAGGTAAAAAGATTAAAGAATTGTGGGGTGGGGATAAATTTGTCAATAGCAAGTACCCATGATGACAGCTAAATGGATCCATTGTGTTTGGATGCAGTGTTCCTCTGAGCATCTGATTCCAAGTGGAATTGAAAGGGAAGGCCTGTTGCCTTCACACCTTGCTTGTAAATTTCCCAGGATTTTCTGGGTGGCTGCCATTTCTGTAGGATTCTGAACTAGATGGACGTTTCTTCATCCGAAACAAAAGGAAGGGGGACTGCTATCTTATTTGAATGGCACCCCTGTCAAGTTCAGCCATAGCAAGTTCATAACCTCAGCCCAGATATAGCTGCTGCAGAACTTAAAACGAAGAAAGTTGCGATCCTGAAACCATAGCCCAGAGAAACCAACACATAGTCCTAATCAGAATTTACTTGAATAGAGGTCCACATTGCTTTTAGTGTCTATACCAAGGTGACAAGCAAATGCTAGGAAAGTAATACAGTAAGCCAACAGAATTGTAAATGCATTTGGCAGTCTGGATCTGTCTGGATCTGTGGTTCTATCTATTGAAAATGAGTCAAAGGGAACATTAGCAGTGACAGATGTGACCTTGGAAGTAAGTCCAACTAAGAAACGAGGCTGAAGAGAGGTGAGGTGGGGGAAAGAGAGCCCCTGTTAATAAGAGACTGGCTAAGAGTTGTAAAAGAGGAACCTCCTGGGGAAGAAGAAGGTACATAGCTGTGCATTTCTGCATTCTTTACCCACAAATCGCTGGGTTGGCTCCCCTGGCAGCCTGCATAGATGAGCTTCGTCCTCTGACAAATAAAGTGAGTTGCTGGGCAGGCAATAAATTGGAGTGACAGTGGAATCAGGTGCAATAAAGGCAAGGGATTGACAGGCTGAGATTGTTGTTAAACCATTGCCTGAAGCAGCAATGAGACTATAGGACAGATGATTAACTGACCGTGGTTCTGACAGAGACAGAGGAAGCAGTTCTCAAAAGCAGATCTACATTGCCCATGTAGATATGGAGTGGTCAGCATTTCACAGCCACCAGTCGCATGATTTGATGCTTCGCAAATTGTGAAAGAACACCATGCAATCCCAAAACTATTTGTTTCACCATTGGTGTGCATCATTTAAACAGGGCTTCATCAACCGTTTTGCAGATTAAAAAAAATCATTATTGCCAGATTTCTGTAGACTTGTAGAATTGAAAGGAACTGTGGAGGTCATCTGGCCCAATTCATCTTCCTTCATAGTGCAGGATCTGCAGTGCAGGATTCAACTGCGGCATCCCTGACAAATGGCTCTCCAGTCTTTGCTTTAGCAGCTCAGTGTAAGCACTTTGCATGCAATCTCTGGTCATGGGTGGGGTGGCATGCACAGAGGAGGGGAAAGAGGAAGGTACACCAGTTCCCATCTCCTCCAGTGATAGAAACTGAGATATGAAAGCTAGGAGCTAAATGACACCTTAAACCGAGGTTACGGGCACAACAATGGAATGTCTAGGTGCACTTTTTTATAACAAGAATATACAAAACTGCAGCTGAAATATTATGTTCATTTTTCACATGGTCTAGTCCTTCCCCTGCCCAAACCCCTAATAGTCTTAAGAGGGTCTCTTCTCCAGTCTTCAGAGAGTGGCCGGAAGTGGGGAGGCAGAAAAAGGTCCTCTTTTCCTTCCACTCTGCCGTTTTAATCAGAAATCTTAGGCTCACTCAGTACAGTGCCCAGAGTATGGGTAGGCAAACTAAGGCCCAGGAGCTGGATCCGGCCCAATCGCCTTCTAAATCTGGCCCGCGGACGGTCTGAGAATCAGCGTGTTTTTACATGAGTAGAATGTGTGCTTTTATTTAAAATGCATCTCTGGGTTACTTGTGGGGCATAGGAATTCATTCATCCCCCCCCCCAAATATAGTCCAGCCCCCCCACAAGGTCTGAGGGACAGTGGACTGGCTCCCTGCCTGAAAAAGTTTGCTGACCCCTGGCCCAGAGCTTAGAAACTGCTCACACAAATGACATTCCCTATCGCCAAATGCACCAAGAACAATGGGTTTTTTGAACACTGCTGTCCTCTAAATCTTGTTGCCATAACCATTGCATCTTCCACTGATATCTCATCCCTCTGAATTGACAGCAGTGGATCCAGCTAGTTCATCTTAGAGAACCAGATTTGGGACAAGGGTTTCCAATGATCTATCCTTGGGTAAATCACCTCAGGTTAAGAACAGTTTCAGGTTAAGAACGGACCTCCAGAATGAATTACGTTCTTAACCCGAGGTACCACTGTATGTGTATACAGGCGTGCAGAAAAAGTACATGCATGTGCCCACACTTCCCCATCAAACGACCTACATATTGATCCTAGCCCCCATGAAAAAGCATCTCACTTCATAACATGTGAAGTAGCCCTGTTCAGTTCTGTGTCACTAACTCGTAGAATTAAGAGACTAATGCCTGAGCACAGATTACTTCATGTGGGTGGGTATGTAAACATTAGAACCATAGCCTGGCCAGATAATTAAAAAATGATTTTGTAAGATCCTCTTGCAAATTCGATTTTTAGAGGTTTGTCTTATTTATTTAGAACATTTGGCAGCTGCCTTCCCTTCCCAAAGGCATTCGTTACAACATAATGGCATCTAGGTGTTTGCCCCAAACCAAAACTCAACAGCAAGTTGCCAGTCAAAGAGCAGCCCACATCATTTTGACAGTGGAGAAAGCATTCCAGCATAGAAATGTTTTTATCAGCTGAGAAAAAACAAACCAGGGAGTTGGAGTTCGGGTGGATTTACCTTGGAAATTAGTTTCAGAAAGTGGGTTTGACATGGGATGGGAACAGCCCTACTGTTAGGAAGAAGGGAGGCAGCTCCTGAGGGATGGAGGGGAGAGCAAGATTTTGGATAATAGAGCTGTGTATGCCTTGTGACCTGCCCTGTGCCCCTTAAGCCAACCTGCTGCCCTCAGGTGCAGTGGAAGACACTGCCCCATGACAGTTGACCTAAGATTGAATTAGTGGTCTGGTCAGCTTTTGTACATGCAATGCGAGAGGCGCCATCTTTGCCTCGGGCAGCAAAATGTCTTGGGCTGGTCCTAACAAGGGGAAAGGAGATTCTATATTAGAGATTCTATTGGAGCATTGGCTAACAGGCAAAAGTAAAAATAAAATAAAATCTCATGAGTAAAAATGCTGAGAATCACAAGAGACTTTTAGAGATTTCTGATATTGAGGGCTTTAAAAAAACATACGTTGGTCTGTTATTTAGCATGAGTCATACTAAGGTCTGTACGTTTGATGAATGTGTTTATGTGACATTCTGTCCCTTTCTCTGTAATGTAGAACAATATAAATCAGGGACAGCCAAGTCAGTGGTTTGTTTAAACAATGACTATACTATTTCATATTTTTTTAAAAAAAGAGAAAGGCCATTTTGGATATATGTGATGTTATCAGCAATTTATTATTGCATTCACAGAAGTGTCAGATGTCAGGCCAACCTTTACTTGTTACTGCAATTGCAAGACATCTTGCTTTTATTTTTGGGAAGGAACTGAACATATAAATTCCAGGCGTAAAGCATAGTCTCCATTGCCGTAAACTCCCCTAAGATTTCATTGACATCACTGGTTTCAGTCTTTTGCTATACAGCCTATTGAACTAAGGCTATACAGCCTACTGAACTTGTTTTCAGCGCACTGGAAGACTGGCTCAATATCCAAAGGTCATTGGCTGCATCTAAAGCACAGTCAGACTTTACGACAGAGGTGTAGTGGGCAAAGGAAGCAGCTATCTTCCAAACACGCATGCAAATAGGACCTGATTTTCAGGATCAGCTTTTAAGACTTTGTACTGACACATAGGCCTCTATTATAAAACTGTACAGTGGTACCTCGGGTTACATACGCTTCAGGTTACATACGCTTCAGGTTACAGACTCCGCTAACCCAGATATAGTGCTTCAGGTTAAGAACTTTGCTTCAGGATGAGAACAGAAATTGTGCTCCGGCAGCACGGCAGCAGCAGGAGGCCCCATTAGCTAAAGTGGTGTTTCAGGTTAAGAACAGTTTCAGGTTAAGTACAGACCTCTGGAACGAATTAAATACTTAACCTGAGGTACCACTGTATTCTATAATTTTCCTTCGGAAGTAGTTTATTTATTTGTTTGTCTGTCTGTTTTTAAAACTAATTTTTATTGCTTCCAATAAACACTATAATAAAACACTACCAAGCAATGTACATCCAAATTGTGATTGCACACAACATATATAGCACTGTTATGTCTGTGAGGTAATGCAGGTACTGTATGACACTGCTCCTGCTCCCAACTAAGATGTTTGCTGGCTGAAGACAAATGATTATCTTTGAAAATGTCCACGAGAAGTGGGTGGTGGCCTTGATCTATGGTCCTGTAGATGTTGTTCTCAGTGGTTCCTATTAGCCATCAAGACCGATGGTCCAAGATGATGGGACTTGTAGTTTATCAACATCTGGAGGGCTGAAAGTTGGAGCAAGAGAACGTCTGTTCTTTTAGTTGACTGGCGTTGTACATATCATGAAGGTTTGTTTTTCAGATAATGCTCTTTCCCCTTTCTTCATCTTTATAAATATGCAGTCTAAAAATGTGCACGTATCATTACATTATTAAACACAAAATGCTTTTTCTCATCTCCTTTTGCCCCTCTGTTGGAACTGGGCTTTCTCAGGTTTGAGCAAGGAAGACCCTTGTCTCTCTCTTCCCATTTTGGTTCGGAATTTGGTGTTATTCATAGAATAGATGTTGACAAATTTTGCCGAGTATATTAAAATTAAAATGCAATGAATTTTAAATGGGAATCCCAAGTGTTCTGGCAATTAATTTGGATGGAACAATAAGAATATGAAGAGAATAGCAATGGATAACTCAGAGATGTAGCTGGCAATAAGCCAAAAGGAAATGTTTTAGAATAAATCTACTGCAAACACAATAGGCTCTTTTGAACGGTGAAAGGAAAATTAAGTCTTTTCAGATTAGACTTCTCAGTCCAGCTGGCTGAGGAGGAGGAGAAGAAGAAGAAGAAGAAGAAGAAGAAGAAGAAGAAGAAGAAGAAGAAATGAGTCTTGTAATCTTGTGTGGATCCTTCTTCAGAAGGCATTCCACATTCTGAGTTGAGTCAATAAGCATCTTAAACTTCTGCTAGAAGTCCACTTTTCTTTACAGCCAGATCAGTATATTTCACTGGCAGGTCACAAGATTGCTAGACAACAACTTGAACTCCCTCCCCATTCCTGTCCTAGCTTCCCCCCCACTTTGCCATTCAGCATGCCCAGACATGTGTGCCTGCTGCTGAGAAGAAAGCGAGAGCACTTGATTCTTTTTCTGTATCTTGTGGGCCAATGCCTCTTTTGGTCCTACATCAAATCATTACACACCTTTAATTCATTCGTATAGACCTGCTTTGTAGAAACATGGTTAGTCAGCAGATGCATTATTCTCATCTGTGATTTAACCCACAGTGCCACCCACATCCCTGATAGAACTATAGAACAATAGAATTGTAGAGTTGGAAGGGATCCTGGGTCCAGGTATCTCAACATGCAGTCCCCCATCCACCTTGAAACCATACCAGGCCCTGCTTAGCTTTGCAAATGGGCTAGCAGTTTTATTGCTGTGCCACCAGGAGGGGCTGAACATGCATTTGGGCCATAATAGGTACATTGCACAGAAAATAATGGGCTGTGCATGGATCCTTTCAACTGTTTCCTGTATAAATTGGACTTCCCTGGAGCTGTATAAGTCCCAGATGTCCTTCAGTCTTTCCTCACGGCTGCTTGATGTCTGCTTTGAAGAAGAATGGGTGGCTGGCCATTTTTACATCTGTGGGTCCTTAAGTGAAATTCTAGCATGATCTCATTAGTTGTGCATGCTTTTTTAGTCCAACTTGAGCTCAGGCAGCTTATAGGCCAGGCGAGTTGCACATGCAAGCCAAATGCATGGCATTCCATTGATGTAGTGTGCAAATATTTACCGGCAAAAACAGAACGAGCTACCAAGCAGCCCTCGCACCTGATATCCAGTTGATGTGCAAACCCTCGTCCTCCGAGATTGACAGGAACACACTCATGACTCTTTCCACGTCTCTCTGCCTTACGTAACAATTGCTGCTATATATTCTGACTCACTGTTTCCTTGGCCCTGACGGCTGACTTTATCTGTTCACGCCCTAATGGAAAGCTTTCTGCTGAATGGAGGCTCTTGTGTTGCCAGTCTGCTCTATGGAAAACACACATAATTACATTCTTCATAGAAAATGAACACAAAGGCTCACCATGAATACAGCCAGCTCTCAAAATTAGGACAGTGTCGATTCCCTACAATTGCTGGGAGCTCACAGAACATCCAGGGCATTTGCATGTGAATGAGCAACACACACATATTTCTGGGAGGGAATTATCTCTCTCGCTTTGCTTCTGTGAGCTCCTCACCACCCAGTAGGCATGAGGCCCTCAGGGGATTTTCTCATGTCCCTGCTGGATGCTAGCACCAACCAGCTGGCTTTAGCTAAAACATGCTACGAAAGCAGGAGATGAGCATTCTGCTCATGAGAGCCTTACTACCATTTATCACTAGTGAAGACTTAACTACAGTCCCTTTCTGTGGTCTCCAAAAAGTCATTGGAACTGTGCTATTTTTAATCTGTTAAAAGACAGGAATTTAAACATTGGTATGTGTTTTCACCTAAATTCTAAGTCCTAAAAGAATAAATACTTTAAAAGAGTGTGCTGAATCTGTGAGCTGGATGGGATTGACGGTGCCAATACATGACACAAAATAACAGCTGATTAGATCTTGGTGGGTTTGTTGGGAACAGCACAGTGTAGGAATAGCCAACATGAACTCCCATCAGCACCAACAGGCATGGCAAATAGACAGGGATGATGGGAGTCATAGTCCAAAAACATCTGGAGGGAGCCACGTTGACTACCCCGACATATGGGAACCTATGGGTGGAGATGATATGGCCTATTTTCAGTCCATATCACTTCTGCCTAAGTCTGTCCCATTTCTTTTCTATTTTGCATTGTCTTTCTTTCTTTCTTTCTTTCTTTCTTTCTTTCTTTCTTTCTTTCTTTCTTTCTCTCTCTCTTTCTTTCTCTCTTTCTCTCTTTCTTTCTTAAAAAAAGTGGTATGGTACCCTGACCTGTGGGGCCAATTAGGCCCCATAGGGATCCTAATTTGGCCCATCAGGTCGCTTTCCCCAAGCTGCACCCATCTACTCCGTAACTGACATAATTTTTGTTGTTGTTGTTGTTTAGTCGTTTAGTCGTGTCCGACTCTTCATGGCCCCATGGACCAGAGCACGCCAGGCACTCCTGTCTTCCACTGCCTCCCGCAGTTTGGTCAAACTCATGCTGGTAGCTTCGAGAACACTGTCCAACCATTTCGTCCTCTGTCGTCCCCTTCTCCTTGTGCCCTCCATCTTTCCCAACCTCAGGGTCTTTTCCAGGGAGTCTTCTCTTCTCATGAGGTGGCCAAAGTATTGGAGTCTCAGCTTCAGGATCTGTCCTTCCAGTGAGCACTCAGGCTGATTTCCTTCAGAATGGATAGGTTTGATCTTCTTGCAGTCCATGGGACTCTCAAGAGTCTCCTCCAGCACCGTAATTCAAAAGCATCAAGTCTTTGGCAATCAGCCTTCTTTATGGTCCAGCTCTCACTTCCATACATCACTACTGGGAAAACCATAGCTTTAACTATACGGACCTTTGTTGGCAAGGTGATGTCTCTTCTTTACATTATGCTATATCCCAATTCACATATCTCAACAAATCCCAGTTGTTCCTGGGCAAGCAAGGTCAGCAGTCAGGGTCTTTTAAAGTATTCCACACCCAATGCAAGCCCTACTGGGATTGGCTCCGCTCAAGAGCTCCCCGAGTGGGCATGCAGCAAACCATGCTTCCTTTGCCCAAGAAGCTTGATTTCAAAACCGACAGGCAAGTGAACATTTCCCCTTTGTGGACTGACTTGAAACAAAGCTGGTCTGCAAAGGTAAAGACTTTGGCTGACATCATGGCGATGTCAGGTGATTGACAGGCTCTGCCCACCTGTCAAAGTGGCCCACATAGATATTGGGGGAGGGGTATTAGGATTTGGCCCACTGGCTGAAACCCATTTCCCATCCCTACTTTCAAATCTGAACAAACTGGATTGGAACACTCTTGTTCTTTCTATCTGTGTCATCTACTGGCATATTGCTGTTTTTGATTTTTACATTGGATAGTTTGCTGAAATTATCATATATATTTTTATGTTGTGAACCGTTCTGAGATCTGTGGGTGAAGGGTTGTATACTAAATAATAAAATAAATAATAACAATCAGTGTTATTTTTTCTAGAAAAAAGAGGTGTTGGAACTCACCATGAACGCCTCCCTTGTTCTCTTATAATGGCAATGGCGCCCACCTGAGTTCTTGTGAGTACTGGCTTAAAAAAAAGGCCTGATAATAATATATGGAAGGAGGGAAAGAAATGGAAGTAGTTTTATTGATTTGACTGTTTTCTGACAGGCCCTGCATCTTGTATAGTTTTCCTGCTTGCATTCCATAGCAGTAGCATTTCACAAATGCTTTCGTTAGCGTGTGAATGTTCAAAATAGCCATGAATGGAAATTCCTGAAAGCACATGGATGGTTCCATGCAGCAAAAATGCAAAGTAGCTCAGGAATCCCCCCCCTTTTGTTTCACCCAATTGTTTTTATAAGAACATCAGCCTAGACATCAAATGTTTGCTGTGCTGAAGATCCTTCAGGGAGCCTGTAGCATTTGGAGAACACGTGCAGAATTTCCCCCCAATATTTTTTCAGATACTCATCTGTTTCTGGTGACTTGAAATGCCTGGATTTTTCAGGCTACTTTGTGTTGAAACTGAGAATTTTTTTTTGCTATCCCCGCCACCTGATAAATTTGTGCAGTAGGAATGAACCATTTGGTCTCAAATCCCACTAGATCTGTGAGCTATGGAGGCAGCATACAAGAGGCTACTGCTAATAGGCATACTGTTGACAGCAGCTTCTACTCATCTTTCTACAGGTGGAGCAGGACCCTTCACACTGGTGGAGCTGGGCAGAGGGACACCTCTCGATCATGGGGTTGTATTGTTTTGCCCATCAATTAGTATATCAAGAGTTAATCCTCTTTGAAATTATCAGCAGTTTAAGTGTGGAACTTCCAAATGCAGTGAGACTAAATGCAGTCAATAATGTTCCCGTCTGTTATCTTTGTCCATGGAGTCTTCTTGGCAGGGATACTGGAGTGGCTTGCCGGTTTCTGCTCCAGGTGGATCACGTTTGGTCAAAACTCTCCACTATGACCTGTCCATCTTGGGTGGCCCTGCACGGCATAGCTCATAGCTTCTCTGAGTTATTCAAGCCCCTTCGCCACGGCAAGGCAGTGATCCATGTGGGACAAAAAGCTACAGTTAGAACTGGATATGGAACAACTGATTGGTTCAAAATTGGGAAAGGAGTACGACAAGGCTGTATATTGTCTCCCTGCTTATTTAACTTATATGCAGAATTCATCATGCGAAAGGCTGGGCTGGATGAATCCCAAGCCAGAATCAAGATTGCCGGAAGAAATATCAACAACCTCAGATATGCAGATGACACAACCTTGATGGCAGAAAGTGAGGAGGAATTAAAAGAACCTTTTAATGAGGGTGAAAGAGTAGAGTGCAAAATATGGTCTGAAGCTCATCATCAAAAAAACTAAGATCATGGCCACTGGGCCCATCACCTCCTTGCAAATAGAAGGGGAAGAAATGGAGGCAGTGAGAGATTTTACTTTCTTGGGCTCACTCCATGATCACTGCAGATAGTGACAGCAGCCACAAAATTAAAAGACGCTTGCTTCTTGGGAGAAAAGCAATGACAAACCTAGTGAGCATCTTAAAAAGCAGATACATCACTTTGCCAACAAAGGTCTGTATAGTTAAAGCTATGGTTTTCCCAGTAGTGATGTATGGAAGTGAGAGCTGGACCATAAAGAAGGCTGATCACTGAAGAATTGAAGCTTTTGAATTATGGTGCTGGAGGAGACTCTTGAGAGTCCCATGGACTGCAAGAAGATCAAACCTATCCATTCTTAAGGAAATCAGCCCTGAGTGCTCACTGGAAGGACAGATTCTGAAGCTGAGGCTCCAATACTTTGGCCACCTCATGAGAAGAGAAGACTCCCTGGAAAAGACCCTGATGTTGGGAAAGACTGAGGGCACAAGGAGAAGGGGACGTCAGAGGATGAGATGGTTGGATAGTGTTCTTGAAACTACCAGCATGAGTTTGACCAAACTGCGGGAGGCAGTGGAAGACAGGAGTGCCTGGCGTGCTCTGGTCCATGGGGTCACGAAGAGTTGGACACGACTAAACAACAACAACAACAATGTTCCTGTCATTGGCAATGGATATGTCAGGCTTCAGGGAACAGGCTTCCTCCCCACTTTGGCAGAAGATAAGCAGAACAAAGCAAAAGGTGTCTTCTTACCAGTTAGAAGCTTTAATGATCACAGCGAGCGAACAAAGAATCCATTTCCTAGGAATGAAGGTGCACCCACTTCCTCCCTAGTACCCCACGTCACTACCGCATCTTGTAACCTGATCTCACAACCACTGTGCTTTCCTGTGCTGCCACCTTATCTGCTCTTCTTGACCTTGGGCTGAGCGGATGGACACTTTCCAGAGACAGTGTGTCTGTTAACTCTCTCTCTCCCCCAGTGCTTCTCCTCTTAGCTGTTCCCCCTCCAGTACAGTGGTACCTCGGGTTAAGAACTTAATTCGTTCCGGAGGTCAATTCTTAACCTGAAACTGTTCTTAACCTGAAGCACCACTTTAGCTAATGGGGCCTCCTGCTACCGCCGCGCCGCTGGAGCACAATTTCTCTTCTCATCCTGAAGCAAAGTTCTTAACCCGAGGTACTATTTCTGGGTTAGCGGAGTCTGTAACCTGAAGCATCTGTAACCTGAAGCGTCTGTAACCTGAGGTACCACTGTACGTCCCAGCTTCTGCCTTCTGAACTATGTCCTTCTGCAAGCCACTCTTCCAAATTTATACTGTCCTCCTGCTCCTGGGAAGATTCAGGATCCTGATCAGGAGCAGGGGGAGGCTCCCGCCATTCCTCCTCAGCACGGTCCCTGAGAGATACCACTTATGGTGGAGGGTATCTCACGTATAGTATCAAATGTACATCCAACTCCCATCCAAGCCATCTCCCATGTGGTCCTCATAACTGAAGTTCAGGCCATTCCATTTATAGTCAGAAGCCTATATAAGGCAATGCTGTTGGATAGGGAGAGCTCCGTTGGTATAGTTTGAGACTTTTAATCTCAGGGTAATGGGTTCAAGTCCCACATTGGGCAAAAAGATTCCTGAACTGCAGGGAATGACCTTTGTGGTCCCTTCCAAATCTACAGTTCTATGATTTTATGATTCCAGGAGGGAAAGCGTATTAAATGGCATCCAAGGGTGTATAATAAAAGGAGTGTCTAAACTTACTGTGTTCATGCTCTGTTAACATACCTGAATAATGTAAATCATATTAGAGGATGTTCCTTTATTCCTTCCCCAGTAATCATTATAGATTTGAGGGCAAAACTAATGTACTTCAGAATAATAATAAAGAACCAGAGCAAGGAAGGAAGAAAGAAAGAAGGGAAACACAAGAATCCTAAGTATAATCCCATGCCCATCTGATACAACAGATTTATTATAAACCACTCTGAATTTTTCAATGGAAAGTTAAAATTAAAACCTTTTAAGCTAATAAATAATAAAACAGAGGCCTGCTAAACAGACACAAGTAAAATGGATATTTCTGAGACATATATCATGGTTTAATTTAAATTGCAAAGCGGTTAAATAATCCTTGCCGCAAATGTATTTCATTTCAGTGACTTCACGCCACCTAGAGAAAAAGAGCCCATTAAAGTTCACCATAAATTATGCAGACTCAATTTCAGGTTCTTCTAAGATTGGTTTTCAATTTAACCTGTCCTTTCAGATACGGGCCTTTGTCTTTGTTGAGATTATGCCACGCAGTCTTCCACAACCTGGTGTCTCTCAGGTGTTGCTGGATTCCAGTTCCCATCAGACTCAGCCAGGATGGCCAGTGGGCAGGGATGATGGGACAGGGATGTGGTCCAAAAATATCTGGAGGGTATCAGGCTGAGGAAAGCTTGTGTGATATGTCTTTCAGGTTCCTCCTTCCCTTCCTGTTAACACACAGTGCTCTTGATAGCAGCAGCAACCCCTCCATTGTAAAGCTTTAGGCACTAGATTTCTACATTCCAGCTTCCAGGTGGCAGTGAGTCGCTGGCCATTTCCCCTTGGTTTGTCAAAAGAAAACATGGCAAAATTCAGCAGCAGATGCCATATTCTTGTTGCAAGGTGGTATGGGGAAGTATGCATGTTTTTCCTTTTGATGGACGGCCTCCTTCGATCAATGGATAGATGACATGCCAATGCTTGCAACCCATGAACAGATCACTTTCAGATGGAAATTATATATGGACAAATGTAATGGTATTTGGAATGTATTTGTCATAACCATAGTGGCCCATGAATCAGTGTACAGTGGTACCTCAGGTTAAGAACTTAATTCATTCTGGAGGTCCGTTCTTAACCTGAAACTGTTCTTAACCTGAGGTACCACTTTAGCTAATGGGGCCTCCCGCTGCTATCATGCGATTTCTGTTCTCATCCTGAAGCAAAGTACTTAACCCGAGGTACTATTTCTGGGTTAGTGGAATCTGTAACCTGAAGCGTCTGTAACCTGACGTATCCGTATCCCAAGGTACCACTGTATTTACTTTTTATTTACCTATGTATATTTATCTCACAGACATAGGAGCCAACTCCTAGGGGCTGAGATCCCTTCGCTCCGCCCATAAAATATTTGAGGGGGCCAGCCCCCTCCCCCAGCTGATGGGTATTGCCATTCAAATGGTGTGTGAGTGCTGTGTCATGTGATCGATTATGTGGTGTGGGGTTTACCTGTCCCCCCATATTTTATTCATGCTGGCACCCTGCTTACAGATGAAACCTGATATGTATGACACCTTCTTTGTGTATCCTGGCTGCATCGTCACAAATATAGCTCGGTATCCCTGTACAGTAGTACCTCCGCTTAAGTACTTAATTCGTTCCGGAGGTCCGTTCTTAACCTGAAACTGTTCTTAACCTGAAGCACCACTTTAGCTAATGGGGCCTCCCACTGCTGCACGATTTCTGTTCTCATCCTGAAGCAAAGTTCTTAACCTGAGGTACTATTTCTGGGTTAGCGGAGCCTGTAACCTGAAGCGTCTGTAACCCAAGGCACCACTGTATCAGGGATGGGGAACCTGTGGTCCTCCAGCTGTTGTTGGACTCCATCTCCCATCATTCCTGACCATCAGCTGTGCCGGCTGGAGCTGATGAGAGATGGAATCCAACAATATTTGGAAGATCACAGGTTCCTGATTTCTGCCCTATATCATTTGCATTAAAAGATTGAGAACCCTCACACTCTTATGTAACAGGGGCAGCAGAAAAGCTTGGGTAGACCCCTACTTTGGATGCTTTTTTCGTCCCAGGAAGTATCCAGAGTAGGGGGTCTACCAAAGATTTCTTCTTTGAATGGGCTGTCACAGGTGTGTATGGCGATGATCACAGAGGCAGCCTATGAGAGCTGGAGTAAAGTCTCGATGAGTTGGGTACATCCTGCTGGTCTTGCACTACCCAACATAGCTGTCAACTTTTCCCTTTTCTTGCGAGGAATCCTATTCGGAATAAGGGAATTTCCCTTTAAAAAAGGGGAAAGTTGACAGCTATGCTACCCAGCCGCAACAAAAATGAGAAAATCTCATACAGAGTCATACAGTAGAATTCTCTAGGCAAAAACCTTGTCCATACATCTGTTTCTCTTTTTGCAAATAGCATGAAACACCAAATCTCTTACCTTTGTGCCTTCGTAGCGCAGTGATTAATCCAAGGAATTGCCTTGTACTGCTGCAGCAGTTATCGGTGCCACACTGCAAATGGCATTGGGTCAGAGTGTACGTAGGGAACTTCGAATAATGAAGGCTACCATCTGACTGCTATTGGGTTTTGTTGACCTAAGTATCTAATTTACGGGAGAGGCACCTGCTGGCATAGCAAGCATAATATCACCAATCTGTTATTGATTTCAACATGACAGCTGCACACTAAACCAGATTAGTAAATATTTAACCTCGGTAAATTTAGGGTTTGAATGCAATCATGAACTGACGGGAATGTATGCCTGGGCAAATCTTGAGTCAAGGCTGGTGAACAGCAGGCAAGATGACCCAGGAAAGACCCAGGGAAGGTTAACATCTTGCTTTTGATGTGCAGAAAGTTCTGGCCCATTGCCAAAACAGAAATAACAATGACTCATGGATTTTGAATTTGAGTAGCCTAGTCACTTTTAATCCCAGAGATATCCAGCTGCAGTACTGCCAGTTAAGATGCAGCTAAAATCATACCTGACAAATTTGCGACACATATTTTCAGATGTTTCTTTGGAAAACTAATGAAGTCACATCAAAAGCCCTGTAATTGAGACATTCAAAATTATGGTTGTGCTTCCATAGAAAATCACTGAAGTTTCATTTGAAATGAACAACTCATATCCAGTGAGGTGAAGTCTCCCCCTTGTGGAAAGTGAAAGCTTTCCATGGTGTTCATTTTCTTCAATTGCAGCAGACAAGATTGAGTGCTACGACTTTTGCTGTTGCTGCCTAACCATTGCTTTGTTAGAAGGGTTGCTGTTAATACAGGGGCCAGCAATTTTTTTCAGCAGGGGGCCGGTCCATTGTCTCTCAGACCTTGTGGGGGGCCGGACTCTATTTTGAAAAAAAATAATGAACAAATTCCTATGCCCCACAAATAACCCAGAGATGCATTTTAAATAAAAGGACACATTCCACTCATGTAAAAACATGCTGATTCCCGGACCATCTGCGGGCTGGATTTAGAAGGCGATTGGGCCGGATCCGGCCCCCGGGCCTTCGTTTGCCTACCCAAGTGTTAATAGCTCAGGTTGATCAGCTGATGTTTCTTCAATAGGAACTTGTGGTTAGCAGATGGTCTCCAGATGATCTATGGATTTCACCAGTGCTATTTTTCTAGGAAAAGAGGTCCTGGAACTCACCACGAACACCTCCCTTGTTCTCTCATAATGACAATGGCGCCAAACTGAGAGGTGCCCAAACTGAGTTCTGGTGAGTTCTGGCTGAAACCACCCCCTTAGATTTCACTTCCCTAAACTGTAGTGATGACTTTAAAAGAAGATTTGAGGATGGGTTATCAATGGCAACTATAATGACTATGTTCTCCCTCCACTGTCAGAAGCAAAGTGCCTGGGAATCACAGCGGGGCTATTGCACTCAAGTCTTGCTTGCAGCCTTCCTACAGGCACCTGGTTGGCTGCTGGGAAAACTGGGTGGTTTCAGCTGTTCAAGGAGGGCTGTTCTTGTGTTCTTTTATTCTAATGATACTTAGGAATCTCTAAGTTTTTGAAAGATCTATCTTCTCAGAGCTTTCTCTGATGGTTAACACCACTGGTGCAGCAATGAAAATGCGAGCACATTTGCCAAGCTGAGAAGGGTCCGGTCTGGTTTCAAATTGGATGGGGGACAGCGGGTTGAGATTCCTGCATTGCATAGATGACCCCTGGGACCCCTTACAGTTATATGATTCTAAAGCTGAGCCACAATTTCCCACCATAGATTTCTTTTTCTTACTCATGAGAGAGAAAGAGAGAGAGAGAGAGAGAGAAGGCCACCCTACAGAATTTTCTTGAATATTCTCCACTGGTTTTGGATTTTTTTTGTGGGGAGGGGGCAGCAGTTGCCATTTCCCCTCCTCAGTGCCCTGGAACGATGCTACATCTAGAACATCACTGAGGATCTAGCACAATTGCTGTCATCACTGCAGGAAACACACAAAAACACTCCTAGGAAAGAAGAGTGGCCAACATGGTGGTTCAGGCATTGCAGTATTTGAGGCAATGTGGGCATTGCAACACTGCTCACCTGACTTCCAAAGGCTGTGCATCACTGCTGGTTACCTAGAGGGAGAGGGGAAGGAGCAAGCAAGGCAGAGAGGAGCTCAGGGCAATGCAGATGCAGCAGGGGAGCCCATCCCATGTTCCACCAACTGCTACCTCCATGAACAGTGAGCGACAATCTTGAAAAATGGTCGCTGAAATTCTCCTCCTTTTGGAGGAATTCAGCAAAACGCTGCTCCCAATCTCTCCTACACACAAACAGGATAGAGAGATGCGAGAGGCCATCTGTTTTATTTATTTATTTGCAGAAAGTATAGTCCACTCTTCATTGGCAAAGGGATTCCAAAGCAGGCTACAAATATTACACACACACACCAGTGCTTTATTTTTCCTAAAGGAAAAAAGTGCCAGTACTCACAATGCAATTGTTACAGTAAGTGTCACACTTTTGACATTTTTTTGGGGGGGGGTGGAGGGAAGGTGTCAGTACTGTGTAGCCTTGAGTACCCCAGGAAAAAAAGAATTGCTCGTAAATGCACTGTAAAATAAAAAGAACCTTTAAAAAACATGGAAATAATACAGTTCATTTCATCTTTTCCTTACCAAGACAAACCAGGCTGTTCTGGATAATTACATGCATCACCTGCTACTCCTATCCTCTCTGTAACCTTCTAACCTTCTCCCAACCCTCTACCCATCTCCTCTTCCTGGCACCCCCCTCAATCTGCTCCAGAGGGAACTCCCCAGAACAGATTATGGGGTGGAGTTGCACAAGGAGAGTCCCATTGTACAGACAGAAGTTCTTGTACTAAGAGGACAACTTTGTTGGATCAAATCTTTCTCACACTGATGGATCCTGATGGCCAGTTGATGTTCCTAGATGACAAACCGAAATGAGCTTGTCAGAGCTCTGTGTGTGAGTGTGTATCTAGAGAGGGAAAAAGAGGCAGTTTGAACCTGGGTGGAGAAAACCACACACACACACACACACACACACACACACACACACACAAGGCTGGAGAGCAGGAACCTTTTCAAGGATAGTGTGAATTGTTCCTGAGAGTAGAACAACAATGAGCTATTGAAACCTGACTAGAATGGTGCTAACCAAAATTTGATTTTCAGCAATAACCATTCCTTGGATTTGAAAGAAGATGAATAGAATAGCTGCCTGCAGAATCTTTCTATTAATAGCACGAGCCTGATCAAATTAGAACTGGAAGCAGATTGTTGACAGAGATGGCAATATGAGAGCTACCATGGAAACGTAGAGGTCAGTATTACATCAACAGCTGATGGAAGCTTTTCAGCTACATTAGGAACTAGAGCTGTGAAGAACTAAATAAAGCAAGAGTTTGTCAAGCTGGTTATGTCAGTAAATTAGGGCTGCAGTGCTCTACACACTTACCTGGGAGTAAGTGCTATTGGACCGAGTGGAGCTTACTTCTGAGTAGATGTGTTTTGGCTTGCACTGTCAGTTGTTGATGTCTCTCCCAGCTTTTTATTAGTAAATGATAGCTGATTAGTTGCTTCACCTTTAACCAATCAACTCCCCTTTAATAAGTGGATCTTGTTGATTAAATTTAAATGTGCATTTTAGTGATACTGAATGATCAGTTGGGCCTGATTTAGGCTGCAATCCTTTAGCCATTTACTTGGGGGTAAGCCCTGATTCTTCAATGCCTGTGTTGGTTTTGCTACTACGTACCTCCAACTTGCTGACATTAAGAAATGGGTCGATATGCCAACTCATGCGGTTTGCTTGTAATTCTAAAACAGTTTGAATGGGTCTTGTTCAAACCTAGTACAAGTGCACATCCCCTGGCTAGCTCAAATGGCCAAAATCAGTTTCTTCAGAACGGTCCTATCTCATCATTTAAATTCTGCTTTTCCAGTCTCATGGAAGTGAACATAATTGAAGGATGTGTAGGAGAGGTCGAGAAAACTGGAACTGAGCAGGAAGATGAAACTGTCACCCATTCACTGTAGAAATTTGATGAGATAGTTACTGACACCTTTTTGTGGTGTTCGCAAGCACTGTATTGGCAATTCCTGAACTACTATGTGATGACCAGTTTAAGGTCATTAGACCTGCCTGAAACTGATAAATGATAATGGTTCCTCGTCATCTTGGAAAAAAGTGACAAGTGGGGTGCCATAGGGTTCTGTCCTGGGCCCGTTGTTGTCCAATGTCTTTATAAATGACTTGGATGAAGAAATTTGCAGATGACACCAACTGGGAGCTAAAGACAACAGAATCAGGATTCAAGAAGACTGACTTGAACAGATTGCAGGATTGGGCCCAAACAAACAAAATAATTTCAGTAGGGACAAACATAAGCTTCTATACTTAGGCAGGAAGAATCAGCTACAGAAATTTAAGATGGACACCTGGCTTGCCAGTAGTATATGTGGAAAGGATTTAGAGGTTTTCGTAGACCACAAGCTAGAGACAACAGTGTGATGCAGCTGCAAAAAAAGCTAATGCTATTTTAGGCTGCATCAACAGAAGCAGAGTGTCCTGATCAAAGGTCCAGCTCTATTCCGCCTTGGTTAGACCACACCTGGAGCACAATTGAAGGGTATTGACAAGCTGGAATGTGTGCAGAGGAGGGTGCCCAAGATGATCAAGGTCTGGAAACCAAGCCTTATGAGGATCGGTTGAGGGAGTTGGGTATGTTTAGCTTGGAAAAGAGGAGACTGAGAGGAGATATGATAGCCATCTACCACTATCTAAAGAACTATCACATAGAAGATGGAGTAAGCTTTTTCTTTCCTAATCCAGAGACTAGGACACAAACCCGTGGATTCAAGTTTCAAGAAAGGAGATTCCAACTAAATATCAGGAATATCTTTCCGACAGTAAGAGCTGTTGGACAGTAGAACAGACTCCCTTGGGAAGTGACGAATTCTCCTTCACTGGAGGTTTTCATGCAGAGGTTGGATAACCATCTGTCATGGATGCTTTAGTTGAGATTTCTGCATTGCAGGACCCTCAAGATCCCTTCCAACTCTACAATTCTGTGATTTCTGCCCCTTGATTCTGCCATACATAGTGGCAATAGGAAGTGTTTCTTTGA